TCTAACTTGTTTAAATATTGAAAGAAGTACTACAAACTTAAAATATTTTAAATTTCTCAAACGATATTTCTTCGCTAATAAAGATGTTACCCTTTTGGGAATAAATGGCCCTCCTTTCTGCTGCAATTCTTCTGGCAATTTTTCTGTGATTAAGGGGGTGGTTTTTGCGCTGTCATGTTTCAATTAGGTGTTTAAGAACATATATTCCAAGCAACCCTTCATTTCTTTGAAGCTATATATATAGTAATTATTGAGCATCAACTAAATTGTGCAAATCCCGCAATTGAAATAAAAAGATTATGCTGACTTATACACTAACCTCAAATCCCTCTATTATAGTCATGTAAAAAACTCAGCACTCATAATGTTGTCTGATGTTCTTACCTATATAACAAAATAATTTTTTTGGTTTGGATTCTCACTTTTAAATATAACTTAAAATAAAAATTAAAATTAAAATCAAATAATTGTATCGGGACAGAGGAAAATATAATTTTGGTTATGGTTATGGTTACACTCCATTAATAAAAGACATTTAAAATGTTAATTATCTTTATATATTGACCTTTGTTTTGTAACTTTGTTAATGCTAGGGAATCGCAATATAGCCACGAAATGCAAATTAGAGATCCCAGCATATAATTGAAAGTCTATAAATGAGAATCAAATACTACGCAACAAGGCAGAATCTGGGGAGTGGTTGATTTTTTATTTTCATTCTATTGTTTGGTGAAATAATTAAGCAATTAATTTTCTGGACTTACAATTATTGATGAATATTAAATTGACATTACTCAAGTTAATTAATTTAGGTTTACTTTGAGTACTTCCCCTATTTCAATTTGTAGGTCGTTTTAGGTTTGGAGAGATTTTTCAAAATGTAGGTCGTTTTACAAATTCTAAGCAAATTAATGACTACTTTTCTAATTTTACCCTGAATAAATGATGTCAATCTATTTTTATTTAGTCTTGTTTATAGTTTAAATGTAATTAATGAGGGATAAAATAAATATTAATACATAAATTATTTGTTGGATGATTGTTTCTTTAGTTTACATGTAAAGTGTAAAAAAACTTACATTTTGAAATGAATGGAGAATCAGTATACCATTGATTGAGTGATTGGGTGGGTATTTTCGGCAGAGAGAAAAAGAACCACTTATGAAGTGTTCTTATCATTTATCAATGATTAATTTCTGGACGTATAATTCTAATTTTCAAGTTATGCACCTTTGCTAAAAAAATCTGAATTCTTCGGCCTATCTGACAATGCTCTTGAAAAATTATACTATGACATTTCTCTAGTTCGACGTGTAAACTGATGCGCACAAAATTTATATGGATTCTCTAACTACATCAATTGTAGCTTTCATTAATTAATAATGAATAAATTAATTTTTACTTTTCTGGAAATTAGATTTTGTACCTGGAGACGTGTCAATATAATAATGGATCAGATTAAATTCATTTGGTACTAAGAAATTAAACATAAATATTATACGTAATTAATATCAGCACAGCAGTTGACAACTTGGCTAAGTTGGCTTTGGCAACACAAAGTAGCCTCATAGACACGTGCAACTCTGCCATTTTTAAGTTATCCAAAACTTATCCATTTATCAAAAAATTTCTTTAATAAATATATATGTATATATATATATATATTTCCTTGGGACAGATACATGTTTTGACAAATTTAATTCTCCTATGTTATTTTTTTTTCTGCCAATAACTGAAAAACATATTTACTAGTAATTTTTAATTCAAATTTGTATACAGTAATTAATATGTGCATTGTTACGCACTATCCTTCTTCTTTACCTCCACAATTAGAGTCGTTCATTGTTTTTCTAAAAATAGATACCTTTGTATGATTGTGAAGGAAAACACATTAAAAAAAAAAAAATAGATTTGCTTCGGCCAAGTTTTGAAATTTGGTTATTAAATTCAATCTCATCATCGATTCAATTCTCTTACCTATTATATCTTTATCATTTTAATTTGCAATGTCTTTTTTTTTTTTTTTGTTTATATAAGACGAAAACACTCGTTAACAATTGTACACTCCTTAAGAAAGGAGTTGCGAATTTGTTTAACAAAATGGCTTAATTATTCTGCCATCTTTTAAAATCTTACATCAAGCCAACTACATTTCGATAGTGGAAAGACACAACTTAAAACTATTAGTTTGATATATATTATTCAAATTGAGTCGAAACTTGTATGATCTTTTTTATTTTTTAATCTTTAACAACAATAAGAAAGATATTCGTGAAAAAAATTAAGATAATTATTGGCCTAATTAGTTGGGAAATTAGTCATTAGGTTAGTGGGCTGCTTTGGTGAGGAAAATTGGGGAAATGGGCCAGGAATCCAGGAGCCTGAAAAAAGGGTATCCTGTTGTGCTTCTTACTTGTCCTCTTCAGGCTATAACCAAATTGATTTGTTCTCTCAAATAAGTCCACTAAAACTTGTAATAAAAAAAAATTCGATCATCTGGTTTTGTTGGATTAGTAAAAATTCATGCCTGTTGTAAGTTGTAACCACATAAATACAGTCTTCAAATCTTACAACTCGATTTTATGATAATATGCCTGCATCTCAAAAGTTACTCTTGTTTGTTTTCTTTTTTAGTTGGTTTTTTCAGAATTAAATAATAATAACTGTCTCATCCCATCATAACTTTTTACATTTTTAATACACTTTTTTATATTTTCAATACAAAAAACACCTAAAAACACACACTAAAAAAAATGAAACAAACATACTTTCTCAAAATCGACTTGTTTGAAAATTGAAAGAAGCACAAACTTAAAAAAATATTTTGAATATCTCAAAGGAAAGTTCTTCGCTACTAATAATGATACTATTACTCTTTTGGGAAGAAATGGTCCTGCTTTCTGCTGCAATTTTGTGGCAATTCTTCTATGATTAAAAGGGTGGTCTTTGCGCTGTCATGTTTTAATTAGGTGTTTAAGAATATATTCCACGCAAACCTTAATTGTTTTTATTTGAAGCTATAGTAATTATTGAAGCCAAGTCTCAACTAAATTGTGTAAATCTCAAATTGCAATAATAAGCTCATGTTGACTTAATACACTAAAACTCGATAACCTTCTGGCACTCATAATGATACTGATTGTTGTTACTGGAATGCATTATTTTCATCCTATCTACTTCTCTCAAAAATATTCTCTCTTTTAGTATATTTTGAACTAAAAATAAAATCCAAACTGAAGGATCATTTTTTAGGGAAGGAGTATTTAATTTTGGTTATTATAGTTACACTACATACAAAAACAAAAAATAAAAACCATTGGAAACGTTAATTACAATATCATTATTTATTGACCTTTTGTTTTGTTAACGCTAGAGAATCAAAATATTGGGATACTAACATATAATTGAAAGTCTATAAACGAGATTCTATAAATGGGAATCAAATACCAACTGCCCCATGCAACAAGGCAGAGTGGTAGATTTATTATTATTTTTTTATGAAATAATTTAGCAAATAATTTTGACTTGCAATTAGTTGATGTTTATATTATTGACATTGATATAATTGTCTGAGTTAACTTAGGTTTACTTTGCGTATCTTTACACAATTGATTGAGTGGTTGGGTGGGTATTTTTGGCAGTGAAGAAAAGAACCATTTATGAAATGTTCTTCTTATTCAACAATGATTAATTTCTGGATGTATAAATCCAATATTCAATTATGCACCTTTGCTAAAAAAAATGAAATTTTTTTTAAAAAAATTCGGAATTCTTCGACCTCTCTGACAATGCTCTACAAAAATGATGACATTTCTCTAATTCGACGTGTATAAACTGATGCGCACAAGATTTATGCGGATTCACTAACTATATTAATTATACCTTTCATTAATTAATAATTAATATAATTATTTTTTCTTTTTCTGGAAATTAGATTTTGTTTTTGGAGACTGTGGATATAATAATTCAGTTTAATGGATCAGATTAAATTTATTTGGTACCTACGAAATTAAACATTAATATTACACGTAATTATCAGCAGTTGACAACTTGGCTTGGGCAATACGAAGCAGCCTCATAGACACGTGCAACTCTGCCAATTTTAAGTTATCCAAAACTTATCCATTTATCAAATTTCTAATTTTTTAAAATTTCTTTGGGACAGAAGACATGTTTTGACAAATTTAATTCTCCTATGTTGTTTTTTTTTTTCTGCCAAAAATTGATTAAGATATTTATTAGTAGTTTTTAATTCAAATGTACCCGTATAAAGTAATTACTATCCTTCTTCTTTACCTCCACAATTAGAGTCGTTTATTGTTTTCGAAAAATAGTTACCTTTGGAAAACACATAAAAAAGAAGAAAGATTTGCTTCGGCCAAGTTTTGAACTTTGGTTGTAAAATTCAATCTTATCATCGATTCAATTCTCTTACCTATTACTCCCTCTGTCCATAATTATTGTTCAATTTGCGATTTCACTTTTAGTACAATTTAAACTAGAAATAAAAACTCAAACTGGACAATAATTATGGGACGGAAGGAGTATATCTTTATCATTTTAAATTGTAATGTCTAATGAATAAATTATAACAAAAGAATTGGAATATAAAAGTCAAATTTGGAACCTAATGATGTGAACAAGTACTTCTCCTTTCAAAGACCAAAAAATATAGGACTAATTTTCTTTTTCTTCTAAAAATAGAGATGTAGTTATGAGATGAATGACATATAAAAACATTCAAACTCTGTCTGAATCAATTTCCGATATTCAACTTTCGCACTGGATATTTTAAAAGTAAAATTTAAACTAGAAAAAAAAAACATTTCACATTAATCACGTTTGTTTGTTTATGCTATGTACTGCAAAAGCTATTACGATGTGGTTTGTCGAATAACACTTGAATTTACATTAGGGAAATAATATTTGGTGGTCCATTAAAATAATGGGAACTTAGTTGAAAAGCAAACTAAACGCAATAAAAAATTTAGAAAGGGTGGCTAACACACATAATTCATTCTCAGAAGACAACAAACCTAAAAATACCCGAACCACTTGTATTGAAAGTCGAGAACTTTAACAATAAAAAAATGAAAAAAAAAGCATCATCTCATCCAAATTCTCATCGATCAATCATTCATTTCATTTCCTCTCTGACCCAACCAAAACCCGAAAATCTGTCATGCTCGTAGCCGTCCTTTTATCCCATTTAAAGTAATCAGCTTATTCATACTACCAGTTCAAGAAAGTTTTCTTTTTGTTAACTGAAAAGAATTGATTTTGATGAGCTTGGAGAAAAAGAAAAAAGAAGGTGTAGTATTAAAGAGAGAGACGAAGATCATACGTTTTGGTTTTTTTCTTTGGTAGTAGATTCTTTTTCTTCCTCTCTTATAAATTATATATACATATTAATATTGTCCACTGCTGAAGACTCGTCATAAACAACCTTGTGGTTTTCGCTAACTTCTCTTCTTTGTCCATAAGAGTTTCCTTCCTTCCTTCCCTTGTTTTGTCATCTCTCTACTTAGTTTCAGCTTATTGTAAGGAACAAAGACCTGTTCTTTATTTAATCCAGCTTCTGGGGTTCCCATTTTTGAGCTCAAATTTGATTAAAGACCGTTTCTTGATTGGAAGGAGTAGCCCTTTTAACCCCTTTTAAGGTTCCTGCCTTTTGGGTTTGTTTTGGTGGAAAAAGTTCCCTTTCTTGAGCTTAAATTCAATCAACATACTGTTATTTGATTGGAGTAAGAGGGGCCCTATTTAACAGAGTGGGGATGGAGATGATGTATTATCAGCTGGGAAGGGCTTCATATCAGGACTCTCTGAAAGTTCTGGAAGCTGATATCCAGCATGCTAATGCTCTGTAAGTTTTTCTTTCCCACCTTCATCCAGTTTCTTTTTTTTTTTGTGGGTTTTTTTCCTACTGATTCTTTCTAATTTGTTGTTGTTTTCTATGATTTTTTTTAGGAGTTAGTTTGATGTGTACTTTGTATTGCTTTCCTTTGAAGCTTTTATCTTCTTAGATTATTAGCTTTTTTCTCCCCCTTACAATTCATCTAGTGGAGGATTGCTTTTGAGGGACAAGTTGATGTCTTTTTTTTTTTTTTGGTTGGGGGACCTTGTGGTGCTGCTTTCTCTTTGATGGATTCTCCACCTTGTTTAATATGTCTTCTCATTTTTGCAAACTTCGTTGACTTCGTAAATAGGTTTTAGCCCATACAGGGGTGTGGTGTGGTAGGCTGATACTATTGACCAGGGAAATATAATTTTCATGCCTTTTATTTTGAATTAGTAGTAAAAAGGATTGCTGAGGTTGTTTGTTCTATCTTAGGTCTTCTAAACTTTTTCGGCTTTTATCGTCTGCCTGAATGTGGATGTTTATGGTACAAGCTACAGCTTGCAAAGTTAACGACTCTTTTCTGTTCCTGGGAATGTATGAAACTTGAGATCCTTTAGAGCTTTATGTAGCATTGATAGGATCACTTAGGTGTATAAATCCACTACATTTAGAGATAAGTAAAAATATTATGTTATTTGCTACTCTTGTTGGGCCATTGTCTATGGCAGTTCAAATTTGTTTGACATGTTGTTTTTGGGATGTCCGGATTAGGGCTGCTGAAATTCCTCGAGGGAAACGGGGGGCACGCCTTCAAATGAAGTTGGTGTACAATCAGTTGGCTCCTCTCTTTCTGTTCTTACTCCAATGGATGGACTGTTCTTGCACATGCTTGCTCCCGAGATATTTGAACCTTTTCCATGTACTCATATACAAGGTTAGGACCTCTGTTAATAGATTTCCTCTATTTTCTTGTGCGAAGTGGAGTTTGGGTTTTCAACTTTGTAGTCCATCTATAACTGAGGTTCTTTAGATTTCATGTTATTGGTTGATTGAAAACACTTGCTGAATGTAAGACTATTTTCCGCGATTGTCAGGTTTATGCAGATGGGAGACAAAGAATATCTAGACATGGAAGGAAAGCAAGTATTAGTGAATTTTATGGTCTGTTTGCTTAAACTATTTGTTTCCTTACCTTAACACCTTACAAGAAAATGCAATGAAGTACCTTATCTAGTTTCATTTTGTCCCATCTCAGCCATCATCTTGCCGTCGCTGCAGCGGCTTCATGAGGACCTTATAGAGTCAGAAACCAATATCATTCACAAGAACAGACTGGAAGGAGGGGCACACGCATTCACAAGTTGTGATCCTGAGAGAGAAGATGAATGTGGGATCTGTTTAGAGCCCTGCACCAAAATTGTTTTGCCCAATTGCTGCCATGCTATGTGTATTAATTGCTACCGTGACTGGTAATTAACTGAAGCTGTATCCTTGATTTTGATTTTTCTTGTGTTCCCTTTTTGTTATCCCTGTATGCGTATGGTAAACCATCCTCAAAAAAATTCGAATTGGTGTTAAACACCAAATGGTGAGATTTGATCCTCATTTCTGATCTTACATAGGGTAGTAGATGTGTAGGTTTCTATTGTTGTATGCTAGGGACATACAGATATGAAAGCACTTCCTTTGATGAACACGGTGGCTCATAATCACCATAGTTGACTCCTACATTGTTGGATAAATAGGTTGTTCTTTCTTGTCGCATGCCAGGGAAAAAAAGAGTTGACAGTGTTTGAAAACATGGTGGCAAGATATGATATGCTTATGTGACCCCAAATAGTGGGAGAGGAACAAATGTTTTTTACTGTTGTATGCCAGGTCATCTAGTTACTGATGTCTGCAACTCTCTTGGTTTGCAGGAATACAAGATCCGAGTCGTGTCCCTTTTGCCGCGGTAGCATAAAGAGAGTGAAGTCGAGAGACTTATGGGTTCTTACTTGTGGGGACGATGTGGTAGACACAGATACTGTCACCAAAGAAGACTTGTCGCGGTTCTATCTGTACATTAACAACCTTCCGAAGGACTCCCCTGATGCACTATTCATGATGTACTATGAATACCTAATATGACCCGACGCACAACAGAAAGACGAGATGTAGAGAAAGAGAAGGGAGAGAGATCAAAGGGCTGTATGTACATATAGAAGAAGGATCAGGCCGGACCATCAAATGTAGATAGAGTCTGGTAAGGGAAGCTGTCTCAGGTTGATTTAATCACACATTTGATGAAAAAGAAATAACCCACCACTTGATTTTATGTTGTGGTGCAACAGTAGCATATACCTCAATGCTATATGGAAAAAAAAAATCATCATTTGTCTTCTTAAGTTCTTATTTTTATCTTTCATTATCTCATCAACCGGCTAACAAGTCTTTGGGAATTTGGATGGCCATAATAAAGTTGCGTATGCTGCAGCCTTCAATTACATACTTCAAATGAGTCTTTTGAGATATTTTGAACATTGTGAATCAAACCACAAAGTTAGGTGGCTTCATCATGAAGTATATCAAGTGGTAACAACCTCATCAGGTTGCTTCTCGATGGACGCAAACATCATTTGCTTTCATTTCAATCACCTAAAGTCAACCTTCATTATTACTTCAATTGTTCGGGAAATAATTGTTTTAGGTTAAAAAACAACGAAGCATCTGATGATAACAAATTAATATACTAACTGCTCATAAATGTAATTTCACACTTCCAGCACATCTTCTTATTCTCTTTTTAGATATTCAATATCATTGAAATATTAATAAACTTGAAAACGAGGGAAAAAAAAAAACAAAACCAAAATTGCTGTCTGTGCATTGTCTTATCACTTATGAGTTATTCTCTCCGTCTCAAAATTATTAGTTATTTTCTCCGTTTTAAAATTATTGTTCAATTTTTATTTTTATTTTTACTGTAATTTAAGTTAAATATGAAAATTCAAATTAGATAATAATTTTGAGATATGGGATAAGGGAAAAAAAAACAACAGCCTAGTGTCCGAAGAAGGTTAATTCTTATGGACAATACTTTGGCAGACTCTAAAATTGGGTTAATAACAAATATTGGGATACATAAAAGATTAATTTTTGGACGTGAAACTTGGGCCTTCATTGTAGGAAGCCCAATGAATAATGCAGAGAAGCCCAATGATTGTGTGTTCATCTTAGTATTACACCTTGTCACTTTCACCAACATTGTCACACTTCTCAACGAACCCGGGAACAATATGAGTAGCAAATGATAAGGCGTTGACGTCACGACGACATCGTTTATGGAAATGGGGAATTGTAACGAACAGAGACACCACAGCAGACACACACACACACAGAGCTGGGCTGAGGTGTGTTTTTCCCGCACCCAAAACCAAAAAAAAATAAAATAAGAAAAGAGATCCATTTTTCTCTGCACCGACGACCAAACCAAAACCAAATCATACCCTTTTCTTGGAATCTTCAATTACTTTTCATTTGTGTAGCCTTTCTCAGTTATTAGAATTTTTTCCTCCTTCAATTTGTATTGGGGGGAGAATCTTGGATCATTTTTACATATGTATATAGTTTGCAGATCTGATTTAGGGAATAAGTAGGCTAGCGGGTTTGTTTTTGTTATTTTGTATTGCGTGATCAATAGTGATCATGTCAGAAAATAGTAATGGTTTTCCTGAGGTAGAAGAAGGGTCGGTGGAAAATCCTGACTCAAATGTTTTGGCGGAACCCACTTCTGCCGCTGTGACTGATGCAGCTGCCCATGGCGTTGAACCAGTTCATGAGGTTAGCTCTGCATGATTTGGAATTTGAATTTAGTTTGTATTTTATATATATATATATATATATTATATTTTTACTCTGTGTTTGTGATGGTTTCGTTGGGTTTATTTGGATTTTTCATTCTGTCTGGAGCCAAATTACTCTTTCACATTGTTGGGACTGCTCGTTTGATTAGTGATTTTTTCATTCTTGTTCTTTCTGCTGTGTGCAACTGTATTGTTGGGACTGTTCTTTTTTGCTTCCTTATAGTTTGTACTATTTGGACTCTGAGCTTCCTGACTGAGGCGTAGGCAGCAGATATTTGAAAATTATGGGCCGTTTATGCCCAGCTTTTAGAAGGGTAGATCCCTAGATTGTGGAATTGCCCAGAAGAGTTAGTTTTGCTGTAATATAGTCGTATATTTTTTCGGCTTGAAACTTAGGCTTGTGGATATTAATCTTCTAGTCTCGTGCCTCTTTTTTCTTTCGCATTTTCTGCAGCTAGATAACTCAAAGCCTATGGAAGATAAGCCCAATGATGCAAAGGTTGTTGAAGATGGGGGTAGAGATGATATGTTTGTTGATTGCCCCGATGAGATAGAAACCTCAGAAACGACTTCAGAAGATAGGGAAGAAATACAGAATGCTCAAGTAGAAGAAATTCAGAGTAGACCATCGAGAGAAGGCGAAGATTTGATAGCTGAGATAGACGTCTTGCACACCAAACTAGAGGAAGCTGTTAGCGAAAAGCAAACCGTTGTGCAAAAATATGAGGTTCGATTGCTCTGTTGTTGCTTGCTCATCTATACAAGTTACGTCTCCTCGTATAATGTAATTTTATTATCTGGATTGACCTTAGAATAAAACTTTCTTGCAGGAAGAAAGAGGAACATTAATGGAGATTGCAGATAGGGTTTTAGCTTTTTTCCCCCCAACAGTTGATCAAGGAGAGCAATTCTCAGATGATTTTGTGAGAGACAAATTCTTGCATGTCGAGAGAAGTATCTCAGTCTTGATTGAAAACTATAATCAGTGTCTTTCTGGAGTTGAGAAACTTAAATCTTGCTTGAGGGTTGTAAAACCAGATGTTTCAATGGAGGACAAAGTTGGAATATTTGTTATTGCACATGATGAGCTGCTTGAGCTTAGAACAAAAGAGAAAGATTTGGAAGGAAAGCTGACCCATTTTGAAAATGAAAATACAAAATTGATAGAGCAAATTGAAAAGAACAAAGCTGTCATTGAGAGTGCGAATGCGAAAATTGGAAAACTAGAAGCGGAACTAGAGCAGGAGAAGACAAAGTCCTCTAACACTAAAGAGAAGCTTAGCTTGGCTGTGACTAAAGGTAAGGCTTTGGTGCAGCAACGAGATTCACTGAAGCAAGCTCTGGCAGAGAAAACAAGTCAACTGGAGAAATGCTTGTCAGAACTTCAGGAGAAGTCAAGTGCACTAGACTCTGCAGGGCAGGATAAGGACTTGCTGATAAAAGCTGAAATGATGGCTGTTCAGCTACAGGAATCTCTAACTCAAAAGGATTCGTTGCTTAAGAAATGTGAAGAAATTTTGTCGGATACCGATGAAGTTGAGTCTATGGATTTTGTTGAGAAACTCAGATGGATTTCAAATGAGAGAAATGCACTCAAGGGTTTGAAGTTACAGGTTCAAAAATTCTCAGAAGCATTGTCACCAGTTATTTTTCCCGAAAACATTCTGTCAAATGATATGGAAAGTCAACTTACTTGGCTTGCTCAGTCATTCTCTGCTTACAAAGAAGAAGTTATTAAGTTGCAAGAAGAGATAGTTGAGACAAGAGAAGCTTCAAATAAAGTGATTGAACATCTTGTTGCTCTGAGTTCAGCTGAAACTCAGGAAAAAGGTTATCTTCAGGTGGAACTGGAAGATTTAAGAAGTAAATATGAAAGGATTTTTGTGAAAGAGAATCAAGTCTCGCGTGAAAGGTACGAAATTGTCAATATGTTGCTCGAAGCTTCTGGGATGACAACAATAGATACACCAGGGAATGTTAATATATCACCATCTGACTTGGCGACAATCATTGGAAAGCTCAAAGAAGAAGCGAAGGAATCTACTGAATCTTTTGAGAGTCATGCTGGAATTTTTGATAAATTCCAGAGCCTTCTCTTTGTTAGGAATCAGGAGATGGTTTTGTGCCAGCATTTATTGGAGGAGGAAGTGGTGACTTATAGGGCCAAGGTGGATGAGATTTCAGATAAGTTTGTAGCTTTGAATGAAGAGCTTCAAAAACTGAAAGATGAAAAAGCATCTCTAGAGGCTGAACTTGTAAAATCTGAGGATAAAGCTGCTTTAATACGAGACAAGTTATCTAAAGCAGTTAAGAAGGGCAAAGGTCTGGTTCAAGAGCGGGACAATTTGAAAAAAGTTATCGATGAGAAGATTGCTGAAAACGAAAGACTGGTGGCTGAGTTACAAGTGCAAACGTCTGAATGTAATGATTTGAGGAATCAGGTTACGAAACTAGTTGTTGATGTGGGCTCCATTCCTATGTTAGAGACAGAACTTGTTGCTGTTAAGGAACAAAGAAATCAACTTGAACAGTTCCTTGTGGAGAGCAATGGCATGCTGCAGAAAGTCATCGATTTGGTCGAAAAAATTAATCTTCCTGATGGCTTAGTTTTTAAAGAGCCAGTAGAGAAGGTTAAGTGGCTCACAGAATATGTGAATGAAGCACAACATGAAATAGAGAAACTGAAGGAAGAATCCAGTACTTTAAATGACGCCTTATCTGTTGCACAAAACAGTGTTGCAAACGTTTTAGAAGAAAAGGGAGAACTTGAAGCTGTTAAAGATCAGACTGAACGGGAGTTGCAGAGAGCGTTGGAGGAAGTTGCTTTACAGAAGGGGAAGTTCACAGAAGTGTCGGCTAACATAAAATCATTTGAAGATGCTTTGACCGAGGCCGAGGAAAACATCTCTAACCTTACAAGAGAGAAGGAAGATGCTGTAAGTAGTAAAGAAGTTATCGAGTTAGAGCTTAGCAGATCAAATGACAGGCTTGCCGATGCTGAAAAAACCATACAATCGCTTGAAGATGCATTGTCTCAGGCACAAAAAAGTCTATCTTTGATGGCTGAGGAACATAAGATGAGGGATATTGGTCGAGGTGATCTGGAGGATGAGATGAAGAAGCTCAAGGAAGAAGTTGAATCCCAGGCTATCAAACTTGCTGATGCTGCCGTGACTGTAAAATCACTGGAAGCTGCTATATCTGATGCAGAAAACCGAATCTCTGATCTTGTAAAAGGAAACAAAATGGCAGAACAGGAGATTTCCGACCTTAATTCTAAGCTGCAAGTTTGTTACCAGGAGTTGGACGAGTCCCGTGGCAGGAAATCAAATACCTCATCGGAGCTTGTTAATCTTGTTGCCAGTATTCAGAAGATGCAAAATGATGATACTGTGTCCTCGATATTGAAACAGAGTTTTGATAAGAAAGTTGAGAGTCTGAAAGATGTTGATATTCTTCTTGAAGAAATCCGGGATTGCTTTTCTGACATGATTGGTTCGGACATGTTGCAAAATCATTCCTTCCCTGAGGTAGTGATGTTTGCTCCTTTTCTTTTAAAAAACATTATTTGTCTTTTTTTTTTCCAGTGCTTGTAGATAATTTTTCTGATTGGCCTCACCAAAGGTACATTTAGGAAGGGGTGGGAAATTATGGCTGTACACGATCCTATCCCCAAAAATGGCATGTCTACTGTAGGTAACAGGAACTTGGAATCATAATCAGAACTAATATAATACATGTTAATGTCATATTTTTGAAACAATTTTTGTACCCTGACAAGAAAATTCCAACCATTTACCTGTGAGAGAAACATGATCTGTCACCACCCATTCTATATGATGATGATTCTTGTTTTTTTTTATAATTTTTTTTTAAACAATGTAGTCAAATGCTTTATTTCTCTCTCTCTCTCTCTCTCTCTCTCTCTCTCTCTCTTTTTGTAGGATGATTATTTTGTCGCAACACTTTTACCGGATGGGCTCGAAGAAGTCTTCAAGATAGAAATGATAAACGGAGAGGTGACTCATGGCATGCGTGATGATGATAGTATTGTGCTACACATGAAGAGAACTATTGAAGGATTACAACTAAGAGACAAGAATGCGGCCGAGCAAATAGAACGCTGCTCCAGATTTCAGGACGACTTCATTATGGCTCTTTTAAAAAGATTAAGGGTAGCAAAAGATGGGGTAATAGTTGCCAGCAAGCTAATTAGCTCTCTGAAGCAGAGAGTCAGCGATGTCGAAAGGGATAGTCAAGCACAGGAGAATGCAATTTCTGTGTTGGAAAGTGATGTAAAGATGTTGTTGTCTGCCTGTACTCAAGCTACAGAAGAGTTGGCGCAAGAAATTGAAGTTAACTTATCCGTTCTAAACTCCATTCATCAATCAGAAAATCTGATGAACAGCGATTCCTTGGAATTGCATGATGGATTAGTTAACAGTGAGGTAAAATTTGAAGGCAGTAGATATGTGAAGACTGCTGAGGACCTGTTGCTGGCCTCGCTACGGAGTAGAAATCTAAGTGAAGAGATTCACAAACTGATCAATATGGTAGTTTCCTCGGCTGATGACTTGCAGAAAGAGTTGAGAGAAACAAAGGCCACATGCGAGAAACTGTCAGAAGAAAGGGATGTGACCTTGAAGAAAATTTCTGAGCTAGAAAACAATCTCGCAGCAATGGGAAACTTGCAAAATGAGTTGAGCGAAAGTAAAATCATGTGCGAGAGATTGTTAGAAGAAAGGGTGACTAACTTGAAGAGAATCTCCAAGCTAGAAGACGATCTTGGAATGGTGGAGAACTTGGAGAAGGAATTGAGAGAAACTGAGATCACGTGCAATAATTTGTTAGAAGAAAGGGAGGTAAACTTGAAGAAAATTTCTGAGCTGGAAACCAATCTTGTAGCTGCAGAGAACTTGTACGACGAGGTGAGGCATAAAGCAGATGATTATCAGGCCAGGGAAGCGGCTTTACTCAAGGAGAGAGAGAAGCATGGTAAGCTCCTGTGCTCACTTCTCGTCATACATAACAATTTAACAGACGTTTTTGTGTGATTGTAAGTAGTTTTTTAATTTCATCTTTACAACTTGTGAATCCTTTTGCTGCAGAGACTGAGGAGTTGCCCTTGTCATCCTCTCTAATCAAATCCCTTTTTGAGAAGATGAGTGCAATCGATATCTCTTTTACAGAGCTTGAAGTTGAAAACTTTGAGAACCACTATGTTGCTGCTGACGTTCGAAAGCTCTTCTACATTGTTGATAAATTCGATGGATTGCGAGAACAGGTGAAATCAAAATTTCAAGAAAACAAAAGTATGACGTCAATGCTTGAGAAACAAGAAATCGAAATGCAGCATCTGAAGGAAGAAGTTGAAGAAAGTTTAATAAAGATGCAAGAGGCTGAAAAGACGGAGACTGAGCTTGTACTACGGCTCAAAAATCTCATTCAGAAATTAGGGGTTGGTGATGACTTTGTTGCAGATGTTGTGAAGATTGATGATTTAAGTGGATGTCTTTTAACCCTGGAGAAGATGGTCAGGAGTACAAAGGCGGAGTCTGAGAATCTAACGTCAAAAAATGAAGAACTGAGTGCTAAATTGCTTGCTACGCAGAAAATGTTGGATGAACTATCCGGGCAAGTGAAGTTACTTAAAGATTCTAGTCATGGCGGGGCAACTTTTCCAGAGAAGATTAAGGAGAAGGGCATCTCTGAACCATCTTCGTCAAATTCTGAGCCAGAAATATCTGAAATTCAAGACCTGGTATGTTTTTCTGACTTCCCTGCATATTCGAGAGAAACGTATAAAGTTATAAGAAAAATTAATAAATCCAGGAATCTGATATAAATATTCAATAAAGGAGTATTTTTTAAAATCTTATTCTACTTTTGACTTATTGTTATCAGCTTGCTAAATGTGAAGTAATGCATCATATATTAGTTAGTTTTTTGTTAGGTTGGGGAGACCGATAAAAGTGGTTTATGTTGGAATTTTGCGTGGTAGTCATACGTAATGATTTTGGCAGACCATCTAAATCAAACTAACTTCCTCTGTAGTTACAGATGTTCAACCTCTTATCATTACCTCAGGCTCATAGCTGTAGTGTCATCTTCACTTTCATGCTTTATAGCCGATGTTTGTGGTTTGTTCCTTCTTTTGGAGGACCTTTGCATGTATATATTATTAAATCTCAAATTTTGTTTAGGATGCCCTCTTGTATTTGCCGGATGACATGACGTATTTAAATGCATATGAAAATTTCTTTGGATAGAACAATATATAACGTTTGATCCATATGGCCAACCCACATAGTGGGCTAAAGGCTAAGCTGTCGGACACCCCCTTTCGTTTCTCTCATTTGAATTTTGATTGCATTTCTTCCATTTGTCAGAATGGATTACTCTTTTAACTTAATTAAGTCTGCTTGACTCCTTTTACTGTGCCTCGGGTGCATGAAAAATTTTGTTATGAGAATTAATTTCTTCTGCAGGGTCCCATGGGTAAAACTGCGGCATTGACGGCTGTACCATCTGCTGCTCATGTCCGAACTCTGCGGAAGGGATCAAGTGATCACCTTGCGATCAGTATAGATCCTGAATCTGAAAGATTAATAGACAATGAGCAATCTGATTTAGATAAAGGTTCTTTTGTAATCTTAATTTTCCATTAAATCTTAAATTTCAGTCATATGTCTTTTTAGGCATTTTCCTGGTTCCAAATTTGATCCTTTTGCTAAAGTCCATGAAATGTTGATTTCAGGTCATGTATTCAAGTCTCTGAATACGTCAGGACTCATTCCTAGACAAGGGAAGATGATTGCAGATAGAGTTGATGGAATTTGGTATGCTATGCCCTTATTACCTTGTTACATGATTCTGTTGATTCTGCCTTGATTTTGCATTTCTTGCTACTCTGGTTCATATTTTGATTGTATATATATGCACAGATTTCGCTTTTTCTGCGTGTTATCTGCTAACACACATTGTTGACTTTTTCAGGGTATCTGGTAGCAGAGTTTTAATGAATCATCCAAGAGGGAGGCTAGGTCTTATTGCTTATTGCCTCTTCTTGCATCTTTGGTTACTAGGCACCATTTTGTAACATTGCCTCAGGGAGAGTGCATGCTAGTCTTACAACATAGTATTATTTTTGACCTGTAAAAAGAAAGAGAAAATAGTGGGTTAATCATATTCCTTCTTCAGTAATGCCAGGGTTCGGGTGTAAATAGCAACAGGGTCCATTTCGATTCTCTGCCATCACATTTTTAGGGATTCAGAGGATCCATCAAAGATAAAGTCTTTCATAGAAGTGGTTTATTAATGGTGTACACTGTTTAGGGATTGGTTTATATCTTGATTCATTCTAGTAATACAGAAATACAATAATTTCCAATGTAAAATGCATTTCTTTCCTTTTAGTCACTGGAGGAAGACTGAATTACGGACTGCATTTTTTCCTTGTTTTTCTTCTTTTATGCGTTTTTGTTACCTTGGAGATTTGCCTACTTCATCAATAATCATTCTTTCTGTTACCATAAAGCTCCTCCAGATGATGAATGCAGGGGCAAATGTGCAGTTATCAAACTTTACCAGAAGTCAAACGTGAGTGTTCATTCATTTTAGTTTCTGAAGAAGAAGTCAGGAGTAGATTGGCGGGAAAAAGCCATTAGAAAGAGACGAATTTTCTCGACATACTTTCAAGCTTCTAATAAAACTTGTACTTGGTGGAAAAAATAAATCGTTCTTGTGGATAATGTTCTGTTGACGGTCCCTTTCTCGTCTTCCACCAATTATCCCCCAACCCCGAAATGATGAAATCATGGGTTTTAACTGTTTTCATATTCAGAGTAGCTCTTTCCAGTTGTGGCAGAGAGATCGAAGCAAATCCCGAACCTTACAACAAACACACCCAGAAATCAAAGGCGATCTCTTTGAGTCTTTGGGCGTTTTCTCAAGTCAAGTTAGATATGGATTAAGTTTAGTGCGAACCAGAAATCAGCTCTTTCCCACTCCCTCTGTTTTCCAGATAACAATGGACGGCATGCTACTCAATCCAAGCGGCTGTTGTTGGAACTCTATGCCATGCAATTCGCCCGCAACCCTCTTTTTATTATCAGGTTCCATTCTGATTTCTGAATCCTCCCCTATAACTTCTTACAAGCTTCAGTCTTTTATTGTTGCCAATCATAAGATTGGACTCTGTCAGTCATTTATACATATTTTGATGGCAATACTTGAATTTGTTAAGGTGAAATTTTGCCTGGATCTGGTTTAACAACCCCTTGTCAAGTTCTTAATGTGAGTATTATTCAGAAAATTTTTTTGGTACATTTCCTTGAATTTGCCTTTATTGGTCAGGGGTCTTCAGCTAGTCTCAAATATGCAGGGAGGCAGAGTTAGGATGAAGTATTTTGCTGTTCATAATGCTGTCAAGAAGTCCAAAAAACGTGGAAGATCAAGCAAGTTTGAAACTCTACCACCAAATGACGTCTCATCTGATGTTCCACCTTTAGCAGATAATAGCGATAATGATGAAGAAGTGGAAACGTCTTCTTCACCTGAAAAATCAGAGGTGGAAAAAGGTACCGTGTTGGCTGCTTCCAGGGGTGCTGTTCTGCAGGCATGTACCCTCACTTCCTGTTTCATTGGAGGTTTGGGCATTTTGATTAGGCAGGTACTTTTCTTCCGCTGCTTTTGTTTGTGCCTTTTATGTTTCTATTGCATTGAATGCGAATGAGAGAAGTTAAGATGCAATGTGAAAGTGGGATGTTGAAATCCAATAGATGATGTCAGACTCGTAAGTTGGCTTTGTATCATTCAGTCGGCTTATCATGGGTAGTTGCTTTAGCTTTTCTGCTCTTTTTTTTATGGTCAGATGGTAAGCAAAAGTGTACATGTTGGTTTTACATTGGAAATGAGGGATCAGGTTTTTGGGGCTCTAGTTTTGGACATACTTCTTTGAATTTGTTATTAGCGACGTATCTGCTAAGAAAACTAATTGAAGCTGAAGCATATTTGTTCAACGTTAGAACTTCGTACCTTCTGTAACGCTTATATATGGATTGGACTTTGCAGGTTTCTCACTTTGCGTACAACGAGGGTTTTCCAATTTTAGACTGTTCTTCTCAAATATCATGTATGATCTTGGCTGTAACTTTAACCACAGCTTCTTTCTGGTAGTATGGCTATGAATCACTGATACTGCTGCTTATTTTGTTTTTTTTTTTTCCACATTTGGTGATAACTTTAACCACATTTTGTTGCTGTTATTGTTGTTGTATCAAATGAATGCCTAGAAACTCTTTTGTTGCCATCATCGTGATAAAATGTAAGTTAACTTTAGAGGGGTTTTGCAGGCTAGCTTGATAACTAAATTCATCATGTTTATGCAGTTAGATTCGAGCTGTGGCATATGGAGTTGATTGCGGGGTTAGTTTTAGGTGTATCATCGTGCAGGTACATACTGTTAAATAGTTGGACAGATTTTGCTGAGTCAAGCGAAGCAGCGAATTACCAGGTACATACTGTTATATTATTGTTCTGGAGTTTTCTTTTAGTGGATATTGTTGTGTTATTGAGAAACATAACAAGTTTTGTGGATGCGTGTGTGCGTTTTTTCTTTATTGCTATTTCCTTGTGGCTTTGTCCAGGTCCTTAGCTCACTGGAACCTTTGGACTACTTGGTTGTCGCATTTTTGCCAGGAATCAGTGAGGTCTATATCACGTAGCGTCTTTTGTTGATGAATGGGATACTTCGTTTCCACCCTTTTTAGTGTTTTCCTTATTAACAAAACGTCGCGTGATTTGAATGTGTCTGCTGATTTGAGTAGGAAATGCTTTTCCGCGGAGCATTGTTACCCCTCTTTGGGATAAACTGGATGAGTGTTGTTGCAGTGGCTACCTTGTTTGGGGTACTGCACCTGGGAAGTGGTCGAAAATATTCGTTCACCATCTGGTATGTATTCATCAAGTTTCAAAATGTGCCGATGATTGCTTATTGGATTGCATGGTAAATGAAAGAAAATGTCGGAGTTATCAGAAATATAAGCAGTTTTTAGTCCACAATTATCTGTTGATAAAAAGATCTGGTGGTGCTATCAGGGCTACATTAGTTGGGATTGCTTATGGTTGGGCGACGGTTGCATCCTCAAGCATCATCGTACCTATGGCGTCGCATGCCCTGAACAATCTAATCGGCGGCATCATATGGCGGAACACATCCACATCAACGAGACAAGATTGATTCCAACTTTTCTTTTTTTTTTTTAGCCCAAACTGGGTAATTTCTGCAAGTTGGATTGTTAATTGTAATTCTTGTAAGTTCAAGTTGTTATAATTGAATGATGATGCTTATTTTTGGCTCTATATCGCAGAGTACCACACCATTCTAACGCATTTGTAAACTAGATCTTATGAGTCTGCCCTGATGAATATACATTATTACACTCTTAAAATTTGTGGACTCTTATGGGGCTATTATTCATCATGAATAGCAAACCGGGAGTATCGTACAAAACTATATCAAGGAAGGAAAATGATAAACATAGTGACAAATATATAGTGAAAAGATATAGTGACTTAGTTAGCCCTATATTTTTGTGGCACTTAGCCGTAGAATTTATATATTTTCCTATTAAATTTATATTTTTACCATTAATTAAATTGTATACATCCGTCACTATTTGTTTTCACTATGAGTTTTCACTGTCTCTATCACTATCTTTTCCCTGAACAAGTTGTACTTTCATTCTTAAGAACTGTGTATAGGCTCTCTCTCTCTCAAAAAACAAAAGAAAAAAAGTGTGTATAGGCTTGCAAAAAATGTTTGTCCAAGTTACATATGATATTTTTGATCGATTGCTACTTGGGGAGTTGTAGTTTATTCTAATTTCTAGTCCTAGTGTGTAATAATCTAGTACAGTGGGTGAACCAACTCGCTCATCACACATTCCGTCCTCATAATTGGGCTAAGGATACATAACTAGGTGCAGTTGATACTTTTTGTAGTTACTAAATAAAGGAGTGGTTAGTATGCAGTTTTTCGTAAATTAGTTTAAAAAAATATCTCTAATATTCAAATGTTTTTATCTCTTAATTCTTAAAATATTACATAGTATGGCTTATATAAATTTTTGATAGAACCCGATGAGATCTCCACAAGATGCATGAAATTTTTGCCGACTAAAAATTTACGTTAATAAAGACATCATATTAGGAGGCTATGAAATGGAAGGATGATTGATATTTGTGTTGATGAACTGGTTGACGGTGCGTGCAGAGAAAGAGCATGAATCCAAAACGTAGTCTCTTGAGGACATTCCCAATACCAACAATTTGTTTACTTAGTTGGTCTTGAAGTATTTCTGTTCATTATAATTTTGTTCATCTCATTCTGCATAATTTTCAGGTTATTCATCATGGCTACCATACTATCTTCATCCGTGGAGGTGCTGGAATCTGCTTCAAGAGGACTATCCACCATATTTGCTGAATTCTTAGCTTCCCATAGGCTTTCAGAAATTCTTAATTCCTCCCTACCAATCAGGGTAACCAATTAGTTTGAAACAACCTTCTTTGAAATGTCCTGACAATAATCACACATCAACATCCTTTTTAGTGCGTTATCCATCCTGAGATTATTCTCTTTGCCCGTGGGAAAACTATTCTTCTTAATTCCTTGGTGTTGATTCATCTGCATTCTAGAAGGAATAGGCAAAATTCATGTTCCATGATTCTAAGTGCCAACATTAAAGATATGGAGTATGCACATTAATTCCTTTGTTTAATGGCATTTACAAAAGTTGTTTGAACCTCCTTGTTATTTCTCAACATTAATCCACATGGAGTGTGCACATTTCACTTCTGGAAACGGTTCCATCATCAAGATTTGGCTTCGCTCAGATACATACAAATGATTGAGACCACTCAAAAACTCCATTAACCTATGTCGAAACTATGATTTCATTTTCATGATTCCAATGCTTGTATTGTAATATTTAGTATATTTCCTATTATGTTCTAGTTTAGAGTTTCTTATGTCTATATATAGTCTGTATATTGTGTACAACAGATCATGAATCTAATACAATTTCCCTATTCTAACTTGGTATCGAGCTAGGTTTAAAACAACCTAAATTTTTTTTTTTCTCTCTCTTTTCTTTTCTCTTCCCGCCGCCGGTTTTCCTTCTTTGGCCGTGCGCCGGTTTTTCTTTTCTTCTTTGGCCGTGCGTACTCCTTCTGCCGGCACACAGCCGCCACACCCAGGTTCCTTCTTCTCGTGCGCCGCCACACCGTCCTGCTGCTGCTGCCGCCTGCTGCTACTGCCGCCTCCTGCTGCCGCCTACTGCTGCCGCTTGCTGCTGCTCGTTCGTCGGCGTCGTCGGTTGCGGAGTGTTGCTGCTGCTGCTCGTTCGTCGTCGTCGCTGGTGTTCATCCAGTTTCAACGTCGTCTTCGTCCTCTACTTCGCCGCCGGTCGTCTTCCCCTTCGTCCAGTTTCGGTTGCGGTCGGTTGATTCTGCTGCTGCTGTCTTCGTCGGCTCGTGGTCTGCTGCTGTCGCCGGTCCGCTTTCTCCGTTGCCGGCGTGCCGCCTGGCGTGAGTCCTTGCCGCCGCCGGTTGCGGCTCTTCGGTCGGATTCGTTCGTTCGGTGATTCGTGCTTCGTCCCGCTTGACGTGAGTCCTTGTCGGATTCTTAAACTCATTAAACAAAAAAAAAAAAAAAAAAAAAAAAAAAAAAAAACCAAAAAAAAAAAACCAAAAAAAAAAATCATAAAAAAAATTCAGTTTTGCTTGCTTACTTACAACGATGACTATCACCGACCTTTCATCCGCCGACCAGGCTACTCATCTTCGGTCACCGGTATCTTCTTCACAGACATCAGTATCAATTCTTCAACCTATTATGCAATCTCTCAATCATTCTTTTACTGTGAAGCTGCAATCTCGGGCCAACTATTCGTCTTGGCGTCTTCAGTTTACTCCTTTATTGACTATGTTTCGTGTTGCCGGTATTGTCGACGGCACCGAACCTGCACCGCCACGTTTTCTTCCTTCCGTTAGTGGTGTCGTGCCCCAACTCAATCCTGAGTTTGATATCTGGCAGCAAAAGGATCAGTTGGTCCTCTCTTGGATTCTTTCTTCCGTTCTTGAAGAGATCTTTCCCGTTCTCCGTGGCTGCACAACGTCGGCGGCTGCATGGAGCTCTTCACAGGTTTCGGCACTCTTTCTTATGCTCAATGCAGACCCGACTTGTTATGGAGCTCCACAGCTTGCAAAAAGGTGACTTGTCGGTCACGGCTCTCCTCTCCAAAGCGAAGGGCATCGCCGATACACTGCAGCTTGCCGGCCATCGCATATCTCCTGCGGAGTTTAATGCGATAATCTTCCGCAAGCTTAGTGCCGAATTCAATGGCATCATCGGAGCTCTGCAACAGCGATCTGAACCCCCTTCCTATCAAGATCTCCTTGGACAGTTAGTTTCGTATGAGGTACTTCTTCACGCCCAACAGCCGGTCCTTCAGCCCACGGCCATGCTCGTGCAGTCGCCACCTTCTCCTACGCCGCCTCAATCCTCTCGTGCTTGTCGCTCGCAACGCGGCGGCCGGCGCAATCAGGGTTCTGGTCGTGGTGGTGGTCGGCGTGGGTACACTCCTCCCGCTCCGGGTGAGATGTGTCAGCTTTGCGGTATCTTAAATCACACGGCCGCCACTTGTCGACGCCGTTTTGATACTACTTTTGTTCCTCGACCCCCTGCCGTTCGGTCGGCTGCTTATGCCCAAGCAGGTTCTGTTGCACCGCCTTCAGCTGGTTTGTTGCCTCTTCCGTCTTAGCCAGAGTCGACTATGTCTCCTCAAGCCCATATGGCGCAATATGCCCCTTCTGTCACTCCCTGGTATCCAGACACCGGTGCTACCGATCATGTCACGCCCATTTGTCCTCTCTCGGTATCTCCAATGATTATACGGTACGGATCATATTTTAGTTGGTAATGGAGATGCGTTACCTATTCAGCATGTTGGTCAACTGTTTTGCCATCGTTTTCTCGTCCTCTTTATTTAAATCGTGTCTTGCATGCTCCTCTCTTACTAAGCCTCCGTTATCTGTTCGAAGTTTACCCGTGATAATCACTTTTTTTTAAATTTTATTCGACTCTTGTTGTGTTAAGGATCTTTCAACCAAGGAACTCCTCCTCCGCGGTCGGGCCGATAATGGTCTCTATCGCTTAGATCTTCCTGCTCGTGGTTCCTTGTCTCCAGCAGCTTATCTTGTCTCTTTAGGTCAGTGGCATGCTCGTTTAGGGCACCCTAATAATGTCACTCTTCGTACTTTGGTTAGGCAGTTTCAACTTCCTTATTCCTCTGTGTCCACGTCCACTGATAAATGTGAGGCGTGTTGTTTAGGGAAGTTACATAGGGTCAGTTTACCTTCTACTTTTCATCGTAGCTCTAAACCTCTTGATTTAATTCACACTGATATTTGGGGTCCTGCTCCTAATTTGTCATTCAATGGTTATCGCTACTTTGTGTTTTTTATTGATGACTTCTCTTTATTCACATGGATTTATCCCATTAAGTATAAAAGTGATGTTGTCCATGTTTTCAAACAATTCAAAGCTCTCGTAGAAAACCAATTTGGCACTACCATTAAAAGTGTTAACTCTGATTGGGGTGGTGAATTTCGTTCTCTCAATTCTTTCTTTAAGGATGTCGGTATTGTTCATCGTTTAGCGTGCCCACACACTCATGAGCAGAATGGCACTGCTGAACGCAAAATTCGTCACATTGTCGACATTGGACTTGCTCTCCTTGGCCATTCCAGTACCCTTTTCGGTTTTGGGATTTTGCTTTTGAAAGCCGCTGTGTTTTTGATTAATCGCCACCCTAGTAAACCTCTTCAAGGTCACCTACCCTTCACTACACTATATCACCAGCCACCTGATTATACCTTTCTTCGTGTCTTTGGTTGCGCTGTCTATCCTCTTCTTCGCCCTTATAATAAACATAAATTCTCCTTTCGTTCTACTCAGTGTGTCTTTCTTGGGTATTCTCCATCTCATCTTGGTTATCGCTGTTTTGATGTGGTGAATAACCGTCTTTATGTTGCTCGTCACGTTGAGTTTGATGAGAAACTCTTTCCCTTTAAACTTCCTATTTCTAGTTCTCCTTCGCTGCTGGAGTCTTCTGCTACCCCTTGGTTGCGTGTGACCAGTTCTCCTGGTATACTTGCGTCATCTTCTGTGTCCTCCTGTTCTCCTTCTAGTACACCAGTTCTTTCGTCTCCTTCTATCCCTCCTGACTCATCACCGTTAGCTAGATCTCCTGCATCCAGCTCTTCATCATCTGATAGCAGTCCTCCGCCGCCACCTCCTCCTCCTCCTTCCTCCCGTCAGCACTCAATGACACTTCGTCCACAACCCAAGCCCAAGAAAATCTTTGATCCCTCGGCTCATCTTACCTCTGTTTCCCAGCCTTGTCTCTCGCTCCTACATCCTTCACCCAAGCCAAATCTCTTCCTCAGTGGCAGAATGCCATGAAGGATGAAATTTCCGCCCTCCTCAAAAATAACACATGGACTTTAGTTCCCCCTCCTTCCTCCGGCAATGTTGTCGGCAATCGATGGCTCTATAAGATTAAAACTCATGCTGATGGCTCCATTGAGCGGTATAAGGCTCGGTTGGTGGCTCAAGTTTTACTCGTCTTTTGGGGTTGATTACACCGACACATTTAGTCCGGTTGTTAAGCCGGTTACCATTCGTTCGGTTTTGACTGTTGCCCGGCTCGTGGATGGTCGATTTCTCGGCTTGATGTCGTAATGCCTTTCTTAATGGAGTTCTAAGTGAGACCGTGTATATGGTTCAGCCACGGGGTTTGTTGATCCGGTGCGCCCTCATTATGTGTGTAAACCGCATAAGTCCTTATATGGTCTTAAGCAAGCTCCTCGGGCCAGTATTCTCGGTGGCGGCATTTACGCTTACCTTGGGTTTTGTGGAGTCTCGTTGTGATCCGTCTGTTTGTCTATCGCCGTGGGTCTCGGTTGTGTTTTTTTTGGTTTATGTGGATGACATTATTCTTACAAAGACTTTGGTTTGGTCCAGATTTTATCTCTTGTCTTGCTAAGGAGTTTTCTCTTGAGATTTAGGTCCGTTGAGTTACTTTCTTGGGGTTGAGGTTCATCGTACTTCCAAGGGTTTGCTTCTCTCTCAAGACAAGTATGTCAGCGATTTGCTACGACTTGCAAATATGCATACTTGCAAACCTGTTTCCACTCCTTTGCGAGCTAATGTTGTGTTGTCCCGTTTGGATGGTACTGTTGTCTCCGATGATGCGACTACTTATCGTCGGGTGTGTGGCGTCTGCAGTATACAACTCTCACTCGTCCAGATATCTCTTTGCGGTTAATAAGCTTTGTCGGTTCATGCATCGCCTCGCACTTCTCATTTTCGGGCTCTCAAACGGGTTCTTCGCTATCTTCGTGGTACCATTGATTCTTGTTTAGTTCTCGCATCCTACTGATTTGGGTACTCTTACGGCGTTTAGTGATCTTGACTGGGCTGGTTGTCCGGATGATCGTCGTTCTACTACTGGTTTTCTCATTTATTTGGGACCTAATCTCATTGCACAGGCTTCTAGGAAACAGCCTACTGTGGCTCGCTCGTCTACTGAGGCTGAGTTTTGTGCGGTTGCTAATGTCTGTGTTGAACTGCATTGGGTGTGTCATCTGTTGTCCGAGTTAGGCGTTTCTTTACATCGCCCTCCCTCGATTTGGTGTGACAACAGTAGTGCAGTTTTCCTTGCTGTCAATCCTGTGTTCCATGCTCGTACAAGACATGTTGAGGTTGATTTTCACTTTGTCCGAGATCATGTTCGGCGTAAGTTTGTTTCGGTCAATTCTATCTCTGCTGCTGATCAGCTTGCTGATATTCTGACGAAACCCTTGTCCAAAGAGTTATTCTATCGATTTCGGGACAAACTTCGGCTTCTCTCTTCTCCGCCGTAAGTTTGCGGGGGCGTATTGTAATATTTAGTATATTTCCTATTATGTTCTAGTTTAGGATTTCTTATGTCTATATATAGTCTGTATATTGTGTACAACAGATCATGAATCTAATACAATTTCCCTATTCTAACTGCTTGAACTTCGGATTTTCTTCCTTTGACTTGGCTACAACTCCGATGATGAATCCGAGCTTATTCTTCATGCGTAAGAAAGGCTCCACCGAATGACTACATGGAAGGTAGTTTCTTCTGTTAATTTCGTGTTCATGATCACCATAGAAGAATTAACTGAGGGATGGAGTACATGCGGATGTGTATAACAACCATAGCTACAATGACCGGCAAAAAGAACATCAATCTTCACATTTGTGTCCGATTAGACTATTTCTGCTGACATTGGATCTTTGATTGGATCAATTTTGAATCGAGCCAACAATTCTTGTTCTACAAAGAATAACATTCAACTCAAGTAACAACTTTTGCATCTTTGTTTCTTCTGATCTCATCGACGCTGAACGTTGGATTTTTCTTTGGCTTTGAACTTCTATTAAAACAGTCAATCAGGGTTTTTCAGACTAGTTGAATCTCTTTCACATCAGAAATTGATCAAATTTAGATAGTTATTGTTTCAGAAATTAGAAAATTGTGATGTCAATTTCGATCAATTCATACGAAAGGAAAATTCTAATTTGAATTCTTAAAACTTAATCACATGTACAAGAATCTAGTATATATAAGTACATTGAACTATTCAGAAAGAGCCATATTTTTTTTACATCCAAACATGTAGAATAGCCATACAACTGAATTAGATTCACAAGCGGCTCTGATATCATTGTAAGGTTCAGATCACGTAAAGAAATAGATATGCAACGCCGGAGTTAACGAACCCTAATAAAAAACCATTCGATCTAAAATAATTAGTATAAAAATGCCTTTCACCAAAGATCAAACATGAATTATCACATCCATTGCTATCTCTTAATTTGATTTTTTTCCAACTTGCAAAGATAAAGTAAGAAGGCAAAGAAAGGAAATAAACTAGACCTAGGAAAGACCGAAAAATCCCGGTGATGTTTATGAAGCCATTCTCACCAATGACAGTGAAATACCCTTCGGGCGAATGAATGAGTAGGGAAGGGTATTGTTAGTTGTTAACAAGGTGAGAATCCGAAATCAAAGTTAATGAAAGGGCGATGATCGCTTAGGATAAGTTAAAATTAGGAGTCAACATATAAATAAATTTACGTCATCGATCTCATTTATACAGTTTGATTACTCTATATCAATAGCTATAGTTTTGATTTTTTTTTATTTTTCTTCCAATGGTATGATTCACAAATTTTAGAACAACAATGAAAAGTTGAAAACACATATAGATCTAATTCTTAGTTATTTCTGAAATATAAACAAAAATACTGTGGAGAGGACAACTAATCATATAATATAATTTATCTATAAAAAAAGGTTTGTACATCTACTCCTCAAGAATAATCACTAACCAACAAAATAAACTAATTTAAAAAATCAAGCCCATTTAGCCAAAAGAGACATACAACCAGCACCAAAAAGAAGGGAAATATTGCATCCCATGAGAAGTTTCCCACTATTTTGCAACTTTGGATTCATGAAATCAGCTGAAAGAAGGTCCACCAATGCCATATAAATCAAGATTCCAGATGATGCTGCGTTGAAAATGCCTTCCACAATCAAAGCATTAGGGCTATTATCGTCGTACACATTAGCTATACCGATTCCAATTGCAATCCCAACTGGCGTAGTTAGGGAGAAAAATAGTGCCATCACAGTAATTGCTTGTGCTTTGAATTTTGCCTATAATAGATAATAACAAGAAACAAGTATTAGCATTACCTTAAAAACTAGTGCCTAGACTACAAAATTGAACAGTATTGTAAGGTAGAGATGTAACAAAACTAAGCTTTAGTTAAAATTTTTATGTAATTTAAATTTAGCTCGATTCAAATAGACGCTTGAAGTAAGTTCATGTTAGTTAATAGTACCTGAGTGATACATCCACCCAATCCAAGACCCTCGAAAAACTGATGAAACGTCAACGCTGCCAGTAGAGGCTTTATTGTTTTTGGGCTATTATTTGCGCCTAATGCAATGCCAATGATGACTGAATGCACTATAATTCCCAATTCCAAAACCTGCAATCACTTCGACAGATGGAAACAATTGTTACTCACTTAACGTAAAACTTAAGAAACATAGTTATTATTCAAAAGAAATAAATAAATAAATAAAACAAAAGAATTAACTGAGTAAAGAACCAATTTATTGTGCAAAAACGTTTCATTAGTTATAGACTACATTAATTACTTTTGCTTAATTATCTGAAAGTAAACGAGCCTATACATATTTATTTAAAACAAAAGGAGCATGAAAGAACAAATTTAACTAAATGTTACCAAAAATTAATATTTTAGCATTGTGTATTGAAAAAATTAAAAAGAAAAATACCTGTGATATAACACGGTACCGAAGTTGGGTGGTGAGAGAAGAATCAGATGGAACAGAGCCATGTGCATGGCCATGAGTTGCGTGCGTATGAAGCGGAAGAACTTCACCACCACCACCGTCATCAGCCACCGCCGGATTCCCCTTCTCGCCGGAAGACTTTCTCCGGTAATGACTCGTGGCGTACACATCCACCATGAGCGTCCCGATCGTCGCCACCATCGCCACAAACCCGGTGAACGGGAAATTCCCCCACGGATTCTCCGGAAGACACGGAGAAGTCAAACTCTCGAAGGCATCGGGAAGAACATGGATAAATCCGGTGGCTAAGATCACACCCGCCGCGAAAGCTTTGACGACGAAGAAAACATTGCTCTCCGGACTCAGGGAAGGGATCTTCCTCCCTAACACCGGAATACAAACGCCGACCAAACTAGCCAGAAAAATCGAAGCTATGGCGCCGTATTTGTATTTAAGGGCTAAACTCTTGTTGTGTTCTTCTTCCAGGGCGGCGCACGGGTCGTCGTCTCCGAGAACTATGGAAGGCAATGTTATTATCAAAAGAGCTAAGAAAACACCAACATTTGTCTGGGAATATTTGCTCGCCATGATGATGATGACGGAAAGAACAAAAAGAAACCTAATTACTGTTAAACCCAGAAAGCGCAAAAAGCTATATATAAGATCTTTATATAGAACTCCCAAAATTGGTGAATAATAAGAAGAGGTTGAGAAGGATTGGAACAAGACAAATTTTTTGAAAAGATGGAATAGTAGTAGTTTAATATTGGGGATGACGAAGTCAATGAACGGTGATTAATCAAATTCAGTTCCCAATCACGATGAGGATTAATTAGAAGAAGAAGAAGATATGGAGAGAGGAAAGAGTTGAAAACAGAGTGGAGACATGATGAGGACATGGAAGATCTCTCCATTTATTCTTTTTTTTTTTTCATGTGCAGAGGAGAAAACTAATTTTGAGAGAAATAAAACTAGATCGCGGAAAGATGAAATTATGTGTGCGTGTGTGTGTGTATGTGTGTGTGTTTTAAGGGGGGAAATAAGGACAAAAAAAGAGTTGACGAGATTAATTAGGGAAAGCTGGAGTTGAGAAGGGGGGAAAATGGAGTTAGAATGTCGACATAACGGATCTGAAGGGGAATTTGTAGTCAACACAAATTAATAGGCGCTGATGTGTTTATTTGGTTGTTCAAAATCTTCGCGGTCTATTTTAATTTTAATTTATAGGCGGTGCCGATGACATTCCTACTTAATTAACTTAACTAATACTACTACTAGTATAAATAATTTAATCATAGCCTAATAACGTGTTTTCTTAAAAAAAAAAAAGAGATATTTAAAGTCGCGTATATATATCATCCTTATCACAACTTAAGATGATGAGATGGTCGACTCGAATCAAATGCTAGTAAGAGGGTGATTTTGTTATTAGCTAAATCCAGAGGAGTAATTTTTACCCGTAATTTTACATACTTTTCTCATTTGTAAATTTGAAAATTTTACAGTTGGTCCATCCAATGAAGTTTACTTCGGCTCTATAATATTGTAAGAGGAACTCCTGTTTTTCTTTTTCTTTTTTTTTTTTTTAATGTTGTTATGTAGGCATATTGTTAGGCTTTGCCTAGCCCTTTTTTTTTTTTTTGGTTTTATTTTCTCTTCATATACCAAAAATAACAAAAAGAAGAAAAAGATTAACTTGTAGTTTATTCATGTATTTTAGTATTTCAAAGTTAACTCCCAAAGTCACGTATCACGCCATATTGATCCATGATAAAAGCAACGCAACTCTCATTGTAACTCCGCTCAAAAGTTTTATGAAATGCATGTACCAGCCTTTTGTTTCGTATCCCTTTCTTCTTTTTATTTTAATAAATACACTTTAGATTGAGAGAACTAATCAACTAACTATATAGCTAGTTAGAAATCCTTAATTGTTCTCCACGGAGCAAGAGTATACTTTCAACTTACTGCGCAGTTTAACCACAGCCATTTTGGATCCTAATCCTCTTCTCCATTGGTTTCATTTCCACAGGCCCTGTACAATCTACCACCAAATGACTCTTCCCAGTCATTTGTAGTATGATATTACGATATCTTACGTATCACAACATTTATATTGACATATGTTATCGTAACTTAAACCAAATCGCTTTCCTTTTCATCCTTTGATTTCAGGAGGATTTGATTTGCATTGCCGAAGTGATAGTTGATAAGATAATTAGCGGTGAGATCGAATTACAAATTATATCCATGCAAGGGAATTTATATATGTAGTAATATTTATTTCTTTATTATGTTGATAAATCTCTAGAAAAATGTAACAATCTGTTAAATTAAAATAATACAAGGTAGATTATGGTTTTGAGACCGAAGGTATAATGGGTAATTAAAAAAAAAAAGAGAGAGAGAGACCGCCAAGCCAATAGAAAGTAAAGATAAAACATTGTTGAGGTTTGTGATAAAGGATCGAAGCCATTCCATGAGATTAATCGTCAGATCATTAAAAATTAGGTATTCAGATGGTGATGTAATGCCGTAATGGCAGTGGGTTGAGAAAGAAAAAACCATTCAAAGACCGACACTATTGAAAGATGGCAAACAGCATTACGGATAAAATACAGCATTTAGTATTGACCACGCATCAAAAACTTTGACAAGGTGGCAAAACGACTGGCAAGAGAGAGTCGAATTCTGACTTTGGAAGTAGGGATCGAACGACACAGAAGAGGATAAGTAAAAAAATGATTGCTTTTATTATGGAATTCAGTTTGAAAGGGCTAATTAAGACATTTGAAATGAACAAACATATGACAGTAGAACTTCTATAAATTAATAGTGTTGGAATCACCAAATTTTATTAATTTAGCTAATAATTAAATAATCGATAAATTAAATAAATTATTAATTTAAAGAATTTTTTCTTTGAAAACCCTACTATCCTACGTAATTTTCCATCATTTCTTTACAAGCCTAAACAAGTAAGGAGTGTAACTCTTTTTAATAATAAACTCAAACCTAATTTATATCATATTCAGAATCGAGATCAAGAAGGGGCTGAAACTCTTCTCTCAAGTATCAATAAGTTCATATTTTACTAAATCTTCCTAGATATTAGTTTTTTTTTGGCATTTAAGGAATTTATTAATTTACAGTATTGTTGGGACATATAGATATATAAGAAATTTTTTGAAACATTATTATCTTATCATTTTATTGATTTTTGTAATTTTTTCTACTGGTCCCAAGTTGGGACCGGAGAAAATTATTAATTACTGGAAGTTATTAATTTATCGATTATTAATTTACTAACGTTCTACTGTATAAAAGTCAATCTGTATACTTTTTTTCCTTACTTTTAGTTTACTTCACATTTCTAATACAGTAATTTTTCTTTTTTTTTTTTTGTCAAAATAGAAAGACATCTAACATTAGCACCAAAATAAGATAAATCATTGACAGACAGGTAACCTCTGCAAACACAAACTTTGATAAATTGCCACTCAAAAAGTCCTAAACTTAAATATGTAATTAATAGACAATTATCCAAAACAATCCAGACTGGGATTAAAAAAAACACATCTTTTATGTGATCGTAGATGGGTCATTATGGTCATAGGTTCATTATATCACTTGTTTACATGTCTTCACATCCCCTAATATGGATCGCTTGCAATATGTTGAACTCCAGGGTGATAGGAGACTGAATCCAAAATTGTTTGAAGTCGGATGTATCAGATTGAAGAGAAATCTGACAATGCACATCGGCAAAATAACAAAGATTCGCCTCAAGAAAATCAAATTGACAATAAAATCGATAAGAGGACGTCGACCAAGATGTCGACGAAAAAGCGTCAAGAACTATGTCGGTTGACGTAACAGACTGGAGCGTAGATAGAAAAGATTGACAGCAAGTGCAAAAAATGACAACTTCCGTCGGTTCATGGACTTGCTACAGATCTGACGCTGCTTCACTCCATCTTCTCCTTGTGGAATTTTGTGGCCATATTACCTTGATAAGTGGCTATGTTGTGTGACACTAAAGTATTTTGGGATCATTTTCCGATATAATTAATGTTCGTACGTGCTTTCGCCTATTTAGTGCACATGCTAGATGTTACATGTCTCGAAAATTCAATATGGTTAAAGTATAAGAACAACTTTGCTTTATAAATGTTATAATTTCTTTTGAAAATTTACTTGGAAACTTTGTAGTCGACATAATATATATCTTGTGACAATTTTACTTGAAATATTTTTGTAAACCTCTGCTCTTCATTAAGACTAGTGATGTCTGGTCGCGCAATGGGCGACCCTGACCCAATATATCTGTAAATCTTAGAAATATTTGTATCTGAAAATAAATATTTTGTATTTGGCTCAATATATTTTAGAAATGTTTGAAGAATTTAGAAATGTTTTATAAGTGTGATTATCGAAATGTTTGTATTTGGCATAAAAAGAAATTGTATTTGGCCCGGTACGTTTTAGAAATGTTTGAAGATTTTAAAAATGTTTTATAAGCGTTACTTCTTAAATATAAATAAATTGATCAAATATATGTCTTGAAGTAAATGCTAGACAAAATATAAAAGTATCCTAATAAGTTTAAATATTAGTAAGATGATTTATTAATGTTCTCCATTGGTTGTGTCAAATCAATACTTAGTTTTGGAGATTTATAATAGCTTTGCAGTAAGCTTCCTCCTACCTCCAAAAGGTATACGCTTAATTGTTGGAACTATTTCTTCCAAAAGTTTATAGATAGTAAAATATCAAAAATATGATTTTGAAACTGGTTAATTGTTGTAACTGGTTGGCCACAAATATGAGAATGAAAATAATGTAAATTTGCATAGGTTTCAAGTTATAGCAAAAAAGAACTCACCTCACCATGGCAAATAAAAAAAAAAGAAAGTAAAAGATAGCCCATTAAAAATTGAGAAATTTATTTTTTTCTGTAGGTAAAAATGATGTATAAAAACACAAATAAACGTAGAAACATCATTCCTTTCCTCTCCACCTTAAATTCATAAAAGGCTTCCCCATAAATTAGTTAGAAGAAGCGACCTGAACTATTTATATGATGAGGAACTAAAAAAAGTCCAAAAACCAAATCCAAAAAAGTATATTCTTGAAAGCCCGAACACAAAAAAAAAACGCGCTTCATTTGCAAATAAAATAAAATAATAATAATAATAATAATAATAATTGGTCAACTGAGAGTATGAAACAAAATTAAAAGCAATTAGACAAAGAAAAAACACACTTCATAACTGACCATATACAGAAAAAAACAGAGACTCTATAATTAAAAAAAGAAAACCACTCTAATTGAATGAAACATAAAAAAAAAAATTTTAAAAACCACACTATGTAACAAAAACCCAATTAATCAATTCAATCCAAACAGAACTAAAATCATAAAAATTATATGCCAACTAACCATATAAGAAATCACATCATATTACCTGACAACGGTTACGGTAGTTGTAACGGATGGACGCATAAAAATAATAGTAATAACACTACTATTGAACGGGAAAAACAAAAAAATAATAAAAGCCAAACAAATGATTTGTGAAAATAAAATCATTTAAATTTTAATACCTGTAATGGCACCACCACAACGGCCGAAGCAAGATCAATGGAAATTTTTTTTTCTCCTTTGTGTTTATATAGAGAGGTAAAGAGAATATTTGTTGAACTCGAAATTTTATCCGATTAGGATGTAGTTGATCATCACTAATAAAAAAATTGAACATGCTAATAGAAAATGAGTATATTTCACCAGATATTCTCAATTGATGATTGATGAGGAATTTTTTTTTTTTAATTGTGGAGAAGGGATTGATTAGAAAGTCGATTGTCGTGAAATGGGGATGAGGATTTGGGTTTTTTATGAACCCGTGGTTTTTTTTTTTGGCGAAAATAAGAGGTGGAGGTGGATTTGGAGTACATTTTCCTTTTAAGTTTAAGAGATGTGTAAATAAAAATTTATTTTAAAAATATGATATGGAAATGGCATATGGTAAATGGTGGTACTTTCTATTAAATGTGATTTTTGTTTCTAATATGGTAAGATATCAGTATTTCTGTCCTTCAACGAATGGAAATTTTGAGGTAAAGTTTGGCGCATCTTTCATCTCATGTTATATGAAGTACAGTGATTAATATGTACCTCCACATCATTAAACTACATGATACTATTGTTGGTTAAGTTATTTTTTTACTGCAAGATTTAGTTAGATAAATAAAATTTAAATTGGAATTTGAAATTTGTTTAGATTATTTTAGTTAAGATTAGTTTTTGAGACTTTTAGAAATATTTTAGGAATTGGAGAGTATTTTTCTCTTTTTTATTATTGTAAGAGTTGTTTATAAATTAGACTTCTTAGAAAATAAATGCAATCCTCTTCTGATAAAAATCTATGATTTTTTTCATCTCTTTCCCAACAACTATGATTATGCACTTGTTGACTATATCGACGCCTTCTTTGGCCGTTTCGCGTATATATAACATACTTTCTTCGTCGTGAAACATCAGCTTGGGCGTTGAGAAAGCTTCGGCCATAGAAAATGCAGAACAATCCACAAACGCAAATGCACGTTCAGAATCAGTTTCATCCATAATCCCAAGATGCGTGATTACAGTGAACCAGATTGAAGAAGACGGGCTTTATTTTCTTTGAGAGTTGTCACCAAAGAAGGACTGAAGAGAGACCTTTCAGTTTGAGGCAAACAACCATTTTAACTTAACTCACTGGATCTCATATTTCATGTAAAAAGAAAGAAAAAAAAACCGCATTGTATTATGTGTAATTAGCCTCCCACAAAATACTACTCTATGGTCTTTATTATAAGATATTTTGATTTGTGCTTACCTTAAAAATATATTTTCACATTTGTTATGTTCTCTAATTATTAGAAAATATTTTTAAGATTTTTTTTTCTAATAGAAAAACATACTAGGTAAAACATAAGACAAATTAAAATGATTTATTAAGGAGGGGGAGTAACGAGCAAGTGATGAGTAATCAAAATATAGGATTCGTGAAACCATTGAGTCCGTGAAGGCATTATATATGGGTTATTGCCACAATCAGATTAAGTTAGATTCATCTTTTTCTTTTCATTTTTTGTTTGACATAAGTTATATTTTCATCACCATCCTCGAGCATTATCGTGCCAATGATGGTGGTGTCGCATGTCCTGAACAATCATGTCGGCGGGATCTTAAGATAGCATATCATCAAAGATAGTATTAGGCTATAGTGAGATGATGGGATTGATCGATTTGCACAAAAACCTGAAAGATTGACTGAACCTTTTTACCCTAACTCACAAATTGGTACTTTCTGTAAGTTGGATTGGTTTGGATACATGTTGGAATATAGTCTTATCTGATGGATGCTCTCAGACCTTGGCGAAAGGCTATGAAGTGATGGATGAAAATTGTGAAACAATTTTATCTTCTTCTGAATCTGCATATTTTAATAGTCCAATAAACTAATAGAAATGATTTGAAAAAAAAAAAAAATCTAATGGAAAAACTCACATCACCTCTTCCACGTTCTAAACAAATGCTCTTTGTCCCATTCATATATATTGGATGAAGATATACAATCTTGCTTGTCGGGATAACATATGTTATCGTATTCTTGACCAAATCATATACTACCTTTCAATCCTATATTTTGACCCAAGCCTCCAATTTATTTATTTTTTTTTAAAAAAAGATAACTGAAAATATTGATAAGGTTATGATAAAAGGACGGAATAAGCAATCCCTTGAACCAATCAGCAGTTGGATACAATTAGGTCGTAAGATGGTTGAAGTAATATAGCAGTAGGGTGAGAGAAAAGAAATTAACAATTACCAAACCGACAATATTGAAAGATTGCAAATAATGTGGACCAATTATTAAATTTTACATTGAAAGAGATGGTCGAACTTTTGACAAGAAGGTGTGTACAACAAGACTTGAACTAGAGTGTTGACGTCTGACTTTAGAAGTATTACTTTATAACTTACGTCCACTGTAGTAGGAACCAAACGAGGATAAGTTAATTTAAAGGGAAAAAAGAAGAAACAAGAAGATTATTTCTTTGCCTCAAATTGCTCATGAAGTGGTTTGATCCATAAATATACCCTTATCAATTGTAGTGTTTCTAATATACGTACTTCCATTATATTTACCAGTCAAGGAAAACCGGGAGATCGAACAGAAAGACAAAAAAAAAAAAACAAAAGCGACGATAATAGTTATGGGTGGGAAGACTTAGGGTCAATGAAAGTGAAGTAATAACATTGATATAACATTAGAATTGCGCAAATTATTCAAAAGGAGGCGGAAGAGAAAGAATTTAGTCAATTTTTGAAGCTTATTAGTACTGTATGAACATGCTTTGTCTGAACTTTCATTTTCGGATTCATGGCCACCGCTATCATATTCAGATTTGAGTTGTTCGACAATTGTAAATGCCACGAAAATGGGGGAAGAAAAGGAAAGAACCAAGTTAGTCATTCAGTACACCAATTATTGCGAAAAAAGAATCCGGTTAGGCAAATCAGATATAACAACTAGCTAGTATTGAAGAATATTCTTAGCTATTAACACGTCTACGGCGGGCGATGAGAATTTCCCAGAATAAAAACAAATGGAAGTTTACGAGTTAAAGGAACATTGAATTTTTGCGATCATAAAAGAAATATATATAAATGGTATGTCTCCAGTGATTTTTTCTTTTTTTTTTTTTTAGTAGCTTTGCACCTAACTAGTTACTTTTCTCTTCTTTCTTTCTCTAGCTCACTTGGATTGCATGTTTACCACTACCTTCGCCGCGATGTCGCACGGTGTAGAATTAAATTTGAAAAAAAAACTTCAAAAATATTATAAAAATATTACTAAATTTGAAAATTAATTTAAAATATATTTGTTATTTTGATGATATTACTTATTTTTTCCAGTGTAAAATAGACAATTCTACTCCTGAGTTTCAAGAAATGAGAAGAAAAGAGAGAGTTGTACTATTTTCTTACGATATTCTTATCTTCTTTTTCCTTTTTTTTTTTCTCTTTTCTATTTATGCGATGTAAATGTGTATGAACATGCTTGTGTGAGCTTTCACTCTCGTATCAATTGCTATCATAGACACATTCGACTTATTCAACTTGTAAATGCAAAAGAAAAAGAGGGAAGAAAAGGAGATAACAAGAATAAGGCCTTAGGACGAGGTTTGCCAAGCCATTCCAACCATTTATTGTGAATAAGAATCCGGCCTAGCAAATGAAAGATGACAAGTTTTGAAAAGTGTACATAATATATAACATACATTGTTAGTAAACATGGCAAAAGACGCAATATATATATAATAATAATAATAATAATAATAATAATAATAATTATAATATCATGGAAGGGCAATGATTGTGACTGAGTTAGCAAAAAGTTAACTATAAGCCATCAATACTAAATAGTATACATACGTCGACTCTAATTTCAGTTTGAGTACCCTGATAATAACTCTATATATGATATAATAATATACAGTGATAAAAAAAACATTTAATTCTTAGATATCTTTTTGAAATATACATTAAAAATTTCGGAAAGGAGAAACTTATCCATCTATTTTTATCTATGAATCTAATTCTGGAGGGAGAAAAAAAATAAAAATCAAGCCCATTTAGCCAAAAGAGACATACAACCAGCACCTAAGAGAAGAGAAATATTGCATGCCATGAGAAGTTTCCCACTATTTTGCAACTTCGGATTCATGAAATCGGCTGAAAGGAGGTCCACCAACGCCATATAAATTAGGATTCCAGATGAAGCTGCGTTAAAAATCCCTTCTACAATCAAAGCATTACGGCTATTCTCATCGTACACATGGGCTATTCCAATACCAACTGCAATCCCTACTGGCGTAGTTAGGGAGAAAAAAAGCGCCATCACAATAATTGCTTGTGCTTTGAATTTTGCCTACAACATTGACCCCAAGAAAACAAATTACGTACATGTTTTTTCGTAAACAACACAAATTACTTTATTTTGCATGCGATCGAACTCATGAAAATCCTAGATTTTGGTATTAATTAGTTACCTGAGTGATGCATCCGCCAAGTCCAAGACCTTCAAAAAACTGATGGAACGTCAACGCTGCTAATAGAGGCTTTATTGTTTTTGCGCTGTTATTTGCGCCTAGAGCTATACCAATGATGACTGAATGCACTATAATTCCCAATTCCAAAACCTGCAATCGTTACAAACTATATATGAGTGGAAAAAATAGAAATCTATATTCCATTTTCCCAACCGAAAATTAATTCTTTGTTACTTGAAATTCTTAACGTAGTATTTTTTTGGCCGAGAAATTATCATCTAAATCTTAATGTAACACATAGGACAATAATGTTGATAATTAGACTAATCGAGTATGTACGTGCTCAGGTTCGCCAAGCAGTGTGAACACAAATATTTAGAATTATGAATTAATTTTATATTTTTTTTGATTGATGGATAGTATGAATTAATTGTAATGAATGGTAACACAACTTTTGAGGATGAATTAACAAAGATAATTTGAAAATAAATTTGTTATTTTGGTTTTATTTATTGTTACTTGGTTTATTTATTTAATTTTTTTTATTTTGGGGGGTCAAGTTACGTTCGTACCCGGATTACAACCTTTGCGAAGGAGGGGATTATTATTATTATTACGCTTGGCAGTTAAAACAATTGTTTCATGGAATATATAAACAACAAACTACGAAGAAAAAGAAAAAAATTCAAAACAAACCTGTGATATAACACGGTATCGAAGCTGGGTAGTGAGAGAAGAATCAGTTGGAACAGAGCCATGCGCGTGGCCATGAGTTGCATGCGTATGAAGCGGAAGAACTCCACCACCATTCTCCTCCTCCTCCTTCACCGTCGCAACCGCCTTCTCACCGGAGGACTTACTCCGGTAATGACTCGTCGCGTACACATCCACCATGAGCGTCCCGATCGCCGCAACCATAGCCACAAAACCGGTGAACGGGAAATCTCCCCACGGATGCTCCGGAAGACACGGAGAAGTCAAACTCTCAAAAGCGTCTGGAAGAACGTGGATAAATCCGGTGGCTAAAATCACACCCGCCGCGAAAGCTTTGACGACGAAGAAAAGGTTGCTCTCGGGACTCAAGGAAGGGATCGTCTTCCCTAACACCGGAATACAAACTCCGATCAAACTCGCCGTGAAAATCGAAGCTATGGCTCCGTATTTGTATTTGAGTGCTAAGCTCTTGTTATGATCTTCGCCTGACGCCGCACACGGATCGTCTGACCCGTCTCCGAGAACCACGGAAGGCAACAGTACTATTAAAAGGGCTAACAAAACTGGAAGTGAAGTTTGAGAAATATTCTTCACCATGGTGATCCGAAAAGAAGAAGAAGAAGAAAAAGCTCAGAAAAGTAAAAAAGCAAAATGGCTGAGACGAAACTAATAAATACTTTGCTGTGAATACAAACTAGAGCAGAGTGATTTGTTCGGTTTGTTATTATATATATATAGAGAGAGAGGAAGAAAGAGAGAGAAAAGTTGGGGACGATTCGAAAAGACAAGGAACTGAGTTCAATCACAATGAGGATTGAGGAATATCATCAATTAGGAGATATGGTGAGAGAGAGGAAAAGGGTTAAAAGCACAGCTAAATACAATTTTTGCAGAGGGGAAAGGAGACATGATGAGGACATGCAATGTGGAATATCTTCTTGCCGTTTGGAGGGAAATTAACTTACTAATAAATTAGTATTTTGAAGAAATGTAAAATTAGAGCTTGGAAAGTAAGATTATTAGTGTGTGAGTTTTGGACAAAAATGAAATTGAGGTTTTTTTCTTTTTTTTGGGGGAAAAATAAGGATAAAAAAACTTCAAAAAAAAAAGGAGTTGACGAGAGCTGGAGTCAAGGGGAATGGGAGTAAGAGTGTCGACATTTTTCAAGCGAATTTATAGTAAAAAAAAAAAAAATTATAGTCAAAACAAACTCATAGGGCTGGTCCAGGTCAACTTTATAGGCGGAGACATTCGCTCATTGATTTAACTAACAAAACTAAATATAATAAATCATACGCTAATATCGTGGTTTATTAAACAAGAGAAACACTGCCGTATTTAAAGTGTCGCATGCAGTTAAATCGTGATGCGACATGATAATAATCAATCAATCAAAGGGACACAGTGTAATTGATAAAGGTCAATTTATCATTAACTACTCCTAAAGTTTCAACCGCCATGCATGTTTAATTCAACCACCAAAATGAAAAAGAGAAAAGAAAAAGTGTAATAAACTACGTATGAACTGGATGCAGTATTTTTAAATAAGTTTATGGATTTCCTTCAATAATAGAAAGATTTTCATAGAAATAGTTGTATCTCTTTGGGGTATATAAAAATGGTTTTGATACGGAACGTACAAAGGGCCCCGGGTATAAATAGTTGAAATTAGGTGACAATAAGAACAGTTTACACAGTATTTTATTATAGTTAAAATTTCTCAAGATCACAACTCGGCCTTACATATTATATAGTTACAATTTCTTCGATAAGTGAGTGTCTTGTGTTGTTGTCTCAGTGAACTGATAGCACATTCGCTTTACAATATGTGTGTCTAATTTGTATGTCCATACTTTCTCAACCTTCATGGCCAGGTAGCATGGTGTTAAGTAGGGTTTGAGTCTGTTTCTTCTTCTGTAAGTGTTAATTTAAGTTCCAGACACATCTGCAGTCCTTCAAATTAAGAAAGCGTTTTAACCTTTGTTTTGTGGGATAACCGAATTACATTTTGATTCAGCAAATAATAATTTAATTTGTTTTCTGTATCTCGGATGACAAATTCCGCACCCGGCAAAGCTTGAATTATTACCGTCAACAATCGTCTTTATCCAGCTATTTGGTTTTATCCATGAGACGCCTATGCTACCTGTTTGTGTAGCTGGCAAAAATAAACGGCTGCATGCTCCTTGGTAGCAGTCTTGTACTTTTTCTTTTCTTTTTTTTTTTTTTAAAGGAAAGAGGCAAAAATCTAAATTAAGAAATAACACATTTTGTAGGTTGAAAACACCTATTATGTTATGTTCTAACTACAATCTAGTCATGACGGAAATCGGCAAATTAACCAGATAAAAAATAACTAAAGAATTATTTTGTAATTCGTCATAAAATTAATCTCACGAAATTCATGTCGCAGTTCTGCACTCTAGTACTACTCACACATAATCAAATATCAAATAGCACCAACTGATCCCCATTCATATCCCTACACAACCTCATTCCCTTTCACCATGTGTTATAAGGTTCAGTTCTTTTGAAATCATTTCTACGCTAATCTGTGGAGTTGACCATTCATAGATAGATTTGTTTTTGGCTTATCAAATTTGCCTAGAGACTAGGGATGTGGTTGAAGAATCTGACAACTCCAAAATAAAAGAATGCACGTCTTTTGAAAGCAAATCGATGGTTCCTTAGTTATACTTGCTACTCATGTCCAGTAAAAATATCAAATTTAACATGCATTATATTTTTGGGATATGGCTACTATTACTATACTTATTATATATATGAGTTACAATTTCCATTTTTTAATCTATCACTTTAGTATTTGCACAGGTACTAAGAAAACAAGATTCAGATTTTGGTGTTTTAGTATACAATAATTAGTTTATATTAATAAAAAGAGAAAAAAAATATGAGTGAAATTGAAAAAAAATATATATTTAATACTGCATTAAAAATAAAGTGCGACAGATAAAAATAATTTTGGATTCACCTTCAAGCGACAGATTAAAAAAAAGAAGATAGTAATAACTAAAGCCTATTCAGAGTTCTTGAGGCCAAAATAAAATTTGGAGTTTCAATTTTTTTATTTTATTTTTTGATTTTTTGTTACTTCAACGTAAAGGCACATGGATGTTTTGTTTTTTTTTTTTTGAAAATAGTGCCTGCTTTATTGAAATTAAGGTACTAGTCTATTACAACGCATGCGATTATAAACTAAATTATGTATTTCGATTACATCTTGTCCACTCGCATCCATGGATGTTTTGTTAAGTAAGCTGCCAAATGCATTCATCCAGTTTACACGTTACAGAGTTGGAAGGGTTTACAATTTGAGCTGAGCAATGTCCTCTAAATGTATGTCGTGGATGGAAAATTTCCAAGTTCCAGTTTTGCAAGTTCACGTCATCCCTAATTATTGGACAGGAGTTTTGCCATCGTATTTGGTACTTTTCCTCATGAATTACTCCATGGATGCGACATGGGCCGGGAAACCTAAGGATGTTTTAATTTCATTTGGCCCGAAAATGATAAACCTGAATACACATGTGAAGATTTTTTTTGCCATATTTAGTATGTAGATGCTGCCATAACATCCTACCTACCTGGTTAATGATTTTGGCTGATGTTTTAATTTGGGCGCTTTATTGTAGGATTATCTAGTATGTTCTTAGGCTTTGCCTTAACAAAAAAAAAAAAAAAAGAATTACTAGCTCATTTCGTTTCTATGTTCTTTTAGCATCGTAAAGTTATGGACACAAAGTACTGCGTACAAAAAAGTCACAAGTCAGAAGGCAAAAAGAAGCATAGATATTGAATGTATACGTACCGGTATTTATATATTGATCCATCAAAATAACTACCGTTTTTAATTAACTTTCCTCAAAAGCTGTATGAAATGCATGTGCTACCTATTTGTTTTGCATGCCCTTTCATATATATATATATATATATATATATACACACATATATATGTATATATGAAAAAAAAATAGTACATTACATTTTTAAAGCGTAAGAACTAACTAGCTAAGATAGAAAGCTGACGTCTTCTAGCTAGTCTTCCTTTCTTTTCTCTCCAAGGAGAAAGAATATGCTTTCAACTTATTACTGTAGTTTGATAGATCACCTAAAACCACAACCCTTTTGGATCCTTTTCCTCTTCTCCATTGGTCTCATTTCCATCTTCAAGAACTCCATCCTCATAGCCAAATGGATCTTCACAACACTGTTGAGACCTCCCAAAAACCTCAAGAAAGACTATGGTTCATGGGCACTCATCACGGGATCAACCGATGGTATAGGAAAAGCCATGGCTTATGAGCTAGCTAAAAAAGGCCTCAACTTAATCTTAATCAGTAGGAACTCCCAAAGACTCGAACAAGTCTCCAACCAAATCCAATCCCTCTTCCCAAACATCCACATCAAGATTCTTGCCCTAGATTTCTCGTTAATGGATGACAATCGTTGTTATGTTAGGATTCAGGGTGCGATCAAGGAATTGGATGTTGGGTTGTTGGTTAACAACGTTGGGGTTACATATTCATCGGGGGCGAAATTTTTCCATGAGGTGGAGAAAGAGGATTGGATGAATGTTGTGAGGGTGAACTTGAAGGCTACAACGTTGGTTACTAGAGCAGTTGTAGAAGGAATGATAAAAAGAAAGAGAGGTTCAATAGTTAATATTGGTTCTGGAGCTGCCATTGTTGTGCCTTCTCATCCCCTTTATGCTGTTTATGCCGCAACTAAAGCGTATGCATTTCTCTCATCTTTTTTGCATGATTAATTTTTATTCCAACTTTCACAAAACGACAACATGATCAATATACTATATATGGTTCCTTTCCTTTCACGATTTAATGTGCTTGTTTAATCAACTAATTAATATTTGTTTTATATGTGTGCGAAAGATAGATAAGGGAGTTAATTAATTGAAGAGTTTTAAAATTATGAGAAAATTTGGTAAAGGTTTAAAGATACTAAAATAGAGAAAGGGCCATTATTCATGGTACTCGAGAAACCTGGGGTACTTTAATTAGCAACTATCTAAGGTAGGTCGTACGTTTGTTTTTCCTGGACTAGGTTCTACATTTGTTGAGTTGTATATATTTTGATCGAAACCGTGTCACATGCGCTGGTTATAAATACTACTTTCTACATGACAATTTTATCATCATCAATGAAGCCACTGTATAAGATTCTCGTGATAAGCTAGCTGTTGTTTGCCTTTCTCATTGTTTTTTTTTTGTTTTTTAATAAAGTTTCTCTTTTGTGGTTCAGTAAGTTTTAGGTAGCGTTGAATTGAAGGAATTCGCGGCCAATTCACTTCAATTAATCTAACCAATATAGTCCATTATTAGTGAGCATTTCTTGAAACTTCCTAAAGCCTGAAGCCCTCAACAAAATGCCTCATTAAACTCAATTATCCGCTGGTTGGGTTGAATGGTTATGGAATTTGCACTTTTGGGGAAATGAATTATGGTGAATGGAAGCTGCGAGTAATCAGAAAAAGACATTGACTTGCTTAAATGGGAATTGTGATTGCTACAGGACCTGGATCGAATTCTTCCTCTCTTCTTTCATTTTTCATCTTCAGTGTCTATATTTATTACTGATGTTAAGTCATCGATTCGCTAGTCTGTACTCTGTAATCTACTTTGAACCTAGACTCCGTGGACTAATTCCGTCGTTGCGTTTTCTTGGGAAAAGGAAAAAAAATAAAAATCTTATTCTATCCGTTTCATTTTAATAGCGCACTTAGTTTAAAAAACGGACAGAAGGTTTGTTAATTAGACCCTGATATGAAAGATTATTTATCCCATCAGGTACGTTGATCAGTTGTCCAGAAGCTTGTATGTGGAATATGGAAGTTGGGGAATTCATGTTCAATGTCAGGTAAAACATCAAAACAAGAAACATAATTAAAATTAATCTTTCTTTTTTATTGATTCAGTATATATGTGATGTAATTAGAAATTGATTCTGGTTTGAAAATTATGAGGTTTCAGGTGCCATTGTATGTATCGACGAAGATGGCATCAAGAGTGGCTAAGATTCAGAAATCTTCATTTTTCGTGCCAAACGCTGAGAGTTACGCAAAAGCAGCCGTGAATCGAATTGGGTATGAAGTAAGGTGTACTCCCTGGTGGACTCATTCTCTGCAGTGGACTTTTGCCTCATTTCTCCCTCAGTCTCTTCTTGATCATTGGCGTTTATCCATCGGGATTTCTCGGAGAAGGGACCTTCAAAAGAATTGACTCCAAAAGGAATATTGCTTGATTAATACTAATTGTTTGTTTGGGAGCAGGTTAGATTGGCTGGAGTATAATGTTGTACGGGTATTGCACTTTTTATAGTGTGTTTTCGTGTTGATCTCATTGTTTTTTATTACTCCTTCCGTCTCATAATTATTGTTCAGTTTGGGTTTTCATTTCTAGTTCAAATTGTACTAAAAGTGAAATTTCAAACTGAACAATAATTATGGGACGCAAGGAGTACTTTTTTGTATCACCTTATTGAACTATCAGGAAAAAAAGAATTGGTTGGGACCTGGGAGGACACAAAGAAAGGTGAAAAATGTAACAGCTGTTCAACATTTGGGATCATAAGTGTATTATTAATTCCGCTCACACAACTATTTTCGTTTTTTTTTTTTTACTCTCTCCCGTGTCTTTTAAATTCTCTAGATTTCAGTTATCATATATTCTTATAATTAAAAATAAAATTTTATAAATATTTAATAATATAATTAGAAGAATACAATAAATGTACAAACTTAGGAGAAATTAAAATATCTTATGATAAGAACTAGCGAGAATATTTTGAATTTTTGTAACATATAAGAACTATAGAGAGAATATTTTAATTAATTTTTGTTTATTCACCAACAAGGTTATTAACAATTAATCTCATTTAATTTGCTTCAAAATTACTTTCTGTAAGCATGAATCCAACCTTCAATGGCCAAATCCAACTCCATGCTACTTATTACTTTATTTGTCTCATAATCATAATTATAAATTTCACTCATGTTACAAGATAAATATAAATGCAGTATATAGTTTTTGGCCATGGTTTTTAAACAAAGGACAAAATATAAATTTGGATCTTTATTATAGACATTTTATTTTGGTACGACAAAGTAATTTTTTTTTTTTTTTTTTTTTTTTTTTTGCCATTGGATCAAGGAAACAGTAATTAAATGTGAAAATACGAACAATGTTATTATTGGAAACTTAAAAGACAAAACAAACGGAAAGAGGATGGGAGTGATTATTATCAAACTTTAGGGAGAGAATTAACAAAACCACTTCAAAAACCCTCAAAAAGACAAAAAAGAGGGAAAAGAGGGCGGCGACTCCTTATACCGAGCGCGGCTGTTGCTCCGGCGGAACGGTTTGCAGATGCCGAAACGCCGTCGCCGCGATGATGGTTCTCACGACGGCGCAGCAACAGCTGTGGAAGAAGAGTATTCCACCCTGTTCATCGATACCAGCCTCGGAACCCATATGGCCACCGTCATCCCCGACTCCGCCATTGTCTCCGATGTTAAAAGTAACCGTTCTCATTCTTTGCATCTTACTTCTATGCTGAAAAATCTGATTTTTAATCATCCTTTAATTTGTTTCTTAGCTGAAGATGTGTTGTTTCTGAACTGGAGGTGACAGGACTTTTTTGTATGTGTTTGTGTTAAGAAGCTGTGAAGTATCTCTGGGGAATATTTTTAATGTTTCGTTTAAAGTTTTGGGACGAGATTTTGTTTGAGTGTGTATCTTTAAAAGTAGTTCAAATTGGCTCAACAAATGACCACCCCGGCTTTCTCTTATTTATCTATTTTTTCCGGCCCGAAACGTTATTGATTTGTTAGAGGATTGCTCCATTGTACCGTGTTATTGTGTGTTCTATGTATAGATTGGCATGTTTCTGGTCGACCCAAAATAACTGAGTTTTTCTATGATCGGATGGTGAAGAAGATAATATGGAAAAGAGTAATTATTCGATTGTTATTTTGATTTCCAGCTTTGTATGTAGACGGCTATGTTCTGGTTCACTTTGAATAATCAAGTTTCTTTTTTTCTGGTTGTGGGGTTTTAACGGCGAATAGAGAAGATTGTGCTAGAGCACTCACAATTATTTCCACGGTTTGGAGATATACAAGTGATTTCTTTACAGGTATTTGTTTTAGTAAGTTTGTGATTCTTAGTTTATAATCTGTAAGTTTATGCTGCTCATAGTGTGCTTATGTTGCTGTGTTTGCAGGTACAACGCCAAGGTCATTTCTACCATCTACCAGATTCAATACCTGTAGCTAGTGCATATGTGAGATCCAAACTGCACAAGTCACTTTTTGTCGAAGCTTCAAGTTCTGAGCATGATTATTTTGACCCTGAGGTTAAGTGGGGAGTTCTCTTGGAAGCCTCTGATCACAAGACCGTTGGCATCGAAACGTCGGCAGATCGTGTTGTTCAAGGTGGTTCATGTGTCGAGGCTATTGCCACTAAAAGCCACTTGTTATTACCTAGTGAAGAAGCAACCGGGGACCCAATTGCTGAACTTGGAAATGCAATGACATTAGCAATATCACATCAATCCACTGATACGGGATTCCTTAGGTCACCGGTTGTTACAGATTCCCATAAAAAAAGTAAGGTTGTAGCGGACGCAATCGATGAGGTTGTTCACTTTGGAGGTTTGGAATCTGTAGCTAATGAGTCCGATAAGGATGTTGTGCCACCTGGAAGCTGTAAAGTAACTGATCCCATTCAGGCGGCGGAAACTAATAAAACATCAACCGTTGGCAGTAAAGTTTTGGAGACTAACAATTCAAGAGTAACTGTTGGCACTATGAAGAAGATTAGGGCCAAAGATAAAGTTTCTGGGGTGCAGATTAACTCCATTGGGGGACAAAGTGAAACTATCGGTGCAAATCCTACATTGCTTGTCCCAGACTCAGTTACCAAGGACATTGTTGTCGACAACACCAGTAAGGAGAAAGCAGATGTTGAAGTGGAGAATGGCCTCAAGGATAACCTGTCTAAACATTTGAATCCTGCAGGTAACCAAGAAAGGGTTCCAAGTGAGGCTCCAGTTGAAACTGTTCAGTCTGTTGGCATGAAGAGGAAGAGAGGGAAGACGAAGGAATCTGCTGCTAAAGTAGGTGGAGACAAATCGAAAAAGAAGAACAAACTAATTGCTGTCCCTGTTAGCGGTGCTTCTCCAGTCCTGCAAGACGTGACTTCCCAAAATCAGATGACAGATGACAATATTAAGAGCAGAAGTGATCTGCATTTTCTACAAACTGGTCAGGCAGATAACATTTCTATAGAAAACGGAGGGTCTTTGGAACTAGGAAGCAAAGTGATAGTTTCCACGGCAGTATCTGAATCATTAGGTTTGGGTGACAAAAATCTTGAAGAGAACAATTCTGATGCTGCAATTGTGACATCTGGTGCCAAAGATATGAAATCTAGTAGTAAATCCAAGAAACAAAAGTCAAAGAAGTCCTCGAGAGTTGATCAGGATTCTGGTTTCCTGGAGCAAATGGACAATGAGAATGGGCTTCTTAGTGTTACAAATACGCCGGCCAAGCCAGTAGTAGATGAAGGCTTGAAAGCAACTTTTGAATCAGTTGATGTCTCTGCATCAATTGCTCACCTAGAAAGCGAGAAAGTTGTTAAGAGTCAGGAGAATATTTTGCCACCCTCCAAAATGTATGGGAAAGAGGGGAAACCTGCTGCTGCCAAGGATAAAAGTATAGTTGGAAACAACTCAGATACTACGATTGGTACCAAAGATTTGAATACTGGTAGTCAACTGAAGAAAAAGAAGATAAAGAAGTCTAGAAGAGTTGATCAGGTTTCTGGTTCCCGGGAGCAAACTAACAATGAGATTGGCCTTCTTAGTGTGACAGATATGGCTCCCAAGCTGGTAGTAGATGAAGGCATGAAAGCAACGTCAGAATTTGTGGATGTCTCTGCATCTGTTACACAGCTAGAAAAAGAGAAAGTCGTTCATGTCCAGGAAGTGATTTTGCCACCCCAAGAAATGTACGTAAATCAGGAGAAAACTGCAGCCAGGGATGAAAATTTGAGAGAAGTTGTAGAAATGACTCAAAATAGAGATGATGACGATATTGGAGTTTCCAACGGAAAGCTGGTCACAGCAAAACCTACAGATGTTCAAGATCAAGGGCTGGATCAATCTGGCAGCATCATTAATAGGAAGGAGAAATTGAAAAGGAAGAAGGATAAAATTCCACATAAGAAAGCGCAGAACATCGGTGTTGAAAACTCAACATTAAAACCTCATTTTGAAAATGAAAAGGGTACAGGGATGGAGTTGGGTTCTGCAAGACCTGAGGTTGTATCCAAGGAAAGACTTGAAACAGAGATTAATGCTGAGGGTAACTTGGGAACTGCAGAAGGTGCTTATGAAGGGATCGACTTCAGGCATTATTTTATGTCTGGAGAATCCCGGGATGAAGTTGGTTCTTCACGAGTCAAGGCGAAAGAAGCATCGGAGTCTATAAAACCAAAGAAAAAGAAAGAAAATCATAATGCTAGCAAAACTGAGAGCATTCTGAAGTTGCCCGAAACCCATGTAAAAGGAAAATCATCAGACGGCACAAACGGCAATGACAAAAAACTTGAAGAAGCATCTGTTGATGAGCAGAACAACAAAAAGTTGCCTTCTGTGAAGAAGATTCGGAAAGATTCTCAAGATGGAGTCAAAGCTCGAACTAGGCAAGGTGATGTTGCAGGCAATAAACCCCTTGAAACGGCCACGAAGGAAGCTATCACGAACCGCTCTAGGGGTAGTACTAGAGCCCTTCGGTTTGAAGATAAAAATGGCTCTCAACATGCTGCAGAAGTCGTTCAGAATAATAGCAATGCAAGGCAACAATCTAGGTTTAATCTCAATGCTATGTCTACTAAAAAAGGTTCCAGTGGTGGGAATCTTCTGAAGAGGAGAGCTGGTCAAGAGAAGAATTTGTTGACTGCAGAACGGAAACTCTTTACTAGCAGTACCGAAAGAAGTTCTGGTGATGAAAACTGGAAGCTAAATTCTGATGCGAGTACCCAATCCCCTTCGGAAAATTCTTCTTCATCAGGTTCCTCATCCTCAACTGCGGAGAGTGGTTCGAGTCAGGATTCAAAATTAAATGGTAGTTCAGAGTTACAAGTTATTTTACCTTTCATTTTGAGTTGTCTTTCCAGTGCATATAGAACTCATTGTCAGCAGAACTGATTTTCATTATCCTTTTTTCCATTTTTCCTTTTTTTGCTTCCAGCAGGATCTGATAATGCAAAGACTAAAGACAACGGTGGTAAAAAGTAAGTGTTCACTGGTTTGGTTTCTGCGTTTCCTGGCCTTTAACATCTTAGATGCTAAGCACCAGAAAGCTGCTTCTAAATCGAAAGATTTCAGCTTAATTTCCTATCATCATTAACATATTCTGCAGCAAGATTATCTGCAATCCTTCCAACTAAGCTCATGTCAATTTTTTGTTTACTTCTTTTGATGAAGCGCTTTGTTTGTGTGTCTATATATATATAATCATACACTAGATTTGTTCTGCAAACTCTTTCTTTTAGAGTTTAAAATGTGCTTGTACGCTTTTGTTTGTTCAACCTTCAAAGGAAGTCGCATGAGAGGGGAAGCTTTTTCTTTTTTAACTGTTGATTGATGCTTAGTGTAAACTTGGTGTTTGAGATCATGATTACCATATCATTACACTTTATATGGCACAAGAACATAATGCAAACAGAGAAAAAGCCCGTTATGTATATGTTGCAATTTGTGAGATTTTCTTCTTTCGTCCCAGAGGATCATTAGTTCACATCATCTTCCAACTGATGAGTGGCTGTTGACAGGTTTCCAGGCACGCAAGAGGACATGAGCATAGAAATGTTGCTCAAAAGCTCGAGCCGGTTCAAGAAGGCAAAGCTTTCGGCATCTCAATCTCAAGATATTGATGCTGAAAATTGGACGGATGAATTTGTTCCAGATAGTCAAGCAACGGCGTTATAGTTTTTCTATACTCGATGGGAACTTTTTCTTTCTTGCCTCCCCCGTTCGTTTGTAAAGGCAAATCTGTACAATTGCCAAGCTGAGTCCTATTCTTTTGGAGAGGCTTCTCTATGTTGTCTCACAAGTTTTGGCGTCAAAAGCAAACCTAATCAGCTGGGCATTACCTTTGTAAAATCTGAAAAATTAGTGAGAATGCGAAGTAAAACTGATCTCGTAGAAGAGAGGTATTGTAATTGCATATGGCATGAGATGAATTTGCCTTTGATCAGAGCTTGTCCTAGATGATCTAATTATTAAGAGAAAATGGTACGAAATCTAAAGCGTGCACTAATCATTTCTCAATGTCACAGCAAAATTTACCATCTAACAAACAAATAAATTTTGATTACATAAATAGTTCGAAGCAACTTATTAATTGTTGAATTTTAATTCTTGAAAGTTTGAAACGATTGAGGTGGCAACATGCATGTGTATACCAAAACCTACCACCACCACCACATCAGCCCAATGCATGCCAACCAATCGGCAAACCATAATACCATGTGTCAAACTTCTTCTCTCCTTCTTTGTATCCTCTCAATATATATATATATATATATATATATATATATACAATGAATACAATGAATCAATGTCAATGATCATCCATAATTCATATCATCAAATTCCAATCTTGAATCCCAACAATTAAAATCCCCCTTCCACATTATCATCCACAAATCTCCCCTTCCATCTTAATCCTTGTCTTTTTCCACTCATTCATCAACATTCCCAAACCGCAACTAGCCTTATAATATTAGTTACATCCATCTAATGAAGGCGACCCTCAAATAGAAAAATCCCTCATTAGGCCGATCACCAGGGCTGCCTTCCGGCGCCGGCGACAGCTGAACATAGCAAATTGCATTTATAATAAATTAGAGCTCTTTTTTGGCTTGTCATTACTGAGAGTGAAAAAAAAAAAAAAAGAAGAATGTATGAAAGCAGGAAACTTCCACTACTAGCATAGACAACTGTCATACCCCACCAACAGCAATTCTTTTGATTAACTATATATACTCATCCTTCAATCCTCCAATCTGTTTTCCGCCCTTTTCAATTTCACTGCAAAATCAATTGAGCGATTTTTCTTCATAGGGAAAATCCTCTGCCTCTGAATTCCTCGCTAATAATAAATACTTAACATTATTACTTGTTCTTTTTAATTTCATGCAGTTTTAGTTATGAAAGACACGTTCTTGATTAAACCATTTGTTCCTAAATGCTTCTTTCTTACCCTTCTCCTTTCTATCCCAATCCTCCTTTTCCTCTCTTCCAATTCCAACTCTTTTTCCTCCACCGCCGCCACCAGAACCCCGCCGCAGACCGCCGCCGCCGAAGACTCCGCGAGCTCGGACCTCAAGATCCGGCCCGGGTACACATCCTACGATTCCTACATCAAGCGCCAGCTCAACAAGACCCTGAATCCCCATCTCAGAGAGGTATGGAAAACCCGGGATTGGGACCGGAAAATCCGGGTCTTCACGGCGTTTTTCCACCACCTCAAGGAGGAAAAGCTGATCCGCAACGACTCGAAAGCACTGTGTATCGGCGCCCGGATGGGTCAAGAAGTGGAGGCACTGAGACGGGTCGGGGTTTCGGACTCGATCGGGATGGACCTGGTGCCGTCGCCGCCGTTGGTGGTGGAGGGGGATTTCCACAAGCAGCCGTTTAAGGATGGGACCTTTGACTTCGAATTCTCCAACGTGTTTGATCACGCGCTTTACCCGGAGAAATTCGTGGGGGAGATCGAACGGACGTTGAAGCCCGGCGGAGTTAGCGTCTTACACGTGTCGGTCCGGCGAGGAACCGACAAGTACTCGGCCAATGACTTGTACAGTGTTGAGCCGCTCAAGAAGCTGTTCAAACGGTCGGAGTTAGTCCGGATTCGGACTATTGACGGGTTCGGGTTGGACACCGAGGTGGTCTTCCGGAAAAAGAAGAAGGAGCTCACACGGTCCTAATTCCGGCCAAAAGATGTAATTTTTTTCGTTTACTTTTTCTTTGTTTTTTTGGAGGCACATTATTCATTTTTGTTAGTACATTGTTATTGATTGTTGAAACGAAAAAGGAATTGACTTCAGGAATACAAAATGTCCATGTGAGATGGAATCATTCTTTCATTCAGTTGAGCTTCTTCTTCTCTCCGATGTTTTCAAGAAAAGTAGCAATACATTTTTGTACATTTATTGATCTAGGAGATTATTAAATTTGGTTTACTCAATTGAGTTTACTTGTATTTAAAACCACATGTATCTTAATATGTGACTTTGTCTTAAACTCTAATGCATTCGCAATTTGCAAATTAGGTTGTTTCGGTTCTTTCCAACATTCATTGATGGCAATTATAAAAGCTGAAGAGAATATGAAGAATAAAAGGTCGTGTCTGCACTGCAAGACTGCGATTAAGTAAAAGTAGTGTAATAATCTTTGCTTGTGATTAATTCTGCTATGATTCTATGGATCTTGTTTATTCATCATATTCAAAGCTAGCAGAAGGGGTGGGTGATAAAAGCAATCTTGCACATGAAGAAAATCACTGATTTCTTTCGTTGGGACTAATCTTAATCTTAATGACGCGATTATGAAATACTAATCAAAGTTGATCTTGTTGAATCAAACCATGAATCATGTCCGTGCAATACATGACAGTGAAATGGAGGATAACAGCAGCGAGATTAGAATTCAGAGGACTACATAGTTTAATCAGAACAGCCATCTATTTGATTTACAATAAATATACACAATAGACCAGAAGTAGCTAAGCAAAAATTTTGTCCAAGGAGGAAAAATTCCATTCATATATCAAAGGGCTTGCAATTACAATTAATTTCCACATCACTTTATACTCAGTAATACTAGGTAGCTACTAAGATCTCATCCTGTTGATCTGGTTCAGAGCAGGCTGTAGAATGTTGAACAGCACCCAACCAATAGCAGGAGCAATGACTAACAGCAATAGTGTACCCCTGTTGTCATTTGCAGCTGCTTCAGCTATGGCAGCAAGTTCACCACTTGAGGCTGATGCCTGAGGTGGATGCATCAGGGCAGCCATTCCACCAAGCCCAGCAAGGCCTATGATTATCCCTCTTGTGCTCCTCATTTTGTTAATCTGGTTCAGTGCTGGTTGCAGGATGTTGAATAGCACCCAAGCTATGGCTGGAATGATTGGCAAGAGAAGTGCAAGTCCTCTGTTATCTCCTTCTGCTAATTCAGCAATTTGCTGGGCTGCAAAGGCTGCATCACATGAGCTCAAAGTTGAGAAGATTGCACCAGCAACAAGGGATTTTGACAGAAAGATTGAATCTTGGGAAGAAGAAGATGCTTTTGATGAGATGAGGCCTTTGGGAAGGTTGTTCTGGATTGAGAGAAGGGAAATGGGCTGTTGCTTTGCTGGTTTCTTCAATAAGCAGTTGGCATTTAGGACTGCCATTGTTGTTGATGCCATAGTTGCTGCCATTGTTTTAGATTCAGAGAAGAGGGGAGATGAAACTCTTTGATCAGAATGCTCAGGAGCTGGAAATTGGGGTGGTTCTTTCTTTGTTGATCAGTTAATTTCTGTAGGCTTTGGTGGTGAGATATTAGAATCAGTTCCAATGAGTTTAGGTGATTTCTGGATTGTTCTCTTATCTTGAGAGTGTGTTCAGAGCAATATGAACCTTACATTCTATACCCCACTTTTGATTCTTATCAACTTCCTCACAAATCACAAGCCTGCCTCTCCTTATTTTCTCCTGTTCTTCCTTTTTTGAGAATTTTTCTGGTTAAATCATCTTTGAGGTTTGAACCTTAACTAAATATTGGACTTCATACAGACAGACTATCGCCCTGCTTGAACAATACAAAATGAGGCCTGATAGGACTTCATACATGACTCTGCTTGTTAAGTCCATCTGCAAGGAAACCCAGTATCTGTTCAGGCCTGCCAAACGTCTACAACAAAGCACTTACAATTTTACATGAAGTTGCGTCTCTCAACCAATACAAAATTTTGGGCTACCATTCCTCAATCTTTCTATTGATCCAATAAGAAACTGCTCGAGCCCTTTTCTCTGGAAGACATTTTTTTTTATAAAACAAATAAATAAAAATGTTGAAGACAATTAGCTCAAACTACAAAGAGTCAAAGATCCTGATTCCCTGACCAGAAAGTCCAAATTTCCTAAACCCCCTTCCCTTTTTTATTGTTTTTTTGCTGACCTGCTTAAATCCCATATGCCTTAAAACAGATAAATTTGATACAAACCCGCAAACCTTGGATCTTTTCTCTAACTTAAACCTTCCCAACCTACACGGACAGCGTCAAACCTTAATCCATTTCTCATATCCCTCTTGAGCTGTTCAAGTTCGTCAACTTTGTAGCTTGGAATTTTAGCTAAAAAATAGGAAGTCCAGAGAAAAAGGAAGAAAAAGTTTCGTTCTTTTCAGATTGAAAATGTCTACCTTTTCAGTCCCGCTTGGTAGTTTAGTACCCAGTTCGATTCGATCCCCAATCACAGACCGGAGTAAAACCCTAAACCCCAGCTTTCACCGGAGAACCCAGTTGGGATATCTGTCAAATACTAATGGGTTGTGTACGCGTAGCACAGTTGGGGTGGCAAGATTCGGATTGGGGGAGGTTCCATTTTTTGACCCGGATGGTAGTACTGAAGGGATTATCAGGGACGTGTTTGGTAGAGTTGAGATGTTCTTGTATACTGTTGCCGATGCTGCTGTTTCTTCTGATGCTCTTGCTGATACAACCACGACAACAGCGAAGCAGAGTGATTGGCTTTCTGGGATTACTAATGGAATGGAGACTGTTTTGAAGGTTTAGTTCAAGTTTTCATTTTCACACATGATTTAAGTTTTCTTCTGTCTCATTCAGTCAGCTGTAGGGGAGATAATCTAGGTGGGAAAGGGAATTATATTGGAAGGGAACTTTTGTTGGGCAAAACCTAAATTTGAAAACCAAAGGTTCTAATATCATTCCAACTAGGAGACTCTTAAAGTATATAGGTTAGAAGACGACTTTTTGAAGAACAAATTATTTCCTAACAGAGCATTTATGTGTCTGTAATGTGGAGTAGACAAATTACTGTTTTATGTTTCGGGTGCTAATTTTGTTTTGGAGAAAAATTTAAATTTTAAGGTAAACTAGAAGCTTTCCTAACAGAGCATTTATATGCTGCATTTGTTACATGAAAGAGTTAGAATGATTTTATATCGTGTATGTATTCACTTGACAGTAGCTTGTCTTGACTTATCCCTGCTGCATGTTTTTGTTTTTTGTTTTCCAGGTTTTGAAGGGTGGCTTATCAGCCTTACATGTTCCTTATTCATATGGTTTTGCAATAATTTTATTGACTGTACTTGTAAAGGCTGCCACTTTTCCTCTGACTAAGAAACAGGTATTACCAATCAGTCACTCATGATAATTTCATGATTTCGACTCCTGTATTTTTCAACAAATGTTGAAACTTTCTGTAGTTTTTTATGGTGCAATTTGTTTTTGGCAGGTGGAATCTGCCATGGCAATGCGCTCATTGGCACCTCAAATAAAGGCTATTCAGGAACGGTATGCTGGAGATCAGGTTACATTCATTCTTTTTCTTAGCATTCACCTTGATTTGTTCAGAAAAATTAATGAAAAATGATGAATAAGAGCACTTGACTAATTGAATGAACGTAATCTCATAGGCTTGTCTTATGTTTTGACTTGGATTGAAGTTCCATTTTTTACATGGGGCATTTCCTGATATTTTAGTGAAAAGAAAACATGGGGCATTTCCTGATATTTTAGTGAAAAGAAAAAATAAACTTAGGCTCCCCCCCGCTCCCTCTTTTCTTTTTATCTGCTGTGTAATATGTTGAAGGCTTTAACATTATGAATCGGATGAATTCCTTACCTTGGCTGTTAATGAACTTGCAGGAGAGAATTCAACTGGAAACTGCTCGATTGTACAAACTAGCTGGCATAAACCCTTTGGCAGGTAGTTAATACCCAGTTTCTTTACCTGATTGTGGATTTTTCTTGTATGATGAACGTTATTTCTTTACTTTTGAGTGTAAACGTTCTAAAACCTTAATGAATAAAACTGTTGGAAGCAAGTTCTTTTTAATCTTTATCGTTGTTTTACTTTCCAGGATGTCTACCAACCCTTGCTACCATTCCCATCTGGATTGGACTCTACAGAGCCCTTTCTAATGTTGCAGACGAGGTATATTATGGTTGTCCTAAACATTTTTATTGCATTCTTTTCCTGTTATATGCTTTATTGAATTCCTCTGTGTCACCATTTGATTGAGCTTTGCATTTTTAATGTTAAGGGTCTCCTAACAGAAGGATTCTTTTGGATACCCTCATTGGCTGGTCCTACAACAATTGCTGCTAAACAGACCGGCAGTGGTATTTCTTGGCTTTTTCAGTTTGTTGTAAGTAACACAAGTATGATCAAGCTCTTCAACACATAAATATGTTATTTGCTACTCATGTGTGAATTTTTCGCAAAATTATTATTTGATTGCCAATACACGTGAACGTCAGTTGCAATGATTTTGTCGCTTATTTTTCAAAAACATGTTTGGTTCTGTTAGTTCTCCTTCTGTATGTCCAAGATAGTTATTTCGTGCTGAGATGTACTATTTGGTATCAGGATGGCCATCCGCCTCTAGGATGGAATGATACCTTGGCATATCTAGTTTTGCCTGTGCTGCTGGTTATCACTCAGTACATTTCCGTCCAAATTATGCAACAACCACAGGTACAATGTCATTTCATTCCCTGGAATTTTTTGACCTGAGAACGCAATGGATTTCCTTAATTTGATTACTCTTTTGAGTCATACAATTACTATTTGATCCCCAGAGCAATGACCCGAACATGAAGACTTCACAAGCCATTACCAGATTCTTGCCTTTAATGATTGGTTATTTTGCTCTTTCGGTGCCTTCAGGTCTCAGCCTATACTGGTAATTCCGTTTCTCTACCTCAACATTCATTTGTATCAATGCCACATCATCGTAATTTGTCATACTTCACAATGACAGATCTTAGATGTCATTTCTCATTGTCAGGAGAACTTGATGTGTGATGTGATTTCGGAAACATTAAAAATATTGTATTGTATTTATATTCTTAGGTTGACTAACAACATTTTGAGCACTGCACAACAAGTATATCTTCAGAAGTTGGGGGGTGCGGAAAATCCCATGAAGCAGTTCAATGATGATATAGCCAAGAAAGAGCTATCCCAGATACAGAAATCCACAACAGCTACAAAGACAGATGATAGAGTTGAAAAGCCCACTTCAGAAGGGCCTCGCCCTGGCGAAAGGTAATGCTTCCATCCTCTTTTCTTTGACTACAGCGTGTTGACCGGAATAACCTTTGTCCATGTTGTAATTCCCTTTTCTTTTGGGTTTAGATTTAAACAACTGAAGGAGGAGGAAGCAAGAAGAAGACGGCAACGAGAGGAAGAGAAAAGGGAAGCAGAAGTGCGCCCTATAAATGGAGTCCTTGATACTGTTACTGATGAACAGGACTCTTCCAGCGATGGGCATCGAGCTGTTAATGGTGCTACTTCTAGTTCTTCAGGAGTTCAGGAAAATGGAACCGCTGCTGGTGTCTATAAAGATTCTCATGAAAATGATGATAGAACAGATCAGCAGCAGCTTGATGAAAGGACAGGCAAGGTATACACAAGTAACTAACTAAGACTCTTTTAATCTGCTGGAGTGGGTTTTTAAGTTTTCCCAAAATCTTCTTCCGCTCCATGTCAATATTAGGAACTGTGCTGCAGCTTGCTATCATATCATCCATCAATTTAATGCTATGGTTGATTCATCCGATGCTTTTCCTAGTTAAGTAGAGCTCCATAATCACATTCAGGATTAAAGCTCTAATGGTTATTTTTCAGTGCCTTCCTGGAGGAATTTCATTTTCTTTATTACCCGAACAGCATGCATGAGAAATGGTCAATGCGCGTGTGGACGTGCATATTATCTAGTACAGGAATGTTTGATTTCTTCCATTTAATGACTCAATCGTCGTATTCCAGGAGGAAGTCACAGCTAATGTGGATAGTGGAGATGGCAAACCTTCTTCTGGCAAAGATGAAAACGAGTAGAGGCAAATCCCTCAACCTTAATCATCATGTTGATATGGAGACACAGGGCCGAACCGTACACCTTCCACGTGCTTGATATCAATCAATGAATCCTATGCAGCCGGCTTAATTGATGCTACCGCTAGTAAACCGGAGGATATCAAGCAGAGACGGGGTGGAACAGTTCTAGAGATGATTGCACGAGGAGAAAGGTAGTTTATTTGGCAAAGAAAGGAAGGGTGTATATATAACGGGCAGAGTGATAGGGAATCACCGGCTCTATATGGATAGAAGCATTTTGGTTTGTTCATCATCAGTCATCATAGTTGGCATTTTCTACTTATACTAACACACGGTGAGACAGAAACAGTTTGCTGGTGTCTGGCCAGATCCAAAATGCCCAGAACCAGAAAATTGGTGTTTCATCTTCTTTTTTTTTTCCCTTTAAAAAAAAGGTCAATCTCATACGTGTCTAAAAATATTATTATTTTATTTAAAATATTACCTAAATAAATTTTTTATTTGATAATGGTCAAATAAGTGGGACATAGTCATTTGTACTTTAAATTAATGAAAAATATTATTGTGAAATTTAGAGAAAAGCTTAAACATTCCTTTACGCACACGTAGACCAAACTTATCGAACTATACAAACCAACTTTCTTCCTTTCTCTTGTCTTCTTATTTTGTAGTTTGTGCTTGTCGACGCAAAAAAATCTTGAATCCCAGTCTCCAACTGGATTATTAGATTGTACTAACTAATATTTTTTTTGTCTCGAAATAATTGTGTTGTCGGAATTCTATATGTATCTTATGACGGAGGGAAGTAAATTAAGCTTAAAGAATGACGGAACTATATATGCAATGAATTCAAAGTTGGAAAGATATACAGTACTGCAATGGTCCAAGTAAAATGCAGTTCTAGTTAGAAAACAATAATAAGATAAATATATAACGTGACTTTTTTAAAAAAAGATGAGAATTATATTATTGTTTTAAGACTATTTGTTTTGTCGAATATCCCCAAAGAGACTAAGGGCCTATCTGATAAAAATTAGCGCTTAATTCTGAATGTTTAACGCTGAATTAAAAATACTGAATTCATTAATCAGTTAAGAAATAAGCAATAAATTAATTTTTATTGCTTATATTTTGTACTGCAGTTTCAACACCACTTATTTCATTAAGAGGTTCATTTTTAGTTATCAAACATGCTGAAACAAAAAAAAAATGTTTACTTCAATAATTTTAAGTATCAAGTGACTTTATCAAACAAGCCCTAAGACTATTTGTAAGATACCATCTTAAGGGAAATGAGATTTCATACATGAACCAAAATGAAATAAGATTTGATTAAGCACCCTTGGAAGGAAGCATGATGGGGAAGATGCCATCAATTATTACCATATACTTTTTTATACTGCATCTATTTAGTAGTAGTAGTAGATAAAGGTATCCTTCAATGTTTAGTTAAGTATTATTTTACAGAGAGTGGAAGTATTACGTGCTTAACTTGAGTTTTGTGCATTACGTAATACGTGTGCCGTTCCATTATTCAGACAGATTAGCTTCTTCAACTCTCTAAAATATGGACCAATAAACTAATCCCTTTTCTTGCTTTCTTAATCTAATCCATTGTCTTACCTCATTTGGGGTTGGCTACAAGTTCTTTTCGGAATCTTTTTTAGGAATATAATAATTATATTTTTTTTAATTGAGTAAATGAATTAAGGAGTCAAGGCAAATCTTTAATTTGTGATAATATCAATTCTTTGAAAGTACAATATCATGAAATGAACGATCATTATTGTAAGTTGTTTTATTTAAAAGACACATTTAGCATGATATTGTTGTGTGTTTTCATATTGCATCTTATATACATATAAACATTCTTTATTCGTCGATTTATTCTTTTCTTTCTGAAATAAGAATTTCATTTGTCAAATTAAAATAATTTAATAAAATACTCCATCCGTCCCAAAAAAAAAAAAAATTTATATTGAGTTTTGAGTTTTATACTGTTTTTAGTACAAATTTACAAACGTAATATAAATTATTTTTTTTTAACGAAGGTAATAAACGGATCATTTCTGTTAAAGAGCAATAACAGTAAACTCGTCTACCTTACCCATTTTAGAAAGAAAAGAGAAAACCTAGCTATGCAACAAACAAACCAACCATGGCCTTGTGCTGTTAAATTATGACTCGCATATTTAAGAGGTGACATATTTCCGCTATGTAATAGTTTGAGTTACTTTTTTTGCTGCCTCTTTTGTACCACCAAAAAGGGTCCTCAAATGAAGGACCATATGGAATATAAGGGTGACAGAAGTATGTGAATTTGAATGCAACAAAAACGTGATAGATTTTGGATTTTGGGTTAGAGATTTGATTCAAGTAAAGTAATGTCGTAAATAAACAGACTGGATCACGGATCTCCGGCGAACACGCAACAATATATGGTCAAACTTACGCAAACTTATTGAATCGTTGGAATTGGAAACTCTTAGGAATGACTGACCAAAAAAACAGCAGTCATAACCCTCCTCTCAAACCTTCACAAAGCGTCGCGCTATTTCAACTTTCTAATTATATATATATATATATATATATATATATATATATATATACTGTTTTCGTCCCAAAATAGTTCTATATAAACTTTTTTGGATCACTACAGGAATAGAATAAATGCTTCGCCAAAGAGGATATTATGATGATTCTGATGTTGATTGTTTTGTATGATACGGAGTAAATGATGTATGATTTGTCTCCAAATGATAATTAACCCTATATATATACATACACATCTTTGTAGAATTGAACACTTTTTTTGATTGGAAAAATTTGTAAGGTCTTCTTGAACGCCACGGGCCACACACACACACACACACACACACACATACATATATATATATATATATATATATATATATATATATATATAAAAGAGAAAGGAGCTTTAAAGATGTGAAATTTCCCACTTGGTTTCATTATTACTGCTTCCATGTTCTTATTTAATTCCCCATTGAGGTTTACACTCACACCACACATGGATTATGATATTGTTGTGCATATTAATAACAAGATTTTACTCCATATTTTCGCAATTATGGAGACTTAATTCTTTTGAAAGTGCATAAATGAGCTACCTCTTACAAAATAACCTAGCAAAATCTAGTGATAATTGATAATAACTTGAGAGAAGATTAACATACCACAAGGATCTATATGAATATATAAATCTCTTGCCAGTAACATATTTCCACTTTGTACAAAAGAAAATCAAATAGTGACATTCATACATTGGACACGATTTTACATTTCTGACCTTTTGCTTTACATTACACATTATGTTCCACAGTGTCGAAACCTAATAACAAGGAAATGAGGAATACATCATACCGGTCTAAAAATTTTCACTATGATTCAAACTGCTCCATTGATTGTTTGTTTGTGAATTAAATTTTGTAATTTTTATTTTATTATTATTTCTTTTTTCTTTTCTTTTTTTTGCAATTTTTAAACTTTCTCCACAAGCACAGACCACAAGGAATCAAAGAAATGACACCTCATCTTCCCCCATTCGGTTCCCCCTTTAGAAAACGTACAGGAGAAGAGAGGAGAACCATGATCTGATTATATTGAATGAAAAAATTATACTAAGAAGCAAAAAAAGAAAGAAACCAAAAAAATTAAATGAAAAATGAAGGGCTTTTTTCTCTAAATATATATATAATGAAAATGACATCAAATATCATCCCATTATTCAGCTTCACCCCTTCTCTTCTTTCTCTCCCCATCCAACATCTCTCTCCACAGCAAAAACTAACCATCCAGCCATCAAATTTTAATCCCCTCTTTCCCCACATCATCTTACAACAATAAACAAAATAAGAATAAGGTGAAAGGAAGAAAGATATATCCTGATCAGATAAAACCCAACCCACAATTTGATTAGTTTCTGATAAGCTGTTCTAATTCCGTTGAATTTAGCAGAGAAAGTTAATGGATTTTGCGGAATCCCGGGTCAATCTCACGTGTAATATTTTCATTTTGTTTCTGATTGTTTTTGTTATGCGATCTGTGAAACAATCAAAATGTACAGAATTCAGAGTGATCCTTTTGTAATTATTGTTATTTTGTTCTTTTTTGGACAGTGTTGTATGTAATTTATGACTTAAAAGAGAGCCCTTTTTGAGGGGTTTTATCCTGTGAATTGTACTTGTTTTGTGGATCAAGTGATGATCTTGTGCTCTGCGAAAGCAATAAAGATGAGATTTTTTTATGTCAATTTTGGAGCAGAACTGTTGATTATTACTGTGATCAATTTATTCATTCTGGGTTGTTTTTGGTTTTGATGTATCATGGGCTATCTCTCTTGATGGCCCAACCGATTGAAAGTTATCTTTTTGCTGAGGAAATTCTGTCATTTTTTAGCTTCCTTTACTGGGTTTGGAATATGCTCTGTTTTGCAAACGAGTTATCTTTGCTTGCAGTTCACATATTATCCACCGCTTTTTTCAAGTTTCTTGTTTGATTGGTCTAATGACTGTTTCACCATTCTCAAAGGCATGCCCTTGTGCTTTGTTTGGAGCTCTATGGCAAATCATTTGACTTAATTTTTCCATGCATATAATTCGAAACTTTACTTTCAATTTTACAGCAGCTGCACTTTCCACTATGGTTCCATTCAAAATGTATCAAGTGTGATATGAATTATGAATTTCATTGCACCGGTCTCCATTATTCATTTTAATGGGCTTTATTATTTATATGGAATTGCTTAATTTATGCAGTTTCCAATGTTTTATGTTTTGTAGGTTTGAAACTTGGAGTCTGCTGAATTAGCCTAGCTTGTTGTTTAAGGTTCAAATCCTCATTTGTCTATGGCCAACATTATTTGAGTGTGTTTATAATTTTAGGCTGTTTTAAACTGAACCCTTATTCTTTTCTTTTCTATGCAATCCTCGGATGATTGTTCAGTTGAACTTGAAGAAACATCCTTCTTTGGTTATCTTGGGCACTGCAAGCTTAAACAGGCGGTGCCCGAATGGACGCCACTGCAAGTGGAACGTCGAGTGTTCAGTACCACAATCTTCCCGAACAGCCAATTGCTGCTGCTCTTGTCATTCCTGAACAGCCTATTGTGTCTCTCATTACCTCTCATTTGCCTTCATTTGATCGCCAGCTACGTCATTGTTTCGGTAATGCCAGTCCTGGAGAATTTCCGTTGTCTGCAAATCCGTCCATTGTTCTTCATGTCCTTACTGGATGCAATTTGGACCCTCAAGATCTTGCCAAATTAGAGGCAAGTCTTTCACTTTTTGACAATTGAGATTGCGAATCCTGTTTTTGTTAATTGAATAGATGATGCTGCTGATTGGATTGTAAATTTTGCAATTTTGTTTTGCAGGCAACATGCTCTTTCTTTAAGCAGCCTGCACATTTTGCCCCTGATTTTGAGCTCTCCTTGGCAGAGCTCGCGGCTCTTGATATGTGCCAAAAAAGAGCCATCTTTAAGCCTATGACAGATGAACAGCGCCAGGATTTGAAACAAAAATGCGGGGGTTCTTGGAAACTGGTTCTCAGATTTTTGCTCGCTGGTGAAATATGTTCCAGGCGAGAGAAGTCTCAGGCGATAGCGGGTCCAGGTCATAGCATTGCGGTGACATCTAATGGGGCTGTCTACTCTTTTGGTTCGAACAACTCTGGACAGCTTGGTCAGGGAAACACTGAAGAAGACTGGAGGCCTCGCCCAATTAGGTTGCTAAAATTTCATTGATTTTGTGTCATGCAGAAAGAGAACAGGTGGTTGCGTCTGCGACAGTGAAAGTTCTAATGTTAGAACTTGTTATGTTTCAGATCTCTGCAAGGAATTCGTATTATTCACGCAGCTGCTGGTGCTGGCCGGACTATGTTAATAAGTGATGCCGGGCGGGTGTATGCATTTGGAAAGGATTCCTTTGGGGAAGCTGAATATGGACCTCAAGGAAGTAAAGTCGTGACAACGCCACAGTTAGTGGAATTGTTGAAAGACATCTTTGTTGTGCAGGCTGCAATTGGGAATTTCTTCACAGCAATATTGTCCAGAGAAGGAAGAGTTTACACATTTTCTTGGGGAAATGAGACAAAACTTGGTCATCAAACGGAACCTAGTGACCTAGAGCCTCGTCCTTTGCTAGGTCCCCTTGAGAACATACCTGTTGTGCAAATAGCAGCTGGATACTGTTACCTTCTTGCTTTGGCTTGCCAGCCTACTGGCATGTGAGTCCCTTCTGTTTAGTAATTCAATATTAAAATGTCTACTTTAGTCGATTGCCCATAGTTTTAAGTATCAAATCAAACATGTTGTATCTTGACCTCTTTTTTGTTAAATAGTAAATGCCACTTTTTTTTTCCTATTTATGGATTCTTATATATGTTCTTTTGGTAAATGAACAGGTCAGTGTACTCCGTTGGATGTGGTTTGGGTGGAAAGCTTGGACATGGTACAAGAACCGACGAAAAATACCCAAGGCTGATTGAGCAGTTTCAAACTCTGAATCTCCAACCAACAGTTGTGGCGGCAGGTGCTTGGCACGCTGCAGTTGTTGGGAAAGATGGGAGGGTTTGCACATGGGGTTGGGGACGCTATGGTTGCCTAGGTCATGGGAATGAAGACTGTGAGTCGGTTCCAAAAGTAGTTGAATCGCTAAGCAATGTGAAAGCAGTTAATGTTGCTACTGGGGACTACACGACCTTTGTTGTTTCTGATGCTGGTGATGTATATTCATTCGGCTGTGGTGAATCCTCTAGTTTGGGACATAATACTGGAGCGTTGGATGGGCAGGTTTGGATCTGTCTCCGAATTCGATACTCATGTTGTTGGCACTTCATTTCAATTTTTCTGCAGAGGCATTTACTTATTTCTGTTTGATCCAGAGAGCTAATTTAGATCCTGTGCTTTGATTCAACCCCAAGGCACCTGAGATGCTTTACTTGCTCACTAGGACCAAATAAAGAGTTTGTGGATATTTATATTAGTTTAGAGGATCTGAAAAGTATAAGTATTTGCATATCTACCACGCTTGCTTTGTGAAATCAGATGCTCATGTTGTTAGAGCACTACATAACAATCGAGCAAAAACAGAAAACGGTGAACCTGTGAATGATACTGGCTCTATGATGATTTAGTTTGTGAATGGTTCTTGTACTTGAAGTGATTCTTTGTGATCGTGAAAATACATTTGGCTGCTAATGTGATTTATTTGCGTATAATTTGATTCTTGCAGGTAAATAGACACACAAATGTGTTAAGCCCGGAGATCGTGACCTCATTGAAGGAGGTGAATGAGAGGGTTGTACAGATTAGCCTTACAAATTCAATATATTGGAATGCACATACATTTGCACTGACTGACTCTGGTAAGTTATATGCATTTGGAGCTGGAGACAAAGGGCAGCTTGGAATCGAACTTGCAGCCAACCAGACTGAAAGGGCTAAACCCGAGAAGGTCGATATCGACCTTAGTTAGTCTGATTCCTTTCTCGGTAGAGATTTACTCAGATCAATCAATTATCATCATGGATGATCATGATCATGATGATGATGCTCTCAAATGTGTTCATATTATTGTCCATGGCTGTAAATAGAAAAGATTGTGAAGAAGACTCTTAGGAAGTAGTTGATGGATTAACTTTCTCAAGAAGCAGCTTTTTTTTTGGGGCCATTAAGTTGAGCCTGATAAAAAAAAGCACTAGTAAATAGGTGACTTAAGATATGTTCATCATTTTATCTTTTAACTTTAGGTGCAGTTCTTCAGTTGGATTAAAAGGATTTCTGTTGGTTTAATTGAATTCAGTTTTAGCAATCAACATCATGATGCTACAATTGCCACACTGATACTTTTCAAAAGATATTTAGGATGTTAGATTAGAAATTGTGAAGTGTAATTATTGTCTATACTAATTACTACATGAAAAATAAGAAAACGGTTAGCGCTTGTTCAAAATTCAACTAAACGGTTAATGGCGGTAAAAATATAATACAGTACTACAAAATATAATAGAGCATCTCGTTTCACTTTTTTCTTACTAATGTGAGAGACGACATGGTTCAACATTAATACTATATTGTACTTTTTTTCAACTTGATTATACATAATAATCCGACTAAAAGTGTGACAAAATCTTATTAAAAAAAAACTTTAATATTATTTTTCTATTGGCCGTTGTAATATTTGTTGTCTGTCCATAGTTGTTGATTTGCAGTTATTGACATGAAATTTAACAATGTATTTTTATTTTTTATTTTTCAAGAAAATATTGAGCATGACTTTTTAGTTTATTTTTGTTGTAAGTCTAGGTCGATTGACAATCTTTTTAGTGTTCAAAAGACGAAGAAAATAGTGCCCGTTACATATATAACACGGAATTTAAATAAGTTATGTCGTCCATTGTTATCTTTTTAGTATTCAAAAGACGAAGAAAATATTGCTCGTTACATATATAACACGAAATTTAATAAATTATGTCGTCAATTGTTTATATCTAACGTGAGAGTCGATATGACCAAAAACTAACACATCACGCTCTATTTTAACCTTGATCATCGGTTTTCATAACCTGATTAAAAAAATATACTCTTTCTGTTTCAAAATTATAGTCTAAATTGATATTTTACTTGAGTATAATTTGAATTAAAAAAATGAAATTGGACAATAATTTTGGGAGATAAGGAGTAATGATATTGACATGGCTTTAAATTGGTGTTAACATGTGTTTAATGGCCCAGATCCAAGACTGATGTGATCAGGGGTCCTTTTGTGAGTAAGAGGGACCTTATACAATAATAATGCAAAGTCATATGAACTGGGGTATGGAACTGCAATACATGGGCCGAATAAAAAAAGTGAGCAACCTGGATTCAAATCCTTTCATGGGCTGACTCCACCTCAGGTACTTCCCCATATTACGGTTTGTATTAGACATGGAGTTTATTATACTAAGTCCACCACAACATGTTGGAACTTGGAAAGCGGCTAATTTTCGTTGCCGGAATTTGGCTGGGAATTCGTTGGATCATGCGACATGGCTGCCGGGAGTAGATAAGAATTTTCCAAAAGGATAAAAGGAAATGTTATTTAAGAAATAGTACTACTAATAATACATTTAGGTTACATTTTGGAATAAGGACAAAAGAATTTAAAAAGGCTTGGGTTTAAATTAATGGAGTGATTAATTTATAGTTGGTCATGTGATTTATGATCATTTCCCCACAAGTACGCCCAAAAGTACAATTTACTTTACAGCAGAATCCACATTCTATATACTAGCTAGCAGTATTTATTATTTGATCGTTTCTACACACTTTGTTTTTGTTTATAAAATTGTCGGCAAGAATTATAATCTGTGGATCTAAAACAAAAAAAAAAAAAAGGTTTCAGTGTGAACAATCTTCGAACTCTACGTCTATCTATCATTGTCAAATAATGCATTCATGCTTAGTTACGATGAGCTTAATTTTCAGACAATATACAATGTACAAATACAAGGACATACGATCACAAACCCAGAAAAAAAAAAAAAAAAACTCTTGAAATGTATTACTTTGGTTTTAAATGAACAATCTCGATAATAACACTATTTAATTATCGATTCAATATACCATAGTTTTGACTTGTTGAAGGTATCTAACTATCTATCGAAGATAATTAAACCAATCATTAAGTCAAATTAGCACCCCGGAGTTTATGGTCGACGATCAGGAGCAAAATAAATTGACTGACTAAAAGCCGCAAGATACAAATTGACAATTAACTATAGATCAATCACGTGCTAATCTAATCTGTGTTTCTCTTTCATTTTCGTGGGTGGGGTTTTTTTTTTTTTTTTTGGTTGTTTTCTCGGGTTTCTGGCAAATCAGATGGGATAGGGTTTGTTAATAAAGCAAATGTTGCTATCCAAATTCCAAGAGGCAATCATGAAATCGAGGATCTGTAAAAGAGATTATCGACAAAATCTACGTGCTATATGCTAGGGCTTATAGTGTGATTAAGATAATGGAAATGATTGACGTTGAAGAATAATGCACGTATTATTAATATTAATGAATAATGAATTAATCCAGTTATCCACTGTCTTCGACTATTTCAGATGAAGAGGATGGCCATTTGGCCTGGCCACTCTGGTCGTCGGGGCCATACATACACTGATACACATGCAGATGCAGTACTACGTACTTTGTGTGTGTGTGTGTGTGTAATTTCATTCAATGGCTCCAAATGATTGAATTATATATAGGGACAATTTCTTAGTCTCTGCTTATATTGCTGGCAATGTCGTGCTTTTACGTTCTCTATCTATGAATTACCCACTCCAAGTGAAAAGTGTTCTTTCCAACAAAGTATTTGGTTCATCCTTCATGTGTGCTAGACTGGATTTAAACTCAGACATGAGTACGTAACAGTGATTATAAAAAATGTGGAGTTTTTGAGTTAAAAAATGGTTTAAAAAAAGGAGTAGAGATAAATATAAGTCGAATTTTGGGGAAAAGAAAAATACCGATATCGGATTCCTAAAATCCGATTTTTGACCTAAATCGGATTTGGAAAATCCGACCTACGCTAAATACGAAAAATTAATGAAATTAATCAAGATTAAGCAAAAATCGGATTTCTAAAATCCGACCCTAATATGTTAAAATAATATATTTTCCGAAAAACACTTAGTTTTTTTTTTTGAAATTAAATTTTGACCGAAGTCGGATTTTTAAAATCCGATTTTAAATTAAGGCCGGATTTCATAAATCCGGGTAAGCTTAAATCGGATTTTGAGAATCCGTGTAAGCTAAGGTCGGATTCTTAAAATCCGATTTATTCTTAAAACAAGTTGAAGGTCGGATTTCTTAAATCCGACCTTGGACAGACTCTTTGAAAAAAATGAAAGATTGGTTTCTAAACCAATCCCAATCTATCAAAACAGCACCAAAACCAAATTTCACAAATAAAATTACCTATAAACACATTCTAAACACATCAAAACAAACATTAACAAATTCAAATCCCAAATCATCCAAATTACAACATTTATACATGAAAGAGTTATAAAATAAAGAGTCCTACAATTGAATTACTTTGACGACCTTTTCTTCCTCGTAGCCCCATCGCCGGGAGTATACTTCTTGGCCGGTTTACTAACCCTATCACTCTTGCGAACCTCGACCGTTTTCTTTTTCTTTTGGGAAGAAACACGAGGTGGAGAGGACTCTTCTTCTTCTTCTTCTTCTTCTTCTTCTTCTTCTTCTTCTTCTTCTTCTTCGCCCCTAATGTAGTAATCCTCATCGCTTTCATTGCCTTCATCATTTTCATCATCTTCTTGCATTGGAGTTGGATTAGGATGAACTGTGATTGTTTGATCTGAAATTCCCGGTCGCTTCCTCCTTCCTCCTCCAGTAGGCTTCGATGTTGTTTTCTGCGTGAGTACCACATTTTGACTTGACTCGGGGGTCTTTTCGAAGAACTTGAGTATCGGATGAGTGCTCATATCACGTGGGCCCAAAGTCGTGGCACCGAAACTCTTGTCGAAGATTTGGAAGAGTTTATCCTCTAGACTACCACCAAGGCTTGGATTTTCCCGTAAGGCTGCATCGCGAGATGATATATGTCATTTGAGATTGGAAGATCGAGAAAATTGAACCATGTGAATAAAGTGTAAGATATAGCAAGAATTAAAATATAAAAAAAAATTTAAGTCAAAATATAATATTAGATCTTACATAAAATCTCTCCAAAGATGAAGACGAGTGATAACCCTGTGCCAGAGGGCCGTATTGAGTGGGATCAGTCATAAATCTGATAGTCTTCTTTTGAAACCACGGCATGTAGTCCGATGTGCATTGAGGACCTAGTTCGGATCACCCAATTCATGAGGGACCACGTGCTGATCTCTCACATTCCAATGAGGTCGTACCTCAGTGTGTTTTTGCACCCAATCATCATATGCCTTTCCAGTCCCAAGGCATCCGTGGTGTATCGCATTCCAGCGATCAATGTCATTGATTAACGGGTAGTCTGGCACAGTTTGGACGCATTGAAATTGACGAAGGACCCGATTGGGCTCGTATGGTTCTCTGATGGCCCAACAAAAGATCCACGTCCTACAGAGGTAGAAATTAACTCCCTCTTTACAGAAATCAGGGAGATCGTCGATGAAGGGAGTGTATGGAGTCCATAGAAACTGTCCAAAAATAAAAAATTGGTAAAAAAAAAAAATGTAAAATATGAAAAGGAATTTTTTCAACTGCAACTTAAATCAATACTTACATCCCCATCCCTTAGGCTAGATAACTGATCCCTGATGCCAGCAACACAATGAGCGGCGATGTTCGCTTTGAATTTTGGGCATTTCCACCTACGATTGAGACATAATAGGAAATAAAAAATAATAAAATAAATCATTGGATTTTAACATAATAGGAAATAAAAAATAATAAAATAAATCATTGGATTTTAACATAATAGGAAATAAAACATAATAAAATAAATAAAATAAATCATTACCTATTGCCTAATGGTGCGTCCGGCACCAAGTAACTCTCATCTTTAACCTTCCTCTTTGGTTGAAGTCTTGGGATACGCTCCCAAACCCATAACTGAAATTAAATAGAAAAGGCACAAATTAGGAAAACAAACAAAAATATAATAAAAAATATAAATAAACAAAGAAACACAAAAATTCACCGCATCGCATATAACATCCGTAATGTCTTTTTCCCGGCGCGGAAGCTTGACACGAGCAAAGTACAACTTAGCTAAAACAGTGACCCCAACCGTAGGTAGCACAGACATCCAAATCCTCGAGTATTGTCGGGATCCAAAGTGGTATTCTGTTTCCGTATTGTCGGGAATCAAGAAACCTCCAATCGCAGTAACAGAATGCACGGGCCCTCGTGTATAGGCTTCTCTTGGGGCATTTTCGGGATCGGACGCAGACACTCGTTGATTAAACACTCTGCATAAATCTTATTCCCATCAAACATGTCACTAACGGGTGTAATTCCCAACAATCTAAAGCACAATGCCATCCACTGTGCCATAGAATTCTCAGGTGTCATCCCCTCCACAGGCTTACCATCCACTTTCAACCCTAATAACACCTCAACGTCTTCTAGAGTGATAGTGGCCTCGCCAAAATGAAAATGAAATGTATGAGTTTCAGGTCTCCACCTCTCAACCATTGCGGTGATCAAACAATTGTCCGCTTGTATATAACCTAGTTGGATCACCCCCCCAAAGCCTGCCCGCCTTATCTCATCTATGACTTGTGGAGGGTAATGCCGGGATGGTTTCTCTATACAAGTCCAAAAATGACTATCAAATCTCCTGCCTTTAAGGGCTTTACTAAAAGTCTCATGGTTCTCGAAAATGGCTTTCGCCCTATGATGGTCATATAGGTATAATAATGAGTCATCTATTGGAGCCGGATTAAAATGTTGCAGTGTGGGTTGTGAGGAACTCGAACCCTCCATATTTTAATCTTGTAATACCAAATACTATCAATACCAATACCAATACCAATACTATCAATACCAATACCAATATCAATACCCATATCAATACACACACACCAATACCCATATCCACACACACACAAAGGCACACACACACACCGCACACACACACAAGGCCAAGCAACACACACACACACACACACACACTGCGCGGCACACACAAGGCTGCAACACACACACACACACACACACACACACACCTGCGGCACACACAGAGTGCCGGCAACACACACACACACACACACGGTGCCAGCACACACAGAGTGCCGGCAACACACACACACACACACACACACTGCCGGCACACACACAAGGTCTGCACACACACACACACACACCGCCGCACACACACAAGGCCGGCAACACACACACACACACACACACAGTGCCGGCACACACAGAGTGCCGGCAACACACCCACACACACACATCGCCGGCAACACACATACCCACACACACACATCACCGGCAACACACACACACACACACCCGGCAACACGCACACACATTACCTAAATCAAAATGAAAAAAATGGACAAATTACCTGAGGAATCGCCGGGGAAGAGAATCGAACAAAAGGGAAATCGCCGGGGAGGGGAATCGCCGGGTTTGGGGGAATCCGACCTTGAGGAAAAATCCGACCGGGGAGGGGAATCCGGGTTTAGGGTTGGAGAAGAAGGGGGAGTCGATTTTGACTCCCCCAAATTTTGGTCAACTGGTTAAATACTCGTCAAAAATCGGATTCTTCAAATCCGATTTATTCATTGAGAAACAAGGTCGGATTTTTTAAATCCGACCTTGGACAGAGAGTTACGACGTTGATTGCAAATTTCACCAAAATCCGACCTTCTGAGTGAACAGTGCATAAATCGGATTCAGTAAATCCGGCATAAAGCCTAGATCGGATTTACGAAATCCGATTTTCCTTTGAAATCGGATTCAGAAAATCCGGCTTTATGCCTAGATAGGATTTTGTATTTCGGATACACAAGTACTAATATCAAACACAATAACAATATATTAACTAAACTAATTCATTAAGCCTCATGATTCAAAAGAAATACAACATAAACTCCAAATCGAACAAACTAAAGTATAAATATCAAAAGTTTCGAGACATGAAACATTGTGAAACAAAACAATCCTAGTCGTTGTGAATACCATCGGCGTCCCAATTGATCTTGAGCCTTGTCCTATCGGATTTCTTGTGTGATTTTGGGCACGTATTGGTGAAATGATTCCTTGAGCCACATCTCAAACATTCATCCCTCGATTTGCGTCCCCTATAATCCATTTGCATTTTAAATCTCTTCTTTTGCCAACGACCGGGTCCAGCATGCATAATAACTCGCTCGTAGTTAGGAACGAGTCTCCATCCAACCTTAGGCCATCTTCTCATATCGGCGACCGGGAAAAGTCATCGCGCCCACCTTGAATTGGTCTTGCCAAGCAACAACCCGAAATATGGATTCACCGTATTGATTGGTTGATCTTTTATCTTCCGACACACAGCTAGTGCATGTGTACAAGGGAACCTATACTCTTGCCACTACTTGCAAGAACACTTCTTCTCTTCATATTTCACAGTGTACGTGTTATCCCCTTTACCACCAAGTCGGGCTCTACTTTTCACCTTGAACTTGCCATTAATAGCACCATAACGGTTGACTTTGTGTTGCGCGGCTTTCTTTTCTTTTTTCTTGAAGTCTTCCCACAAGTCAGTTGGGACCGGAGTAATACATTTCCTCGACTTCACGTATTCTTCCTGGAACAAATCCACAGTCTTAATAAAAGTAGCTTCCACCAAAGCCCGGATTGGCAAGAAACGAACACCCTTGAGGACGTTGTTGTAGCTCTCAGAAATGTTCGTTGTTTGGTTACCCCAACGATAGTGTTTGTCTTTGGCAAGAGTCCACTGACAAGCATCAATCTCCTCGAGATACAAATAAGCATCATTGCTAAAATCACGTAGCTCATTCCTTAGTTCTTTGAATTTAGACTTAGAAAGTTTCGTGCCCATCTCCCAACACAACCTTTTGATCTTTTTACTTCGAAACTGCGCCACCAAGTTACTACGGACGTGACGAAGGCAAAACCGGTGGTATGCATTCCATTCGGGCATTAGGCGTATTGCACTGATGATACCCTTGTGCCGATCGGATATAACACACACAGGCCGGTCGGATATAACATGATTCCTCAAATGCTTCAAGAAAAATGACCAACTTTCCTCACTCTCTTCATCCACGATCGCATATGCAATTGGCGGGATGCGCTTATTCGCATTTGACCATTGCGGCAAGTAATTTACCTTTGTATCCGCCGCGCAAGTGCGTCCGTCGATACTAATCACCGGAGGACATTTAGCAAAACAATCAATTGCAGGCTTGAATGCCCAAAAATATATTTGAACGTCCTCTCTATATCGGTCCAACCGGTTGCCATTCCCACTCTACAACCGTGCGGGGTTGCTCTTCTCTAGGGCGGCGAAAAATCTAAATCAAAATAAAATAATTAATCCTTATTTTATTCCTAAATTACAAACAAATCAAAAAATTAGATAGGACTTAAGTAAATACCTTGGAAGTATGTCAAAATTGGAAACCCAGTCATAGTAAACAAGATCGATAGCTTTTCTCCTTCCCTCCCATGCCCGTGGTAAGGAACATCGACATGCATACGGTCTTTCACTTCTTCCCGAACTAGCTTCACTTCATAATCTGGGTCCAACTCAACCTTATGCCTTATGAGATGCGCAATAAGCGTTGCGCTCACATTCCGATTATTGTTATCCTCGGTAACATTCATACAATTGTGCTCGGGCACCCATTTCACTATCTCCCACAAACCGTGGTCTCTCAAGGAGGCACGTACCTTCCAACGGCAAGGAACATAACCCTTAGGGGTTGACTCTTTTAGGGATTTGCACCAAATAGACCATGTTGAACCATCACTTTCCTTCACATAAAACTCTCTCTTTTGCTCTATGTTCCACGCTGCAATACCATTTTTTGCTTCTTCCTTATTCTTGAAACAAGTCCCTATCCCAATTGTTGCGGTTGTCCCATCCCACATGGTAAGTTGAAAATCATCCTTGTCCACTTTTGTATGATCCCACGTACCCTGTGAACGATATATGTGCCTATCCTTTGTGGCGAATTTGTCTTCGACCTCTTCATCACTCTCCCGACTTCCTTCGGATATTGATTGGTTTTATCGCTTTGATCACTTATCGATGTGTAGTCCTCATCATCTTCACCGTGATCATATTCCATGTGATCGCCATCCTCCATAAACGGTCCACCCACATCATCATCTTCCATGTAATCGACATTCTCCACATTCGGCCTACCACTACTTGTCCCTACTTCCAAATGGGACCTAGAAGTACCCGCCACCTCCAAATCTACATACAAATCAATATATGTCGAACTTGGGAGGAAATACAACACTTGCAACGATGCGTCGTCCTTGATTTTGGCGATACGCCTAAAACCATTGCGCATCGTATCATACAAAATCGATAGACTCAAATTCACATTCTTTCTATTCCACCCCACTCTTTCACAAATCAGTCCAACCAAATCATTGTACAATAACTTATGATCAATCACAAAGGAATCGTCCGGCATGTTGTTAAAACTATTCACAATCCCATTCTTCACTACAAATTTGCTCGACCAATAGACATTAATGAAATATGGACCATTAAACGCCATTTATATCTGTTGATTACATGAATTACAACGCATCATGAACAAATTATTAAAAAAAATGACACAAACAAGGCATTATCAAACAACTTATTATAACAATTACCACAAACAAGGCATAATCAACACTAAATTTACTAAACCCCCTACAAATTCAAAAGTTTAGGTCAAATTCAAGCATTTTACTAAATTGAATGTTCAATACCACGTATACAACAACAATCATCAACTACACCCAACATCAACCCTAAAACCTTATAAATCATCCTAGTTCTAAACTTTTACACAGAAAATAATTCTAAATACATCAAAACATTAACTAACCTTCTTATGAAATGGTTTTAAGACATCCGTTGCGAAGAATCGTGAACAAAATCTTCAAATCGCCACTAAAATCATCTCCTCCTTCAAGAAATAGCCTACTTTACCAAAAATCCCGATATGTGAACAGTGTTTTCCGTCGCCCCATTATAACACAATAAAGTCGGATTTCTAAAATCCGATTTTACTTATAAAATCGGATTTAAAAAATCCGATTTACATGTAAGGCCGGATTTCAAGAATCCGATCTTCTGCCAGCTAATAACGTCCATTCAATGCCGATACCTACTGTTAGGTATGCTTAAATAAGGTCGGATTTTGTAAATCCGATGTTGTACTGTTCTTAATTTTCAAATCTCCCGCTTGTATTTTTTTATGAAAATAAACAAGGTCGGATTCCTAAAATCCGACCTTTGACTGTTCTTTATTTGACTTTCAATACATTTTTCTCATATATATTTTCCGGAAATAAAAATTGTTATTTTATTAAATCGGATTCTGAAAATCCGAACTACTAATTTAATTAGTAGGTCGGATTTTGAGAATCCGATCTCGACATTTTTCTTTACCAAAAAAAAAAATTATAGATCTCTCTACTCCTTTTTCTACCCCATTTTTTAGCCAAAGCACCCAAAAAATGTGTGTGTTTGATTTAAATTAATTAGGCCGGGAAATTTCAAACACGAGATGAAATATAAGGGTCATCTATGAATCAAATAAATGATTTGACTAGTGTAGTAGAATGGTGTAAGATAGCAATAAGACTAAAGAGATGTTCATTGGTGACAAATTGTCATTTATTTTTTAACAAGGTTTGATCAATGATAATTACGGTCATGTATCGAGAAGTCAAAACTTCTTCGATCCTCATATATTCTTTTTAATAAAAATAAAAAAGTGAACATGTAGTGGTTTAATGATTGGGTTATTAATAAACATCTCAAGTTGGGAGAAGAAAATGCTTTCTTTCACGAGTACGTGTAGTATAGAAGCACCAAGAAGTCTGAGTAGATTGAAAATTTAAATTGGATGATTTTGACTTAATGGGAAAAAGCATATGGATGGATGAGGGGGTGTGTGGCCTTAGTTTTCGGGTAAGCAATCTTAGTCTAACCTGAATTTTCTGAATGAATTTCCCCCTCTCTCTATTTGAAAAAAGGGAGGGGGAACCATACTCACATGGAAGAACGTGCCAATTCCCTCAAAATTATGCCCACTTCCATTCTCAGAAAGAGACTCCTCTAATCTTTTCCCACCAAAAAAAGAAATGATGGAGAAGAATTGCGTTATATTAGCCAGTAATTTACAAGGAGGGAAGCATACATCTACTCGTAAAAAAACACCGATTACGTCATATTCCAATCATGATTTAACATTCTACGGTGGCTTATCTAGTTTTGGAAAACCTCCCGATACAATATACTCTAAAAAAAGATAAATGCAAAATTTGTTTCTATGTAAACATGTTCCAATATTACTGTTCAATTTTGACTCATAAGCTCTTTGATCCTTCGGACCAAACTATCATATACCCTAACAAAGTACTTAATTAAATCGATGACTGTCGATATGTAAATATCACTGATGAGAACCGAAGCCAGTGCTCAAAAATTATATGGAACTAGCAATCTACCTTTCTGCTCGTTCAATTTTCCTAAGTGAGAGACTGATAAATTGATAGTACGGAATTTCTATACTCTCTAGCTTGTTTCTTCCTCCCCGTGTGGGGTTCAATCAACTGTCTGACATGTGAGAGAAGCTCTGGGGAGGAAAAAAAAAAAAAACCCTCCAATCAATCGCCATTTCCTTCAAATCATGGCATTCATCATCACCCCAAATACCCAGATTTCAGTTAGTAAGTTAAAATAATCACTAATGCAAATCGCGAAGACTTTGTGTTAAAGTCGGTCATATAAATATCCTAATTAAGGGAAACAAGATATTTCTAATTGCAATGTGTCAGCGTGTGTTTTCAGATCAAAGGTTCAGTGAAAAATGTGCAATAAATGCTGGCTGCAGTAGACTCTCTATGTGTTTCAATAACCCGAAATTAAGATCATGTTGCATTTGGTCCATACTTATTGAGAAGTGAGAACTGAGGTGATTTAAATTTTTACCAAGATGATCTCCACCGACAGTTTACTACTCTCTACTACCTAGTACTAATACATATAGACACTTAGGTTGGTATAGGCAAATTGATCACGATGTTATATAATCTGCTACATACACAGTTCGTTTCATTTTAATTGTCTACGTTTTTCTAAATTCCGTTTTTCTAGTCTGGTACATTGAAATTTATTCAACAAAACAAACGAGATGGAAGGAAAGATTGCTACTACTCAGTAGTTCTCACTACTTTTTAACTTTTCGTTCATCATGCATGCATGATTCTGAATCCTTTGCTGATGGAGGACAAGCTATATGTGATTCGTGAAGCCCCCCTTTTTGATTGGCCTCGTCATTTAGTTATTATCATCATGACATTTGTGACTACAAAGTAGTCCATGTATGTTTTTGAAGCATCAGACCCACAAATTAAAAGTTCCAAAAAGAAAAAAGCATGTTATTACCAGTATGTATCATAGGAAAAAGGGGAAAAGAAAAAATGCAGAACAACACAACTGAAATAAGGAGAGGGGTTAACAGTGACTTCCTATCTGATTATTCTTTTTTTTTTCTCTTAATTTTGTTGCTTTGTTTCTATTTTAAATGATGATCAGACACTACTCAATTGTAGCAAGCAATACCTCTTACTGCTAAAAACCTAAATACAGTTAAAGAGTATTAAAGTGGTATTATAAGAGCATCCTAAAGTCCTGTCCAGCCCTCTTTGTATGGGGTAACAAACTGACAATAACAACAAATTCATGAACCCTTTTAATTTATGTGGAAAAAGAAATTATATCAGAGAAAAGGGAAGATGTTTGCCAGTGGGATTATTTTAGAAGCAAAAAAAAAAAAAAAGTGATGTCCAAGTAGAAAAAATTGATGCAAGTAGGCCCTTGGTGTTGTGCTCAATTGAACACAGCCCCAAAACACCCCTCTGTACCTGTATTATATAAACTTCAACCCCTTACAATACCTTTTCTTTTTGTCCTAAACCTTACCAAAATAAGCTGGTGACTGTTGCAGAATTTGCAATGCCGAATTTCATTCTGTTGTTTTCCCTTTTTTTCTTTTTAGTTGCTTCTGCAACTTCCACATTGTCTTCACCAGTACCAGACCCTGAGTTAGTAGTTCAAGAAGTTCAAGAGTAAGTAACATTTCATACATAGCTCAGTTACCATCTCTTCAGTTTTCATTTCATTGCATGCATTACAATTGGGGTTCTATTTTTATGATGTTATTTATCTTTGTATAGTAGAGTGCATGATTATTTAGTTACAGCATTCTGAAACACAATGCACTGCGTGAAGTCATTCTTGTTGGCCTAACCTTGGCAGGAAAATCAATGCATCAAGAAGAAACTTGGCCTATCTTTCCTGTGGAACCGGCAACCCTATCGATGATTGCTGGAGATGTGATAAAGATTGGATGAAAAACCGCCAAAAGTTAGCTGATTGCGCAATTGGATTCGGCAAACATGCCATTGGCGGAAGGGATGGAAATATTTATGTTGTGACAGACAATGGGGATCACCCGGTGAACCCTAAGCCGGGAACTTTAAGATATGGAGTAATCCAAGACGAGCCCTTATGGATAATTTTCGCGCGTGATATGGTGATCAAGCTCAAGGAAGAACTGATGCTGAATTCTTTCAAGACAATTGATGGTAGAGGTGCAAATGTGCATATTGCTGGAGGACCATGCATTACTGTGCAGTATGTAACCAATGTAATCATTCATGGATTGAACATTCATGATTGTAAGCAAGGTGGAAATGCATATGTGAGGGACTCACCAGAGCATTTTGGATGGAGAACATTGTCCGATGGTGATGGGATTTCGCTGTTTGGAGCTAGCCATGTTTGGGTGGATCATAATTCTCTATCCAACTGCAGAGATGGTCTCATTGATGCAATTCATGGATCAACAGCCATTACTATCTCCAACAATTATTTGACGCATCATAATAAGGTCATGCTTTTAGGTCACAGTGACAGTTATACACAGGACAAGAATATGCAAGTCACCATTGCTTTCAATCACTTTGGAGAAGGCCTAGTCCAGAGGATGCCCAGGTAAAGACTCGAAAATGACAGTTTATGGTTATGTGAATTCTAACGAGCGACCAATAATCGATGAGTTTGTTTTTGCAGGTGTAGACATGGATACTTTCATGTGGTGAACAATGACTATACCCATTGGGAAATGTATGCCATTGGAGGGAGTGCTGATCCAACCATCAACAGCCAGGGCAATAGATTTCTTGCTCCAAATGATATTTTTAACAAAGAGGTAAAGAATCGTAGCTTGCACGCATTAAAAGCTCATCTTATCACAAGTTAATACTACAAAGAAACTGCTCAAACAAAAAGGAAACACGATTTCTTCTTCTTCTTCTTCTTCTTACGTTTCCTTGTACTTGCTAAAATTAAGGTTACAAAACATGAGGACGCGCCGCAAAGCAAGTGGAAGAACTGGAACTGGAGGTCAGATGGAGACCTAATGCTAAATGGTGCATTCTTTATTCAATCTGGTAAAGCTGCATCTTCAAGCTATGCTAAAGCATCCAGCTTAAGTGCCAGGCCATCTTCACTCATTGACTCAATGACCGCCTCAGCCGGGTCGCTAAACTGCAAAAAAGGCAAAGCCTGCTGAGCCCCGAAGGGAAGGCCAGAATGTGTTCCATTTACTTACCCTTTAGCCCGCAACTGTAACTACAAGTGTATTTAGTAGTTATATATATCTCAACATTTTTAGACTTCTTGAGAAATATAATATCAGTCCCTTGTTATGTTGTTCTCAGACGACCTCAGCCCTGCTACAGTACTCGAACCCACACAATTCACCGGGGCTGATGAGTTGAGATTTAGTTAATCAGTGAAAAACCTATGTGTGACACCGCCTTAATACAATGCTAAAGAACTCTTTGATTTTCTGCCTCTGCATTCCTTCCTGTTTTTTGTGACGAGCTAATAACACAATACAAACCTAATTCGAAGAGGTACGCGTCTTCATTAGTTTAATTATGATCTGTTTTTACCTCCTAGCAACACCAATATACAAAATATGCAACCTCTGAATTAAGTTCACCTCATTCAAACAACATGGACAAGTAGTACCAACCCTCATCCAAGTTCAAGCCTACATAGCCAAAAATTCTCTATCGATTTTTTTAGCACAGAGCATACCAAAAACTACTAGTGCTGCCAGCTTCCTTTAATGCTCCATCGAATCGAATTTATTGATTGAAATACTAGATGCATTATTTCATTGGAAACAGCTCCAAGCTATAAATGCAGAGAGATCTCCCTTGCAGAAAAAGCAGATTGAAAGCAATTACCCAGCCCAACGGCTCAACTGTTTTGGACCAACTAACCTGCTCTCATTGATTGCTCCTTCACCCCTTTCTTAGAATCCTAGGCCAATAGTCCCATAATTACACTCAAAATTCAAATCACTCTACCCATTTCAATTTACTTCTGCTTTGCCGCAACAGCCAGGGGCCATCCAAACTTCCAAACTCAGTCATACCACAAAAAAAAAAAAAAACATCACAACTTATTGCTTTGAAAGTACTACAAAATTAGTGGACAAGAACTTCAGGCTGCCTTTTATGAACTCAGCAACAGAACCCCCCCTACTACGGCCTGCCCCCTTGGGCAAAGTCCCCTACAAGTGTACCGACTGCCAAACAATCAATATCAGAAGAGGCCAGAAACTATTCAGTTCATCCATGAGGTTATGGCACTTCCCTCCTACATGCCCTCTACAAGATGGATGATAAACACTGCCTGTCTTCCCCTCTTCTTTGGTTATAAGTTATCACGACCAGTATTTATTGCAAGGTCTTTGTATCTATCCCCTAAGACTCAGTACAGCAAAGAAAGAAGGGGGGAAAAAAAAAGGCCACTTTGTTCTCGCAAAGTTTAAAAAGTAAACTGAAAACCAAAAGGCTTCACTAGAACTGAACCGCAATATTATATTTACTTAGCAAATTACAACTACAAACTGATGTTGCATGAAATGACTCCCGCAATCAATATATCAACTCACAAACTGTTCAATCAAATTGCCTCTGATACTACTCACAAGCACACAGCATAAAAAGAAGATTTTACCCCAACAATAAAATGGAACAGCGGAATATAAGTGAGGAGGTCAGAATGGTGAAAAGCTTAAGCAAGCAAGCAAAACACAAAAGAGGTATCACGGGAAGTTACATTGGAAATACCTATATATTGAGAGACATCATCTCTAGAATCAGTTTAAGTATACTTGTCTGCAGTACTAAACCAAGAAGACAAAATCATACGTTCGAAGCAGGGACTACAAGGTCCATCAAAGACGCGCGACCTAATCACTATAGAACAATTGTTAACAAAATCTCTCAAAAAAAAAGAAGCTGTTCATCATGCAGAAGAGCTTGACAACGGGAGGTAACTCGCTGATGCGACGCACTACAATGTGAGCACTGTACCAACAGATGATACACTTACTCATGGTTGGTACAGAAATCAATAATCTGATGGAGAGATGACATCATCGATCTTGAGGATCATCTTAACAACCTGGGTGGCAAGCAATATCTGCTGTTGCTTCCCAATTAAGGTCTCAAAGACATTTTGCTCACGCATATCATTTGTGCCCACATCATTGCAATCAATACCGCAGCAAGGATTATTTTCCTGCACATACGTTGAAATTTCAATCACAAGAAATTTTAAATGCTAAATCATCTCTCAAAAACCAAAGAAAACAATTCCAACAAAAAGCTCAAGCGTACCTTGATTTGCTGGGATTTTACTGCTGACAGAGTCTCGATCGGCTGGAGCCCACTGTTTTCAGCAAGAGCCATTGGCACAGCATCCAAGGCATCAGCGAATGCCCGTATAGCATACTGCATAGGAGAGACATAAAAGCTTAGTATGAATTCATCAGTAAAGAACATAAGACAAACAAGCATTCAATCTAGACAATGGCCATGATGCATATGGTCATCTCACCTGCTCAACTCCCGGATATTTATCAGCAGCGGCCTCCACAGCAATTGAGCAAGATATCTCAGCAGAACCACCTCCATATACTATGGAGTTGTTGCGGATAAGATTCCTAGCAACACATAAAGCGTCATGAATGCTGCGCTTTGTTTCCTCAATCATCATCTTGTTACCTAGAACATCACAATGAATCAGACAACTAAAATATTATCTCTATACCTTTTTATCAGTTATAAAGAAGTAGTTAACCTACCACCACGAATGAAAATAGTCACAGCCCTGGAATTTGCACAATGCTCAATGTAAATCATGCGATCTTTTGTGGTACCAAATCCTTTTTCTCTAACCAATCCTGCCTGCAAACGTAACCAAAGTATTGGCTTCAATAAATTTGACGACATCAAAACGCTTAATAAAAATAGAAACAGAAGGAGAATGTCCCAATCATGAAATGTTCATTTTTGTACATCTTAATACATGAAACGACATAATCATGCCCCAAAGTTGAAGCAAAGTCATCAAGTTAAAGCAGCAATTATTAGTAAGAGTCTTTCTAATACAGTACCAAAATAGCAGGTTAGAATTTACATATAAAGAGGGAAAGCAATTATAAATCGATTCTTATTTGTTCATCATGATGCAAATGAGCATCACCAACAAATGCATGGCTTGCAAGAAAGCCTGTACATAAACTATAACTCAAAGAACATAATCTTTTAACACAGCCACAGAGAAAAGAATTCATTATTAGCGATAATGCACAGACAAACTGAATGAGAGAAGGTAGAGGGAAAAAAATCACCTGTCCCAGCTTTTCTGGCGTCAATTCCTGAAACCTTGGCACAATTCTGCCCCCTACAGCAATGGAAACAGATGGATCAAATAAGATATACTATGATGTAAAAGGAAGAGAACAACTATTCGAAGAGGCAATAGAAAAAAACCTGTGGCAATAGCAATTAGCTCCAACTCTACGCCACCAACCCAACGAACAGCAGGCAGGTTTCTATGCATAAGCAAGTGATTTGCTTCATCATCAAAACCCCATTGACAAATAACCAGGGTGGCACCAACATCCTGCATTTTGTTTTACAAGCAAAAGTTAGCAGCAGTATAGCTTGCTTTGAGTATAAGTTTCACTCAATTGATGCAATCTTACTTTGCATTTCTGAACCATGTCATCAAAGTACTTCTGCTCTTGCTGTCGGAGGTTTTGGAATTTCTCCACTGTGTCAATGTCAACCTTATGCTTGGTCTTTGGCTTCGGCGGCTCAAAAGGGCATGTCAAAATGGCAATTTTTGCATCTTTTATCTCCTTCGGCATTTGTGGGTGACTCATGTCCTTGTCAACAATAATTCCATAGATTAGTTCTGTGTCCTCCAATTTCCCACCCACTTTACCTTCCACCTTGATTAAATCCAAATTGACATCCCTTCTCTCTAAATCCGCAACAGAAAGAACGGCTTTGACTGCAATTTCAGCCATACTACGTTTGCATCTATTGACACTGCAATACACCCATCAAGAAATAAATAACTACAACAACTGCCGAAAATCTTCTTAAAGAAAAAATCTGAGGTACAGCATTAAAAATTCCACGAGACTTACATCTTGGATGATAAAGTAGTCATACAGGTCTGTATCAATGGCTCAATATTGGTCGCATCAAACTCAAACTTATTTGCTATGCGCTCCAGATGTTCAAAAGCTATTCTTGAGGCCATTTCATAGCCTTCTGCGACCCTGATAGGATGAATACCACGTTCGAGTAACCGTTCAGCTTGTTCCAAGAGGGCACCAGCCATGACAACAACCCCGGTTGTCCCATCACCAATTTCATAGTCTTGACTTCGTGACAACTCAACCATCAGTTTGGCAATTTGATTGTCGACGTCCATCTGCTCCAAGATTGTAGCACCATCATTGGCTGAAAATTTCATGAACCGCCATTAGAAATTTCAAACAGCCTATCATGTTAAATATAAAGGATGGTTACATCAAAGCTTTCTTTTTTTGATTAATCCTACTTCCCCTTTCTTTCGCTTTCCGCCTCTAAACTTAAATCCGAATATATTTGAATAAGGTACAGCGCTTCCTCATAAAAATGAAACAAAAAAGAAGAAATTCACATCAAGGGAAGAAAAAATATTGAATCTATACATCAATAACAGCAAATATTTTTCCATCAATATCTTAAATGCCAAAAAAAAAAAACTAAAAATAATAATAATAACAAGAGATTTATTCCAGAGTGATCAAATTATATCTTATAGCAGTCTCTTCATGTCCGGAAAGAATGCCAAGCGAACGCAAGATTCGTCAGACATTTTGCCTCCAATCAAACAACAATATCTACAACAATAACTAGGCCAGAATAATCAATTTCAGCAAAATAAATTTACCAGCAAACACTAATTCATTTCTAAACCCTAGGTACATAATCATCATCGTATAATAAATCCATAAATTACTTTCCATCAAATAAATCCATAAATTACTTTTCTGCAAACCAAATCTAACAAGAATTTTTATCTAGAAAAGTGTAGTAGTACAAAACCCTAACTCGTCATACAGCATATAACTTCATCCGCCAGAAAACAGTAAAACAAAGGGTAAATCTTCATTCAAAAGTGTGAAATGCAAAGAGAGTGATTACTGATAGTCACTTCGCCGTCGGGGCTCTGGAGCATCTTGTCCATGCCTTTGGGACCAAGAGAGGTCCGGAGGATACGAGCAACAGCCTTGCCGGCGGAAATGTTAGCTTTCTGAGCATCGAGACCTCGCAGCCGGGTCTTCTGCTCTTGCTCCTTCACAATAATGAACGGCCGACCGAACTCGTCGAACGCCAACGCCATTCGACACCGGAGATCGAGATCCGAGAACTACAAAGAAGTGTTAAACTAATAAGGGGAAAAAGGAAAAGAGAACGACGATTAACAACTATCTCACTCCTCCTCGCTTCAGTCTCCAGAAGCTTGAAGAAGTTTTGCCCTAGTTAATAATGCCTCCCGCTTCTTTTCTCTTGAAGCAGAAGACTCTCGCTTTGTACGACATCGTTTCTCAGGATATTCCTTGGGCTAGTAAACTGGGCTGAAATTACATTAGGCCCAAATTTGATTAGGTTTCGGCTGAGAATTCTATCATTGGTGTGGGCCACATAACTGGACTGAGATTAAAAATTCTATCATTGGTTCATGCCTGACTTTCTTCCTAAAACTTCCCCTAAATACGAAGCTCCCAATCCAGTGGGATTGATCGCAGGATGGGACAAGGGCCAAAAAAGTGCAGGATTGTATCGTGTGGACACGGCTCAATGGTGGGCTACTAGAACCATTTGCGATGTTGGATCTGAAGCTCTTGAACGTTGTCGTTATTTTGCCATCGTGTACCATTTCGGACCCCATGGGTGGAGGATTGTTGGTGATGGCATCCATGTCATAGACGACGAGGCGGAGCCAACCCCGGGAATGAAGTACCTCTTCAAAGTGCCAATAACTTTGAGCTAGCATATTCTTCTGCACATAATAACAAGCTCTATTAATTTCCCTGTCATGTTTGTTTTTCTTGAATTACTATGTGCAGTCTGCAATCCTGGTCTCTCGTATATTCCTTCCGTCTCAACAAAATTTAATTATTGTGATTTATGTTATTTGCAATATGAATTGTGTTTCTCTTAGAAAGTCGGCGGGTTTGTTTATCTTAAAATTAGACAAAAAAAAAGGAGAATTCTAAATCTAAAATGAACATGAAAACATAACATTGTTATATTTATGGTGAATAACATCAGGGCAATGATCTGACCAGGTGTTAATCCGATTTTATATTACTATTCATCCTTATACTTAATATAAAGTCACAGTAGGCAAGAAATTAAATGTCCAAGAAATATTCAGGGCCACCTTCAAATTGATCTCGTACGTCGGATGGCATTGATATGACGTCAGCAACTTATTGGGGGCAAAAAGGAGAATGCTTAAATTCAATTTCAAATTAATGAATGAGAAAAAATCTGAATTTTTGGTAAAAAAAAATCCACAGATATCAAAACAACGTCGTTTTATATCTTTATTTTATTCCCAGCAGTGAAAACGACGACGTTTTTGTATCAATGTTTTCTTTTTAAAAAGAAATTTTGTTAAATCCCCGAAACAAAATGATCACAGATTATACTTGCGATTCATCTTTCCTTTTTCCTTCTTGTTTTTTAGCCTCCTCCCTCTTTTTTAAGAGCTCTATTTATGCTGATATCCCCACCGTTTTTTGGGACCAAAGGATTATATATAAAAAATTGGTTACAGACACCAATTGGAACCCCAGTTCCTCCGCCGTGACTAAAACTATAGCTGCGGCTAAAAATCAAACTGCCGCTAAAGACCATCTTCAAAATTGAATTGCCGTCGCTAATCACCATAACCTCCGTGCAGAGTTGTTGAAGTTTATCGTCGGAACGTTTGTCGATTGAGACCATAGATTCGATTTTGCAACCTTCACCGATGAGACTGTTGGGGACGAAGATAAAGAACAGTAACGAGAAGAGGAAGGGGCTCTAATCTTGATCAATCATAGATCGTGGTGCTAGACAAGATTTGAACATTGTTCTATATACACTACTTTTTCTTTTTCTTTCTATTTGGGCTCTAATTCTATTGCTGCGAATAGTCGCTCACCGGATTTTCCAGAGGGTTTTTTCCTCTTCTCTCCCCACTACCGTGGATTGTGCCACCAACTCACTCACCGAAAAAAAAAAAAAAGGTTCGGTCTTTCTGTACTATTGCTGCTGCTTCTTTTTCTTTGGAGTCTACTCCTAATCTTTTCTTCTTCTTTTTTTTGTTGATTTTTGTTGGTGTTTACATTGCAGAACTTTCTAATAGGGTAGAAACTAGAATTGCATAATTTCTGCTATTTGTTCCTGTTGAGAGCTCTCCGCGCAAAAAAAGGACACCAAACCACATCAAATACCAAGGACAATCAGAAGGTCTTTTTTGCTGGGGCTCTCTGCAGTTCCTGAATTGTTTTATTCTCCAAAATGTTTGTTTTGGTGTAGTTCTCTTTTTATTATGATTTGTTTTGATTCTGCTTTTGCCATTCAATAGGGAAATAGTTACTGCATCATGAAATCTTGAATGATGTCTAATCTTGTCTATGCTCACTGAATTTCACTTGGTCCTAATCTTTTCTTATTTTTCAGGTTGCCTAATCTGTTGTTTTTTCATGGATGTTCCAATTAAACTTCGTGGAGATGGTATCGTCTTCGTTGTCCTCCTCGTAAGAATTTGATTATTTGTTCAAGTTATTGTTGATTGGGGATTCTGGAGTAGAAAAAAGTAGTCATTTGCTCAACTTTACTCTAGATACCTTCGAAGATCTCTCTCCTACCATAGGTAATACTGATTTTATTTTTCCCTTTCATATCTTTTGTATTAAAATGAATTTGAAGTTTTGATCTCAATATTCACATGTGGTTATGATTTTGGATGGAAAAAGTAGGATTTTACGAGAATGTTTGAGTTGCTGAATTCTATTTAATCTAGCAGAATTTCATGTAATTGTGTTTATTTTAGGTTGTTGTCGCTTAGTCATCGAATTGAACTCTTTTAGAATATGAAGAATTATAAGGAGAGTGAGAAATAGAGAGATATTGTCAGCAAGAATAGCAGAATTGTGGAACCTGAGTTATGTTATAAGGACCTTTGCAAGATAGTTCCTTTTTAAAATTTCTTTTTTTTGAATCCTATTGAATTGGGCGAATGTTTGTTCTTCTTTTGTGTTTCAAACCAATTTTAAATGTACATGGAATATGGAATATTTGCTGATCAATTGGTTTCATGTCAATTTATCTTATGTTAGTTGGACAAAGGTGCAGACCTTTCAACCCTGGTAAAAGTTCTCATGACTTACTATGTTTGGGGATATGATCATATTTGCATTGGTGTGTTGTATACTGTCTCCACCAAACCTGGTTTGTTTTGTACCTATTTAATTGCAAAGTGAAAATTGAAGTGGAAGGGAGGCCTTTTTATGCCTTAGGTTTGAACACATAAAATTTTGGTTTATTGAACTGGTAGAAATTCTTTGTTGTTGTTCCCTAAATGTGATCTATATGAGTATACATTATCAATCACTTTCAAATTAATTGGGTTACAGATGTTTCTTTACTGTTAACAAAGTGAATCACGTGAAAGACTAATCAAATGTAGTTTAGTATACGATCGCAACAATATTGCATCAAATTGGGACCAAAATTTGTCATAAATCCTCACTCCACTAGATATCTGCACCAAAATTTGTACTTCTTTTACTGACTTTATATACTTGTGATATTGTATTGCACTTTTTTCTGACTTTATGTTTCTAATATTTGACTGTTTTATAATAAAGAACTAAAATACCATCTCTTTAGATGTCTATGGTTCAAAAAAGTTGATTAGCCTTGAGAAATTACCTCCATGTCTAGATTTGAATATTTTTCTCTAATTAATACGCCTAGGCTCTCTTTGATATGTATGCTGGATCATTTGAAAATTTGGAATATAATGATGAGCTACTTTAGTAGCATGATAAGGAACTTGGTGCAAAGGAAAAAAAAATGATAGCATACGGATTTGCTACATGCATTAGTGAGCCACTAACTTGATGTCCTAATTATGATAGTTTATTTGTGGTAAATTTTACTTTACTAGGCAAATAAAATGTTGGACACTTGGCTACTCGTCTTAATATTAGTACCTGATGATTGGGAATGCTTTGGGGAGAAGCTACCCGTTTCTGCTTTGGATTGACTAAGCATAGAGCGTACTGCATTACTTCATATGTAAAGCTCATTGTTTTTTTGTTGTTCTTCAGGTTCAAGAACTTCACTGATTGTACCAGATACAGATAAAACTAGCAAAGAATTTACAATTGAAAGGGGTAGGTACATTAGGAAAAGATAATCACTGTCTCTGTACCATTTAAAAAAACTTTGTTTCGTAAGACTTTTTGGTAGCTTTTGCTTCTCTGCCTTATTATGCTTCTTGCAATCTATGCCAACAGTCATTTGGTTGTCAATAGTGAGAAAAAGACAAGTATTTCAAGTTTCTTTACCCACTAAATGTCAAAAACAGGAATCTATTATGTTACTCTAGAAGACCTTTCAGAGAAGGAAACACTCTTCTATAACTTTGCGCATAAACGTTTCTATTGTTTATCCTTAATTTTCTTTTTATTATTCACTACATAATTTCTTCATCTATCTGGAACAACTTTCATTGGTGCATATTCTTCAGCTGCTCGCCAAACAACTATGAATTATGCTTCGCATGCACTTAGTTGATTCTTAAGATTTGCTCAACAAATAGTATGGCGAAAAATAATTTCATTGAGTTTGATCTTATGCAACTACTTGTCTCTTGCTCAGTAAAGTCATGATCAACTAATAGGTTTGGAATTTTTTTGGCGTACATCGTACATCCCTATACTTTTATTTTTACCGCTAATTAGGCATTAATTTCTGGTCTCCATTTCTATTTTTTGCACCAATGTTTTCATATGTCAAACTTTTTCCCACAAACCTGGTCTGATGGTAGTGTTGACAAGTGATTCTTTGATAATCCTGTGCGGGCTTAAAATGTAGCCTTTATACAAATAGTTCTATTATTTTTATTCTTTGCACTGCTGTATTTAAAGTAATGCCGCAATTGCTGTCAAGACAAGCCAAAACAATGGGAAAGTGGTTCATTCCAAGCTCACTTTACCCGAGAAAACAAGACTTCTTCGCCTCATAAGGCTACTACTTTGATTGTTTTGTAGCAATGGATCCTAATTTATGAGCTCCTAATACAGAAATTCATGAAGCTCGAGTACTACCTTTTACTTCTTCCTGATTTGGTGAATACAATAGTCTTATCGACTAAAGAAACGAATAGAATACAAAGTCAAAGATAAAAAACAAGCTACATTTCATAATAAAAATATTAAGTAATTGTAATTCAAATTATTGACAAAGAATTCAATAAAACAAACTATTTTTATACTTTCTCCGTAGCATTACTTTTTGGTTACGAACACAGTATAATAATTATATGATACAAACTGATCGCGCAACGCGCGACAAAGACAAGCATAGTATCATAATAATATAAGACATTATTCTTTATAGGATCAATTGGTTTTTTCATTTAACCGATTTAAAAGTTTAGGGGCCACCCGGGCATCCGTCCTGGCCAAGTATTTAGTAGTATATTATATTAAAAGAGGAACCAGGGAGAGGTTTCAAGAAGAGTTTTTTTACGTTGTCACGTAGGATAAAATTTTAAGTGGTAATTTCTCAAAATTATGATAAAAAAATTTCAATATTTAACTAATAATCCCTAAAAAATAACGTTATAGCATAATAACACATTCATCATAATTATCTAAATCTAATAACATTAAATATATCTATAACTATTTATAATTATAATTTCCTTATCAGAATATTTCAATCAACTATTGTGGGGATTATTGTTTGAAGGAAAGAGCAATCAATCCGGATAAAAAAGGCGAGATAAAAATGGGATAAGAAAACTTGTGTTATAACAAAGAATAGGAAATAAAAACATTATCCTATTTGATGATATCAGAAGGGTTTATTACGGTAATAAACAATCATTTATAATTGACTAAAACATCATAGAGTTAGAGTCATTGTCGATCAATTAAATTAAATTGGTGATCCGTAGAGTTATTGTTACTCATATTGCCCTCAGGCCATAATTAGTGTAAAACAAGCGTAAATTCCACTGGTGATGTGGGTATATAATACCATTATTCAAAATTTAAATTATGATGCTATTCAGAACCCTAGAATGATGGATTAAAATAATAAAGAGGTTTGTTATTATGCCAATCTTTTCATATTAATGGATGCATATACATATATAAATTAATAACAAATCGATAATGGTTGGCATCTTTCACAATGTAAGATTTCTTTTTCCCTGCTCTGATTTTGAATTCGATTGAAAATATGTTTTTAGTTAGATTTCGGTCATATATAAACGAAGCTTAATGTCACGATTTTTTCTTCTTTTTTTTTTTCGTTTCTTTTTTGGTTTTATGTTGGATAGGAAACATTGAACAAAAAAGGGGCAGAGAATGGATTATGAAAAGATGGCAAAGATGGATACCGGTGAAGAGTGCGAAATTCATTTCAAGAAACTGGAGCAACCACGTATGGAACCAGAGGTTTGTAATTATATTTTTTATTTAATTTTTTTTCCCCCCATGACATGTAACACCAATCCCTTTTACCCTATTAAAGCAGAAAACAGGATGTTGACGTAGCAATTTTGTATTAAATGTTTTGGTTCCAAATGCACTATATTGCATAAACTATTCTGCCACGTATCACCCCCTTTTAAAAACAAAAAATATATTTATAATATTAACGAAGAGATTAGATGGCCATGTTTATTTAAATTTTGAATTTGACAGTGAATAGAACTTTCTTTCTTCACTTATTTAGGACTTTCGAAAAAATTAATTTTCGGTCAATCAATTATCTTCATCAAAAACTAAATTTATTCCTAATGAGTTTTGATTATTTACATATCAATTTATTAGGTGGGAGGACGCCCCCGGACATTTGCCCGGGACAAGCATTTTAATATATAATTCATTTCCTGCACTTCTTCACAACTAAAAAGAACTTAGCTGGGAGTGAAGAAAACATCATTAAAAATCGGGTAAGTAAATTTGTTGTCTCTTTCGTATATGTTTTGTATCCATGAAACTAAAATGAAAAATGGCAGTTCTCAATCCCCAATATGTCTGTGTCTATTAATTATGATGTTTTCATAATTAATAAACTAACCTTCGGTGTACTGCATTTGGACATATTCAAGAAGAGTAATCTAAAGTATGAGCTCATGGTGAATTGATTGTGTTAAAAGGGACCCATTTCTTCAAGTGACTTTGGTTATTTTCAGTGTAGGATTTTGAATCGTTACCAATATATGTAATGTCAATTTAGTTTCAATAAATTACTTAATTTTAGTTTATATTGGACAGGATACAATATATTTATTAATTATATTATCTATAGATTATTACGGAGTTTCTTATATTTATTGGTAAATTTATTGACTTTCAGTCAAAAAAAAAAAAAAAACTTCTTACACTATTACATTTCCCTCATGCAATCTATATCATACTGCCATTGAATAGCGTATATGCAATATTTTTACATGAACCTCTAATTTAATTTTACTCATACAATAATTTTTATACAAACCAAATAACTTCCTTTGTCTTTAACATGTTTATAATTTAAATATTTTTTTCATAAATGTATATGAATAAACCCCGCACGATGTGCGGGTTTAACATCTAGTTTTTAAGTATAAATTTAAAAATTCAATGTGTGAATTATATTTTTTCTAAAACATGGAAGTACATATATAATTCAGGTCTTAAAAGCTGGAGGAGTTTAGTAGTAAATCATATAAGGAGTTTAATTGATTATAAAGATGGAGAGCTAGCGAGTTGGAACCTAACTAACCTTAAATTGTCCGCCAAGACTTGAATCAATACAAACGCACATCCCATTTGTGCTGATTTCTAAGCAAAGTATCAATCACAACCCTACTGGATGAACACATAGTCGCACACGCACTCATTCAATCATACCGTGGCACTAATTAAAAGGTGCCGAATCCGATGATCATCGTCGATTGGATGAACGGATTTACATTTGCTTCGTTTCCAGTTTCCCCAGTGATATGATTGGCTCCAATTTCTTCTTGGTACCAACAACCGCCACCACCACCTGCCACCCCCGGTTGATTAATAAAAGTCATACTACTACTTACCTGTACCAAACGCTGTCGTTTTGTTTCCCCGCCACATCCTTATTTGCTTCTCCTCGACGGCCATGATCATCTCCCTTAAACCCCTCTTTGGATCTCAGCCGCAGATCCTCCTCCTCCTCCACCACCACCACCGTCGAAACTACTCTCCTTCCCTCCCTCGCTCTCTTTTCTCCGTCCGTCATGGACCCCGCCACCTCTCGACCCGCCGTCGTCATTGACAATGGAACCGGGTACGGAGCTGAATTATCCTTTATTCTCGATTGCTCATTAACATGTTCGATGCAATTCCTTCAATGAAAACTGAACTGACATTTCCATTTTTGTTTTCCTCTTACGCAGTTATACCAAGATGGGTTTTGCTGGAAATGTTGAACCCTGTTTTATAACTCCAACAGTTGTGGCCGTGAACGATTCCTTCGTGAACCAATCCCGGAGTACTGGTGGCTCCACCAAGAGCAATAATTGGCTGGCTCAATACAGTGCCGGGGTGATGGCGGATCTTGATTTTTGTATAGGAGATGATGCGTTAGCTAGATCTAAGTCGAATTCCGTTTACAACCTTTCTTATCCAATTAAGCATGGCCAAGTTGATAACTGGGACGCAATGGAAAGATTTTGGCAGCAGTGTATCTTCAATTACTTGAGATGTGATCCTGAGGATCATTACTTTTTGTTGACTGAAAGTCCATTGACCGCCCCGGAGAGCCGTGAGTATACCGGGGAGATTATGTTTGAGACCTTTAATGTTCCTGGTCTTTATATTGCTGTCCAGCCTGTACTAGCTTTGGCTGCTGGTTACACCACATCCAAGGTGCGGTTTTGGATTGGCGTTTCGATATGAATGGTTCATTGATCTTCTGCATTCATTTTGATTTTATTCTGTTTGTGGTTGAGTCTTGTGCTCACATGACATCTAGTATGCTTTCTTTTTGGTTAATGAGGCTTGGAAGGAAATCTGAAGTTTGCTAAAGGTTTTACTAATCTAATGTGAACTGTTGATTTTTGAAGTAACATTTCATCTGGGGGGGGGGGGGGGGTGTTTCATTTGTCGGATTGACAGAGATGTGTGCATTAGGATAATGTCACTGTTGATGAATTGCAGATGGCTGAGACTGGCTTTGCTTTATATCAGTTTTACATGATATGAGCATGAAATTTTTGGTTCTGAACAGAATTTGATGTTTTTGTTGACTATCATTGCTATTTATTTGGAAAGTGAATGCACTAGGATTGCTAATCTTATGAATTAGTTCGTTCATTGTTTAAACAAGAAATGAGGGCATTCTCTTCCCTAGTTTATTTATTGCTGTCAATCTTCTGTGATCATATTTTCTTCTGATTTTGTACTCCCTCTTAGTGTGAGATGACAGGGGTTGTTGTGGATGTTGGTGATGGGGCTACTCATGTCGTCCCTGTGGCCGAGGGTTATGTAATAGGGAGTAGCATCAAATCAATTCCTGTCTCGGGAAGGGATGTTACTCTCTTCATTCAGCAGCTAATGCGGGTAGTTTCTTCCGCCATTTCCTTTCCCTTCATCTTTAAAAACATGTAATGTATGATGAATAGTTCTTTTTAACAGTGTAGAGGTCTTCCACCAGAAATGTGAAAACGTTTACCCATTGATTATGTGTCTAAATTCTTTCAATAGAGTATAGCAAAGATGTTCACCTTGTTGGTATCAAGGTTTAGATGACTTTCTGCCAAATATATGATAATCTACATGCAGTAAATATTCCCTTTGTAAAGGGGCTTACAGATTTAGTTTTTCCTGGATTTAGATGAGCACATGCTTCAGGGCTGTGATGTTCAAGATAATTTCCTTAAAAATTAAAACTATACTTCATTGTGTTTTTTGATGAATATAGGACTCTGAAACTACTTTGAATTATTGTTTTTATTTTTTTGGCACAGAAGTTTCAAGTTATAATTTCATCCTTTTCGCTTTGTTGGAATTTTGCAGGAAAGGGGGGAGCATGTTCCGCCTGAGGACTCTCTTGAAGTAGCACGAAAAGTGAAGGAAATGTATTGCTACACTTGTTCAGATGTAGTGAAGGTATGATCCTAGGAGGAGAGCTTTATGAATATGTCAGCATGAAATTGCGCACAAAATATCCTGCGCTAATGGGTTTTCCTGGTATCCACTATTTATTAGGAGTTTAATAAGCATGACAAAGAACCATCTAAGTACATCAAACAATGGAGAGGCACCAAGCCAAAGACAGGGGCACCATACACATGTGATGTTGGTTATGAGCGATTTCTTGGTCCAGAGGTTTACTTTTCCTTCCATCCTTGTTCTTAATAGTTCTGTATTTACGTGACGATATTAGAGAATACATCTTACAGAAATGTTGCTTGAAATTTCTGTCTTGTTGGGATTACCTGGTTAATTTAATTAATCTGTCTTGTTGTTTAACGCGTGGACTCTTTAACAAGCAATGGATGTGCTAATCAGAGTAAAGATGAGTTAATGTGAAAGATGGGTGCCTTTAAATTTCTCTGATGACATTCATTTCCAGGTATTTTTCAATCCGGAGATTAACGGTAGTGACTTTACAACTCCTTTACCAGAGGTCATAGACAAATGTATTCAGTCTGCTCCAATAGACACGAGACGAGCTTTGTACAAGGTGAAATTTGATTTATTCCAGTGAGCGTTTCTTCCTGATCAATGGTTAAAAATGTTGACTGTATTTGTCATAGATCAGATATTCATGTGTGCCCAGTAGTTTTCGCTATCGGATTCCTTAAAATTGATGGGTCTCAGTTTAGGTGGCTAAGTATGCTATGTTTCGCTTTCAGACACCATGTGTATTTGCAAAAATACCCTTCTCTGAGTCTCCACATGTTCTGCACAATTACATCTTAAATTGTTTTGCGAGTGTCCTCCATATGCCATATTGATTTGTTAGACTTTTACCGGATAATAGAACACCCCCCCACCAAAAAAAAAAAAAAACCACATAATTTTAGACTAAAAGGGGTTGAAATGAGTGCGATTCCTAGGGAAAAGATTTGTTAAGGTCATATCATTGCACATGAGGCCTCAATAACGAGTGGCCATTTGTTTGTAGGAAAGTTAATTTGCTAGCTTTTCCTGTACCAGCATCTATGTTTAAAACCTCGAGATTCCCGGTTATGTGTTGCAATGACTTTTCCCTAGTATCTTTTGGTTATTTACTGCGATCTTAATATTTAAATATGCATTCCAGAATATTGTTTTATCTGGAGGATCAACAATGTTCAAGGACTTCAATAGACGGTTGCAACGGGATCTAAAGAAAATTGTTGATGCACGACTGCTTTCATCCGAGGCGCGTCTTGGTGGAGAAGTGAAAGTGAGTATTTTGTGTTATGTCATTATTTTCGTTCTCTAAAAATCGATTTCCTTATGAATGGATTGACTTTTGTGCTCTTTTTGTAACAGGCGCAACCAATAGAAGTAAATGTTGTCAGCCATCCAATCCAGAGATATGCAGTTTGGTTTGGGGGCTCAGTACTTGCATCTACACCTGAATTTTTTGCAGTATGTATAGCCACTTTAGGGTCTCGTGTAGGAATTTGATTAGTTTTATCTATAGATACTTATTCTCTCTGATTGGCAATACCTGTTCCTAGCTAGATTGTTATGTCTGTGGCATGATAATTATTAGCCTAGATTCTTTCATTGTGCCTAGTTTTAAATCAAAGACATGTTTATTGCTCCTGAATATCCTTGAATCATGCGAAGGCCTTAGACATGCCTGCTTTTGCAAAGTTCAACCTCCTTTTGGGTGCTTGAAAGGTTACTGGGAATCAGTAATGTTTGCTTGGAGGAGATGCAGTCTGTTGGTGTTTAGGGTATCCATGTCAGTGACTTTTTTTGGGTCGGTATAGAAGAATAGATGTATGTCACGATGGAGTTAAACAAAAAATCGAATGTACTTCTTGATCTGTATAAGATGTATGCGATAACAGATCCACTCTAAGATATAATGCAGTCACATGTAGATTCCATTATTCACTGGTATTAAATGCATATGGATCTTGTTTTACTAGTATAATTACTCACCAAGTTTTTTTTTTTTCCCCCCCTCTATTTAAAAGGCTTGCCATACAAAGGCAGAGTATGAGGAGTATGGTGCTAGCATATGCCGTACGAACCCTGTATTCAAGGGGATGTATTAAAATGAGGATGCTTCATTGCTTAGAGAGGTATTGCTGCTGGCGCTAGCAATTGCAGAAACCTGCGGTCCTGACAACTGGAAGTATGAAGGGTCACTGATTTCCACAGATCTTTATTGAATTTACTTCTGGGAGTCCTCATTGTCCAATTGCCTATCTGTACGATAGATACGAGTCAATTGCACAAAAGATGAGGGTTCCATCCGGGTGTATTCTTCTGGCGGGTGGCGCCATTTCTTGGTACTGGTGGAGTGGAACACTGCTTTTCCGTCTACATTGGGTTGGCTTTTTCTGGCGGCGATTTTGCTCCAGACCAGTCGGTTAATTTAGTCTGGTGCCATTAACTGCGGTTGGATTAAAGAAGCAGATCAGCTGAGGTCATAAAAGCATTTTTTTTGTTGAGGGGTGAGATATTGTAGCGTGTGATTTCAGTGGTTTAGAAGGAACTTCATAGGTTCACTATATTATTACATTACAATTTTGTTTGGTGATACAAATTCACAAATATCATACTTGTAAATGCAGCCTCTTTCTTATTTGGAAAAATAGAGTCAAACTTTTCCCCTTTAATTTGGGATATAATAGGAATGAGAGTTATTGCTGAAGTTTTGTTTTTCTGTGTGCTTGTTTTGTTTTCTCCTTTTCCTCAACCACAGTGCATTATGCCATTATAGTTATCTATCGTCTTATAATTATTAATTTTGGGACAGAAGGAGTATCACTTATCGCCTCATTAGTCATTGACGCTTGTTATGGTAGTTACTAGTAACGAAGTTGGCTGAGCATTGTTCAATAAATCCAGATTCATTGTTCAAAACTAAGACACGCATCGTGACCAGTCCCTTCTGTTTTCGTCATTCTCCCATATCCATGACCTATCATCATGTTACTTGTTATGTGGGCTGAAGTTGGATGATATGATCATTACTCCATATTCGTATTGGAACCTGATAGAAAAAGTACACCACATTCATACTAGAACTTGATTTTTTGTTAAAAAAAAAAAAAGAAGAAGAAGAAGAAGACAGTGAGTAATGAGAAATGCGGTGTTACTAATTTAAATAGAGGACAACTTACTACATTCAAGTTTCTCATTAGTTTCGTCTGAGAAAAATGATCTACAAAATTAAACCATTTTTATGGGATACAAGGTGTAATATATTGTTATTTCTTGAAACATTTGTGACTTTTAAATGTTTACGTTAACAATTATGATGGCAAGATTCATAAATTCAAAATAACCAGTGTTATTTCAAAATAAAAAATAAAAAAAAAAAGAAAGGAAGAGAAACAAAGCTAGTGAAGACCTTGAAGAAACTTGTGTAAGAAAAGGAGGAGTATGGGTAATTCTCAAAACTTTACCGAGGCAAACTCAGAATTACGATAAAAGTCCATCCTTATCTAACAAAAAAAGAAAGAAAATAAGCGGAAGAGTGGGACCCACACCAAAACCAGAAGAAATTGTTTGAAGACTCCATTTGTCTAATGTCCAATGCCCATTCTCTTCAAAGAAGAAACAAAGGTTAGCAGCTCTGCTTATGAGTTTTTGGACTCCTACAGCTGAGAATCATAATATCCCAGTAAGATTAAGTTCTTGTTTCTTCACTCTTCCTCTTTGGTAACATATTGTTGTGTTTTTACTTTCTTGTTGCTAATTGAATTTGGTGGTCGCAGAAATGAAATCATAGATTTTACATCACTTTTTTTTTTCGTCACTTTGTCATGTCGCTCATGATTTTATCGTTTTCTCGGCTGGGATTCTGTTGTGTTAAGTGAATTGTTCGATTCTTGCATCTTGAAGTTTAGGGTTGTGTTACGAGGTGGGTGTTGGACAAATTTATAGCTCGTCGTTTCTATTATTTCTCCCATCCCCCTCCTCTTTGGTTGATTCTAAGGTCTGGGTTTAGGAACTTAGGATTTTCGAGGTGAATCACTCGACGACGGTAAACGTATATTAGTCAGTGTAAACTTTTTAGTCTTTTGGTGGGGCCGGGGGGGGGGGTGGAGTTGTTGAAGATCTACGAAGCTGATGACCTTTTTCTGGGTTCTTTGTTTCTTAGTATGTATGTTAATTTGGACCCTCTTTGATTAGTGTTGTGTTTTCTTTATTGGGCTGGAAGATGCTTTGTAGGAAATTTACCTGATACATTTGTATAATGTTTTAAATCAATTAATGCATCGCCCTATTTTCATTTTTTTTTGGTGCTTTTTGTTCTTTTTTCAATTGATGCTTCTTTTTTGTCTGTGTTTCTGTTTATTTGTTAATATTAATAGCTTTTTTCAATTCTGCAGTATTGATTTGATTACATATATCTTTCCTTAAGAGACTTTCATAGATATTTTAAATTGAATTGTCTATGTGATATTGGACTAGAAACTCATTGTCGATTAGGAAATATCCTCACTTTGGTTTTTTTTTTTTCTTTCCTTTTCTTTTTCGCTTCAAATTCCCTCAATCAGGTAGTCTGAAACAGATAATTACTGCTACTACTACTACTTGTTAGATGCGATGGATGAGCAAATAGATTATGGGGACGAGGAGTACGGAGGAGGGAGTCAAAAAATGCAGTATCATCATGGAGCGGGGGCAATTTCTGCACTTGCAGATGATGAGATGATTAATGAAGATGATGAATGTGACGATCTCTATAATGATGTTAATGTTGGGGAGGGATTTATGCAGATGCAACAGCGGGCCCAGGCACCGCTGCCTCCTCCTGTTGGTGTCGGAAATGGCGGGTTCCAGGGTAATAATGCTACTGTTCCAGGGTCAAGAGGAGAAACCGTGACAGCACACCAGGTTAATGCCCCTGGATCTGCAGCTGAAGGAAAGTATGGGAGCTCTGGAATTCAATTTCCTGATCAGAAAGTTGTGCAAAGATCTGATTTTGGGACACCACCGGCTGTCGATGCTTCTCAGAAAGTGAGGGCACCAGAGATAATTCATAGCTCGCAACCAGGTCATTCAGGATATCAAGGATTATCGATTGTCACCCCACAAAATGTCGGATTAGATTCACATGAGAGGTCGGGGAAGGTTGCAGGTGAGCCTGTGCAGCTGCTGAATTCGGGTGGAAGTGGAAATCTTAATGTTATCCAGCCTCCGATTAGCACGGAAAATCCGATGAGACCAGGAGTTGTCGAGAATGGGAACACTATGGTGTTTGTAGGAGAGTTGCATTGGTGGACTACTGATGCTGAGCTCGAGAGTGTGTTGATGCAGTATGGAAGGGTCAAGGAAATTAAATTTTACGATGAAAGAGCAAGTGGGAAGTCAAAAGGCTATTGCCAAGTTGAATTCTTTGATCCTTCTGCAGCTGCTGCTTGTAAGGAAGGTATGAATGGACATGTTTTCAATGGCCGAGCTTGTGTGGTGGCTTTGGCTAGCCCGCAGACCATCAAACAGATGGCTTCTTCTTATATGAACAAAACCCAGGTCCAGGTTCAGTCTCAAGCACAGGGCAGGCGGCCCATGAATAATGATGGTACAGGCAGAGGCAACAATGGGGCAAATGTTCCTGGTGGAGATGGTGGTAGAAACTTTGGACGTGGGGGTGGATGGGGAGGACGAGGTGGTGGTCAGACAGTGATGCCGAATAAGGGCCCAGGCATTGGACCTGGACGAGGGAGAGGAGGAGCTATGGGAGCAAAGAATATGGTAGGAAACATGCCGGGAGGACCTTATGGTCAAGGCCTTGCAGGTCCTGGATTTGGTGGACCTCCAGCTGGTTTAATGCATCCTCAGGGAATGATGGGCCCTGGATTTGATCCCACATTTATGGGTAGAGGAGCTGGCTATGGAGGCTTTACAGGTCCTGCATTCCCTGGAATGATTCCTCCTTTTCCGGGCGTTAATCCAATGGGCCTTGCTGGGGTGGCTCCTCATGTCAATCCGGCATTCTTTGGGCGAGGAATGGGTGCTAATGGAATGAACATGATGGGAGCTACGGGAATGGATGGCCCGCATTCGGGAATGTGGAATGACGCAAACATGGCTGGATGGGGAGGAGAAAGAACAAGAGAGTCAAGTTACGGTGGGGAAGACAATGCATCTGAATATGAGTATGGAGGGGAGGCTAGCCAAGATAAAGGAATGAGGTCAAATGCTGCTCCTACTAGGGAGAAGGAACGGGGTGGCTCCGAGCGTGACTGGTCGGGTAGCTCCGAGAGGAGACATCGGGATGAGAGAGAACATGACAGAGATAGATATGATAGGGATCATCACAGGTACAAAGAAGAAAAAGATAATTACCGTGAGCATCGTCACAAAGAGCGTGATCCTAGTTATGATGATGACTATGATCGAGGACAGCCTTCAAAGTCGCGGAGCAGATCTCGAGCTATTCCTGAAGAGGATCGCCATCGGTCTCGTTCGAGAGATGCTGATTATGGGAAGCGGAGGCGCCTGCCATCCGAGTGACAGGCAGTTTCTTTGTTATCGGCCCTTTATAGTGACCGCAACTTGGGTGAGCCTGCAGCATGTTTTGCTCAACTGCGTGAATGCACTACCTTTACCACTAATGCACGTGCAAAGTGCCTTCTAGACCTAAAGAAGTAAGTACTGTTTCTGTGAGGTTGCAGGAAATAAACAAATTATGGTTTGCCTTTTGTTGTTCGCTGCGGAACAAATATTTGATGCAAGACTTAATGTTTGTCTACAAACTTAAATTTTCTTCAATACTGTACTGTTTTGGATGTGGTAACTTTCTGAGATTGTGTTATTTTCCTCCTGTGGGAGCCATGTCTGGCTACCTCATTCCAGTCTTTGGAGTGAATTGAGCTTTCAGAGCGGAAGACTAAAGCATCAAAATTGGAAGTCAATTACATATTTGCATGATTTGGCTTTACTTGCTTATAATGTGCAAGTACCTATACTTGAGTTACACGCATCGTCTAATGGAAGGGTTGGAATTCCAAATTATATTCTTTGTTAATGTGGCAGATATGTTAAGTTCCTATTTTATTGATAATGTGCATTCAAATTTTGTTGATAGACGTGAGTATTCAAGTTTTTTTACTTGTTTATGAAGAAAATATCTGATTGCCTACGTCGGGAACTGAGTTCCTCCTGTATTGGTTGTTTGGCAGTTGATGGTATATTGTTGTTTCATACTTTTTGCGCACTTGAAGTGATACCATCAGTGATCAGATGTACTTTTCTAACGGTATCAGTTGCTTATAAAGGGTAGTATGGTACCCAAATTACACCATTTACGGTTTCTGCCTAGCAACCGTGTGTTGTTACTCGTCTTTTGTCATCTTTTCCATTGCTTTGTTCCATTTGGTTATTCTGTCATCGTCTTTTTGGTATTGACAATGAGACTAGTATAATGCTTATGGTTCCACTTGGTAATTTATTCGTTTGATTCTTTGAATTCTCTTATAACAATCTACCGTATAATTGTGTCTATTATGTTGAGGTTTATGAAACTGTCTGTATTGTAGATTATGCAACAATGTAGGCAGTACTGAAATGGCTTATGAGCTATGAATGTAATAGAAATTTGCTTTGGAAGGGGATGGCTTTGGGGACATATACTTGAACTTTTATATGGAGATGCAGAAAATCAGAATTCTGTGTGTCATATGCTTTGCGTGTGTATTTGTTGCAATTTAGATTTTTTGATAGTTCTGTTTTTAATAAGTATTGACATGCTGCGGTTTAAATATCATATTCAGGGAGCAGAGAGGCAAACTCTTTGTTATGTGATTAAACCAGCCAGAATTGATTTACTTGGAGGAGATAGGATAATTGGCTGCTATTGTTGGACTTCTCTGAAATTGTTATTCTACCTATATGTGGCAAAGAAGCCCTAATCAATCATGGTCTATGCTTATGATTTTCTCGAGAATCTGGTCTATTGTTCATAATTCACACTGTTGTTGGATGTCTAAAATGTAAACTTAGAAAATTTGTGTATTTATTTCTGTATCCATTTTGCTGTATTGTTCAAAGTAGATTTAGTATGTTATAGGTTTGGAAACATGTAACTACTTCGTTTTCCACATTAAGCTTTGTATAGGTGGGAAAAGGCTATGTTCCTGCAAGATAGGTTCTTTGTTTTTTTAGACCCTTGTAATTTTGAGTTGGTGTAACTTCAATCTGAAGGAATTTGGCCTTGTTGATTGTGCTCCTATGTGTAAACTGTTGGGGCAATGTTTGCTAAAGTTGAAATGTATAGAATTTTGCACCTGTACTTGATGGAGTGGTGGTGCACGAAGGTCGGGTAATTTTGTAGACTGTGCCATTAGGTCACTAGTGTCAAATGTTGAGATGCGATAAGGCATGTTTCTTCGTTGTATTATTGATGTTTGTAGAAAAAGTTTTTGTAGAGTGTAAATCTTTCTTCATTTGATGTTGTAAGCAAGTGTTCCCTCATTAATAGAGCCCTATTGGTCCCTCTCCCCAGTGCCCTGTCTCTCTTTTCTTTCTTTCTTTTTTTTTTTTTTTTTCCATTTGTGTATATCATTTCATAAAAAAATTGTTTGTGTGCTCGTCAGTTGTGTAGTTATTTAATCATGTCGTTCAGCTTGCGAGGACGGCGCTTAATGCATAAGTGATTATATTAGTAGCGTTCTGTTGCGTTTGCTTGCAGTCAGTTTAAATTTTTGTTATACACATTCTTTGCTTCAGTTTCTGTTGCTTTTGTGGTTGCAGAATGTTCAATCTTCAGGATAAGGTCAAAGGGATCTGCTTTTGTTGTTGTTGCTACCTATGTTACATTCTCAGTTTTATCTGCTTTGCATTCCCATTCATGTATGACTGCTATTACATACTGTTGTAATGATTTGCTTGCATATACTCTTTTGTGCTTGCAATTTGAAAGTACAAACGTTGGATGGCCAATTTTACTTGCTTAGCACAAATAAGGTTGAAAAAGGTCAAATCCCTCTTTTTCTTTAAAATCAATTGATTCTATCTTCAAATTTTCGAGTTTTTGACCCAAAAAAATTCTTAAAAAAAAGGTAGACCAAATTAATTTTTTTTAAATTTGTGTGGACAAAACTATATTCTCCGGAATTCCAAAATCCGAATATGGGGTAAATTCGGATTTCGGTAATCCGAATTTATTTTAATTAAAACTATAACTAAGTAAATTTTTAATCTGACATAATTAATCAGAATTCGGATTTTTGAAATCCGAATTTATGATTAAAATATTAATTTCCGGAAAAAAAAAATTTTTGTACAAGTGTTGGTAATTTTTTGGACGTGAATCGGATTTCCGAAATCCGAACCTTTCCTGTTTCATAATAAATGTATAGTGCCACATGCTTTCCACAATCGGATTTTGCAAATTCATGTTCTTTACAAATTGAATACATTCGGATTTCAGTAATCCGAGTCTCTCTGTTTCTGTTTCACTTACGCTCGGATTTCTACCACTTACATATACGTTCACCCAGGTAGTGCCTATACCACACAAGGCACAATGAACTAAACCCTAAAGCCTAAAATCTAACTTTTTTGAACCAAATCGGATATTAAAAATTCAAATTTTAACTAACTTCGGATTTCAAAAATTCGACCTTAAACCCTAAACTCGGATTCTAGAAATCCGAACCTAAACCCTAAACCCTAAACCCGAATAATATATAGGTTACACTCGGAGTTTGGTAATCCGAGTATAAGTTACACTCGGATTTGAGAAATCCGAAGTTAAACCCTAAACCCTAAACCCTATGGCCTTATTCTAAAAATCTAATTTTTTTGCTTAACTCAGATTCTGAAAATGCGATTATTTGTTTAAAAGATACATAACAGTAGTACAGTTAGATTATACTGAATTAATGATAATATTTAATAACTAACAGATTTAACAATAATAAATAACCGTAATAACACTAATACATATGAATTAATGATAATATCTAATAACTAACAGATTTAACATTAATAAGTAACATTAGTACTAGTAATATATAATTGGTATTAATATTAATGTACTACATAAAATAATACTAGTACGTACAAATAGTACATAACACTAGTACAAATGAATTATACTGAATTAACGATAATATCTAATAACTAATAGATTTAACAATAATAAGTAACACTACTACCAATAATGTATAATGGGTAATAGTATTAATGTACTATATAATACTAGTACGTACAAATAATACATAACACTAATACAGATAAATTAAACTGAATTAATGATAATATCTAATAACTAATAGATATAACAGTAATAACTAACACGAATACCAGTAATGTATAATGGGTAATAGTATTAATGTACTACATTATATTAGTACGTACAAATAGTACATAACACTAATACAGATAAATTATACTGAATTAATAATAATATCTAATAACTAATAGATGTAACAGTAATAAGTAACACTAGTACCAACAATGTATAATTAGTATTAATGTTAATGTACTACATAATACTAGTACGTACAGGTAGTACATAACACTAATACAGATGAATTATACTGAATTAATAATAATATCTAATAAGTAATAGATTTAACAGTAATAAGTAACACTAGTACCAATAATGTATAATATGTATTAGTATTAATGTACTACATAACACTAGTACGTACAAATAGTACATAATACTAGTAAAGATAAATTATAGTATTTTTTGTAATAATATATAATAACTAACAGATTTAACATTATAAATAATAATAGTACCAATAATGTATAATGAGTATTAGTATTAATGTACTACATAATACTAGTACGTATAAATAGTACATAACACTAGTACAGATAAATTACATTGAGTTAACGATAATATATAATGACTAACAGATTTAATCGTAATAAATAACAATAGTATCAATAATATATAATGAGTAATAATATTAATGTACTACATAATAATAGTACGTACAAATAATATATGACACTAATACATATGAATTATACTGAATTAATGATTATATTTAATTATAATATTAATAAATACGGATTTCGAAAATCCGATTCTCCGATTCAAAAAATTGGCGCCACAATTTTCTATTTTAATTATTTTAATATATAGAATTCGGATTTGTGAAGTCCGAAGTCTACTATTCATATTCTAACCTCTTTTTTTTTACTGTATTTTCACAAAATAAAATAAAAATACTTATTATTTTAATATTATATGAGGATTCGAATTTTCGAAATCCGAAGATTAATTTTAATGAAGATTCGGATTTTGAAAATCCATATGATATATTTTTGTCCATACAAATTTCAAAAAAATTAATTTGGTCCATTTTTATTTTAATTAATTTTTTTAGGGAAACCCAAATTTTCTTGGTATTTCTCTTGGGGGTCAAATTAGTAAATTACGTGTAAACCCATCCATTTCCGTAGAGACTGATGGACTATGTAGAAAGGAAATTGATAAATTAAGAGCAATTTTGTCACATTGAGAGCAAAAATATTACCCTCATTTAGAATTTTTTTTTTCTTGTTAACGGCAGACAATGGAAATGAGGGGATGAAGTAATGTACAGTAATGTTCTTTTTTAGAAGTTCTATTTTATGAAATAGTTATCAGGAAAACCATTTTTTTTCAATATGTAGTTGGCTTTTGTGATTTGGTTCTTGCCGTAAATAAATAATTTTTCTTTCTTTTAAAAAAATCAAAGTTGTTACTAATAACGACCAGATCGTTGAAGGATGAGAAAAATAAAGAGAAATACTTTTTTGTAAATACCTTTAAATTCTAAGGGTAATATAGTTATTTATTAAACGTTTGCTCTTATAATAAAAGTGCTCTTCATTTATCAAGTCTGATGTAGAAAACCTTAGCTGAAATTATGCAGAACCATTTCTTTCTTCATGGTTAGCAAATTCTGAGAACCGTATCTCCCCCAAAATCTACGTTGTACGAAACATTTTCCCCTTTCCTAGTTTCATTTGCAGCCTTCTCTTTGCTCTATATTAGCGCCCTTTCAATCTTATTATTTTTATTGCAGTGCTTTTTAAGATAAAAATAAGCTGCATATCGCATCATAACGACACCGGAAAATCTCTAAAAAAAAAAAGAACAAAAGTTTCCTTCCAAAACTATGGTTCCTCGTCAGTTGGCAGTTGTTCTTGGGTTTGTTCTATTCGCCATCGTCGGCGTAGTCTCGGCAAGTACTAATGCCGTCAGTCCAATTACGGATCCAGTAGTCGAGGCACCCGATAACAATATTGTTGGCCCCACTGATGGCGAATCCTTTGGGGCTGCACCAGCTGGAGGGCCAGTTTCTGAGGGAACTTTTGCCCCTCTCAGCCCTGCTGAGGCACCAAAAAGTGGATCAGTCACCCTTGGAGCCTCCTCTACCTATGTAGCTGGTCTTGTTGCCTCCGCCATGTTGGGTTCTTTTTTCTTCTAAATTTCTCTTGCATGGATGTATGGCTGCCACTCTTATATGATGATTATATATAGAAATGCAATAAAATAGAGCATTTTGTCCTTTCTGATGTAAGAAGAATTTATTCTATGTTATTGCTAATAAGTTTTTTGGTGAGTTCTTTTGATGACTAACACAAAGGAAAAAAAATGCAGAATCAATATTAATTAACAGACATAATGTTTACTTCCATTCGCGTTCATAGATTTCTTTTTCCCGGTTTATACTGAAGAGTAGAAAATCAAGAAGAAAATTGAAAATGAGAGTTGAATTCTAATTTCTCAAGACGAGATAACCTATGGTGCTGATTTCATTTAGCCTGAAAATAACCAAAAGACAAATTGGTCCAACTACTTAGACTTATTCTATTCTAAAGCCCAAACTTAAAGCCCAATATTTGTAATACACACCCAGAAAAGGCAAAGCCCATAGAGTAAGGTGGGGGGTCAGCGTCAAAGGAGTCAACATTTCACCATAACGGACGCCCTGACACGGTTTGGAGGCCAATTGAGTCATTTTCAAAGGGAAGTAATTTCATAAGAGTCATAACTTCGATTGCTTCTTTTGGGGCAGGGGTTTGGCAGTATATAGTATACTCGCCCAGGTGGCCAGAAGAGGGGGGGGTCCTCTTTTTAGACACATCCCAACTGCGCACATTAGCTGTCTCTTCTTAAATCATTACCTCTTTTACTCTCTTTTTATTAGTCTTTTAGTCTTTAGCCTTTACCCATTATTTCCATCACTCCAACCCACATCCATACAAACACCCCCCCAACATTCGCATTTATCTCATTCTTTTGCCCAAAATTAAAATCTTTAATCTACCAGTTAATACCCCCTTCCATCCTTTGGACTAACTTTATAACTAGCTATATATAGGGTTAAAACATTAATGATGACTGCGACTTTTTCTTTTTTTTTTGGTTGAAATAATCGACTACAACTTAACAATAAATAGTTCTTTCTAAAATAATTTATTGTGTTATTCGTGAATTGCTAGAAGAGAGTGGACAACATCTATCGGGAGTTGAATTTTACAGCAAAGTCACTTGCAATTTTAGAGACATATAGTTCGGAGATCTAGTATGGTAAGATAATTTTACCGGATGTGTTGAATCCGTTGTTGCATAATGATGGAGATGGTGTTTCCTAATGTAATAACTTAGTTTTACCAGGCATATGCCTCCTCTTATTATAAAAAAAATAAAAAAAAATTATCTTATAATTCGAGATACCACATAATTTAGTTTTTGGTTTGTTTTTGTTACACAAAATGAAGATTTTCAAGCAATAATCCAACAATACATGTGAAATGTAAGTATACATAAAATCGTGGATTAAACATTGTCTCGTCTCTCACGTTATATGTGAAAGACCATAAAATTACTTGATCATTCTTAAAATTTGTATGTGTAAATAGCATAATTTTTTGATTTCGGAAGTCAATTTACAAAGTTAGTTGTGATTTTGAGAATCATAGTACAGAAATCATCATCATTTGCCAAACAACAAGAAAAATCAACTTCTTCTTCTTCTTCTTTTTATTTTTTTATATTTTAATTTTATCGCTATTATTTGGAGATGATATGTGGGAAAAATGTTTTCAGCTTATGCATTGGAAAACGTAAAAGGAGAAAATGTCCAAGTGTGAGTAAGAAGCCAAAACATATATAGTACAACAACAATAAACACTTTTAAAGAGGACCAAAACTAGCAATTAATCCAAATTATGATGTAAAAGAAGAAAATTTCAAAGATTGTTTTTTTCCCTGCGCCACCCTCCGCTTAACGTACGCACCTTTTCTCTTCCGCCCGAACCACCGTCGTATCTCTCTCTCTCCACATTTCACTTTCCATCCCTTTTTGGTTTCATCTCTGCAAATTTCCGCCATTAATATTACATTTTTTTATAGATCTGTAAAATTCACGTTCATTAAAAACCCACCCAAAAAAAGCACAGCAAATTTTCACCATTTTCTCTTCTCATCAGTTTCTCTCTGACAATTGTACTATTATTGCTATTATTAATACACAAACAAACTTCACCTTCATAAATTCACACTTAAATTAGTTATTACTCACTTCACTTTCCCCCCTTTCTCTCCCTCTTTCTACATACATTACTCTGTGATTACTTCAACTGTTTTTCTTTCTTATGTCATTGCTGGAGCGGTTCGGATTCTTCTTCCTCGTCATTGTCGTCGTCCGGTCGATCTCCGGCGATCGGTTGCGCGGCGTCACTTGCTCACCTCCGACGTCGTCTCGGATTCGCCGCCATTGTTCCCGTTTCCAGAAGACGGTGTTGTTGCTGAGATCCGAGCTGCTTCCTTTCCGCATTCTCGGATTTGATTATCAGCTCGTTCTCTAACCCACGCGATCTTCCTCCTCTTTTGTGGAATAATCATCATATTTGTGGTTGTTGACAATCGGTTTATGAGAGAAGATGAATCCGTTGTGCTGCATTGCTCCGGTGTCGGTCGATCGGGATCGGGGGAATCCTGCTGTCGTGAAGTCGCTGTCGCAGAACGAACAGTCTGGGTTTGAGGCGGCGGGGAAGCCTCCTGTGAGTAGTTTCAACTCGCGGCAGAGTTTCTCTAGGATTTCTTCCGTCAACGGCGATGCTGATTTGACTGCCGCGGCCGATTGCAATAGTAATATTAGTAATACAAATGTTGGTGAAAATAATAGTAGTAATAATGCTAGTATTAGGAAGAGTAGTAGTGTGAAGTTGAGGGAAGAGAACAATAATGCGGCTGCATTGTATAGTAGTGGGAAAACGAGTGTGTCGGGAGTGTTGTACAAATGGGTGAACTTCGGCAAGGGGTGGAAAGCCAGGTGGTTTGTGTTGGAGGATGGAGTGTTGTCGTATTATAAGGTCCACGGTCCGGATAAGATCGTGATGAGCCCTCCTTCCGTCAAGGAGAAAGGCTTTAAAGTTATTGGGGAGGATTCTTGGAGGTACATGAGGAAAGCTAGTAGTATTGGGGGTAATTATCAGTCCGGAGCTAATGGTATTACATCATCCAAAATGTGGAAGCCCTTCGGGGAAGTGCATTTGAAGGTTGGTCTGTTCATTTAGATTGTGATTGTTTGTTTGCTATCAATGAATTGCTCTTTGTTGTTTGAGGTCATTCATGTGTCCCAGTGGTTTTTTTCATTATGGTCTGTCAAAGCATGAATACATACTGCAAATTCAAAGCTCATTCTTGTTTTTATGTTGAATGAATACATACAAGAAAAGATTAACTGGTGCAACAAAAACTTGACTACGGTTGTGCTTATCAATGAGGCTGTCTAGTAGCTTTAGTTGTTTGATGAAGCTCTGCATAAAGCATTAGGATTTAGAAACCTTAATAGTGAGCACCACTTTGTTGTACAGGTTTCTTCTATACAAACTAGCAAGTCAGATGATAAAAGGCTTTCGATATACAGTGGGACAAAAACTCTCCATTTGCGTTGCTCCTCCAGAGAAGACCGCATGGCTTGGATAGAGGCGCTTATGAGTGCTAAAGATCGGTTCCCCAGAATGTTATCCAGCACTGATCTTGCACCTTCTCAAGAGTTTGTTGCATCGACAGAAAAGCTCCGTGCAAGATTGCTGCAGGATGGTATTGCTGAAGCAGTAGTTAAAGACTGTGAGTCTATAATGCTTCATGACATCACTGAGCTACAGAGTCAGTTGAAGGCTCTTCAACTTAAACACATTATGCTTCTTGACAGGCTGAGACAGCTAGAGGTATATTTCTGTTTGTTCAGATTCCCACCTTGAGGAGAAGGAACTTCGATATTTTTTGCAGTCCCTCATACATAACATGCTTTTTGGTTGGTATGTAAATTTCATCGGTGTTCATGCCCCCACAGTAGTACATTTTAGATATCTCTTGGAGCTGCCAACTCTCGCTACTAAATGGAAGTTAATAAATTCATGTTACTAAGAAGACTGAACTGCTAAATGTTACCCCATATCTTTGACCAAATTTAGTATGTAAGGCTTATTTAATATCATTGCGTGGTGGTATTACAAAATACACTTTTCTACTTGAAGACCACTAGAGAATTAACTGTTCGAATGTTGAAATTGCAGACTGAGAAGATTGAGTTGGAAACAACTGTGGTCGATGAAACCAAGGAAAGAGATTCATGTTGTGGAGGCAATAGAAGATTCAGTGGTTAGTTTCTGACTTGCACAAACAAATAGTAGAAATTACTAACAATCTTCTCTGTAAATACCACACAAGTGACACCGCATATAACTGAAAACTTCATTTGATTGCATCATTGAATGACATGAGCTCTTACAATTTTATGGCCACCTTTTAAGCATAAAGCTTTACCCTGCAGCTCCTTATTTGGGTGGGACCTTTTAAAATTGATTTAGTTGTTTGTGTTTAGCAGCAAATGATCACATACCAATGTTAAATTTTGTGCATGAAAACGGTTCAATCTACTTGAACTCTCTCCTCTGGTTTGATGGATGTTTCTCTTGAAAAGTGTCATTCTGCAAACAGCATTATGTGATTTAAAAGTTACTTGTATTTCTACTTTATGGGTTTCTTTATCTGAAAATGGCCTCCTGTTAAATGTATTCATTGGTCTATCTTGATATGCCGCTTATCTTGCAATTCTGATGCTTTCTTGTTTATATATGTGATACTCATCATTGCTTGTGCTGCAGATTTCTATTCCATCATGTCAGAGGGGAGTGCAAGTGACTCTGATGCTGATAATGAAAGCCGGGACGGAGGATATATTGAACAAGACGAAGATAACTTATTTTTTGATACAAATGATTTTCTATATGCTGAATCCTTAAGAAGTGCTTCTTATCGAAGTAGAGAAGGTGCAGGAAATGCCTGCAGCTCTTTTACAAATGATAAAGGTCCATTCTCGTCAGATCGTTTAAGAGAAATTGAAATAGATATAAAGGAAATTGAGTATCCATACGTCAAAAGGCGAAGTAATTTGCCAGAACCAAAGGAGAAAGAGAAGCCAATCGGTTTATGGTCAATAATTAAGGATAACATTGGCAAGGACCTATCTGGAGTTTGCCTACCTGTTTACTTTAATGAGCCATTATCTTCACTGCAAAAATGCTTTGAGGATTTGGAGTACTCGTATCTAGTTGATCGAGCATTGGAGTGGGGAAAGCAGGTCATTTTCCCAACTTATTTTCCTCTTGACAATCAGTTTCTTCCTTGATGACCTCTTGCTATTGTAACTTGTGTATAATCTGGATTGACTAGTGTTATGGTTGATTTTCACAGCCGAGTTGTTAATTTTGGTGTCGTTTTCTTGATAGTGTTCTAGCTAGTAGCATCATAAATTGTCCGAGATGCTATTGTATTGTTTCCTTGCATGTTTATGACATTTTCCAGAGGCTTGATATTAAGGAGTCTTATTTTCACGACATTTAAAGTCATCTTCTTTTTAACTTCTGCAGGGGAATGATCTGATGAGAATCTTGAATGTAGCAGCTTTTGCTGTATCTGGTTATGCATCAACTGAAGGTCGGCAATGCAAACCTTTTAATCCTTTACTTGGGGAGACATACGAGGCTGACTATCCAGATAAAGGTCTACGATTTTTCTCAGAAAAGGTAATGTATAAACACATTTATGTGAAGTATCTGCTTTTACCCACAACCAGAGCATATTGTCCTTTCTTCATTAATCTGCCTTGATAAGGGGGCCTACAAATATTTTAAGCATCGCAATGTTTGATTTTCTATCTCTTTACCCTTTTAAGAAGTTTAGACTTTTGAGTTTTAATAGTGCTGGATGGACCTCATTTCAGGTGAGCCATCACCCTATGATTGTTGCTTGTCACTGTGAGGGCAGAGGATGGAAATTTTGGGCTGATTCTAATCTCAAAGGCAAGTTCTGGGGCCGCTCTATTCAGCTCGATCCTGTGGGAATTCTTAGCTTGCAATTTGAGGATGGTGAAACATTCCAGTGGAGCAAGGTCACGACTTCCATATACAACATAATCATTGGTACAATCTACTGTGACCACTACGGTACCATGCGTATCAAGGGCAGTGGTAGATATTCCTGCAAACTTAAATTCAAGGAACAATCTATCATAGACCGCAATCCTCATCAGGTATGAACCTTTTTTATTCATTATCTGTTTCTATGGTTTGTGAATCACCAATTACTGCTTGATCTTGAGTTCTTTCGTGCAAATATACAAACTTTCCTCTACCTGCTAAATGATTTGTAATTTGTTTTCCACTGCCTTACTAACCTGATTGAGGAAATTGAAAAGGAAATACAAATTCACTTGCACATGGAATGAGGAAAGAAAAGACTTCATGTATTTAGTTATACTTATAGGGAGATGACAACCAAAAGTGGAGATTATTTCAAGTTTATAACTGTTGTGTTCTTTTTCTGCCTTTCAACTGATAGGTTTTCATATGAACAAATTCATAAAATCAAGTGATTAATTTGTAGAAGTCCAAGATTATGTAGTAATTTCCTCAAAGGTAGCCTCTTTTTGGAGGCTGTGCTATTTTTTTACATGTTAAATCACAGCCAGTATCAATTTATTTGGAATCGAATCAAGAAGTGAATTTTGAGTTGTCACATTGAATGACATCATTAGATGGAGCTTTTCAAATTTATATAACGGAGTCTCCTTGAAACTTTCTATAAGTCACATTAAGTCAATGTGCGGATAATTTATGATTAGTATACAAGTTATTGCTAAGTAATTCTAACATGTGGTGCATATTCAATTACCATCCCATCATATAGGTTCATGGATTTGTGCAAGACAATAAAACTGGAGAGAAGGTAGCAATGCTGTTGGGTAAATGGGATGAAGCAATGTATTATGTGTTGGGAGACCCTATGACAAAGCCAAAGGGTTATGATCCAATGACAGAAGCTGTATTGCTTTGGGAGAGAGGCAAATCCGTTACCAAGACAAGATATAATCTCTCACCTTTTGCCATATCTCTAAATGAATTGACACCTGGTTTACAGGAAAAGCTGCCCCCGACTGACTCCCGGCTTAGGCCAGATCAACGTCATTTAGAGAATGGAGAATATGAGCTGGCAAATTCCGAGAAGCTGAGACTTGAACAACTTCAGAGACAGGTCTCTCACACACGCGCGCACACACACACACGCACACAGTCACTGTACCACACTCCACTCAAGGTTTTTTTGCCTGATGTCTTGTGTTTTGTGTGGGATTTTAAATAGCTTTGTAATTATTGCGCAGGCAAGAAAACTGCAGGAGAGAGGCTGGCAACCACGATGGTTCCGGAAGGATGATGATGGCTCTTACCAGTATGTTGGTGGATACTGGGAAACTAGGGAGAAACGTAACTGGGGAGATATTCCCAACATATTTGGGCAGGGTACCGATATACCTAGTAGAGTAGAATATCTTCCTTTCTAGGCTTCACCGACTTTGGAATCAGAATGACAATAACTGCCAAAACGTGCTTGGTTCTGGTTAGTCGCGACCACGAAATGTTAGACGATGGTTTTCCACAACTAGATTTAGTGGAAGCCTGTTTTTGTAGTTTGGGAGACTGGGAGGTGTGTCCCTGGGAAATGGCAAAGTTCTATTCTTTCTGTGAAGACGATGATTCGGATCCTTAAAGAAAGTACATATATCAGTAAATTACAAACCTTTTCAATTGAGATCAGGAAAAGCTTGGAGTCTGGACAACACAATCGTATGCGTCTTATGGTATAATTTGAGGCATTTTTAAAAACCAGCTTCTTCTTCTTCTTCTTCGTGGTTTTAAGGGGATATTTGAACTGAAAAACTTCTTTGAGTTGGAAACATTAAGTGGTTACCAATTCCATCCTTATCAGATAAACACCTTTCATAAAATGTTATTTCTCCCTTTCTGTTTTTGGCCAAAACTCTTCTAATAATGTGGACCAGTAGTACTTTAAGTGAGTCATATGTGCAGTTATTTTTCAACGAATTAGATAAAATGTTAAACATGGAACAATAAAGTAAAAATTATTTGGAGAATATGAGTATATCGGGCTATCAAATATGAAAGACTGAAAATAAAACAATCAGCTACAAGAATCTGCTCATCTTCTCTTATTGATCTACTAGTAACAAGATGAAACAACTAATTTGGTCATTTCCAAGCTTTCCTCCCACGAAATTGATTACCACAACGTTGCTGTTTTTTCTTCTTCTCTAGTTTCGATCGTGATACTATATCTTTCCTGGCACGTAGAGGTACAACCTTCTTCCGGTTCTTTTCCGCATTGGTTGAACCACCAGTCTGAAAAAAAAAAAAAAGTTCCAAAACGTATTGGTATTAACTCATAAAGTAATCAATGATGATCAAAGAGGAAAGCTTCCACGGGGCTAAAGCCTAAAGCTTATCATGGGACACTGGTCAGCAAAAATGGAGGTACGACAGGGGAGTTTAATTCTCTATTTAAAAGTTGCTTTAGTATCTATTGCGGGGAGGGTGAAAACATAGCAAAGAGAGAGTACAAAAGTAAGATGATAAGCCATTGTATTTCAAGCAATGCAAACTACATATGACCCGCTGAAATGTCAATTATATGCAGAAAATCCAAAAATGAAGATCACCTTTTTCTTTCTAATGGCAGCTCGAGCCAGGTACTTCCTCCCCTCTGTCTTCCCTTCCAGCTCTAATTAATGCCTTGGTCATCTTGCTTCCTATGTTATAGCCTCAAATAGTTCGGGCCATGGTGGTAAAACATATTACTCCCTCCGTCCCATAATTATTGTCCAGTTTTGGTTTTCATTTCTAATTCAAATTGTACTAAAAATGATATCTCAAACTGGACAATAATGTTGGGACAGAAGGAGTAGAATATAAAGCACATTGGAGCTATTTCCCTTGAACACAAAAACATGTTAGAAGGAGTAGAATATAAAGCACATTGGAGCTATTTCCCTTGAACACAAAAACAAACATGTACGTAACGTAACCACTCCGTCCCAAAATGATTTAGATTTTCATTTTTAATACAATCCGACAATTATTTTGGGAGAGGGAATATATATGTATATATATAAGAGGAAATCCATGACGATCACGCAATTCACGGATATTAGAATTTCCCTTTCGCGTTCTTTGTAGTGTAATACTGTGTGTCCTTAGTAATTTGCAGATGTTAGATAAATATGAAACCTCTGCAGACGCCTAATTTCTTTAACAACATATATATTGATCTCTCTGAAAAAACTGCTCCGTACCCGACCCTTTGACTGGTTGACTATTGTCATCAGTGAGAAGGAAAAATAAAAACGAACAAGGAGGAGGATAGGGAAGAAGGAGATCAAGGCAAAAGAGAATGGAAAAAGAATTAAAAAATAAAATAAAAGGTAAGAAGAAGAAGAAAGAAACCATAGCTGTTTATTGTTGCTTCGCAGAGGAGGGCGGGAGGAGATGATAACAGAAGATAACGGAGAGAAAGGAATATGGTGGCCGTAAAAAGAACGAACTAAGTAGGTTTTTATTTGGCGCAATTACCGTATTTGATGAACAAATTGACATAAATGATGTTACATTTTGAGTTTTTTTTAGCAAACTGATCCCTGAACGTCTTTCTCTTTCTTTCTTCCAACAGTTCAAGACTTAAAAATTTAGGGAAAGGCAAATCTTTCTCTTTTTTTTTTTTAGGGGTACAACACGAGGACTTCCCAGGGGTCACTATGTGTCCTAGTACGGCTCTCGCCCAAACACGCTTTAACTTCGGAATTTTGATTAGATTCAGTACATTAATGCTGGTATGATTGTTACTCTGGGAAAGGCAATTCATTCATTCTTAAATTTAACTAGATCCTGGATAAAAATTACTCTTCCAGAAAAAAAAAAATGATCCATTTTAACACCAGAACTAAATGTTATTGCATGAAGTTTGCCCAGGGATGAAAGAACGCCAACAAACCGTCTCTGCAACGTAATCTTACTTTGAAGTTTAGGTTTAGTGGATTATGACCATTCTTTAACCATCTTCTTATGGTTGTTTTTCTTCCCCCTTTTTTTTGGGAAAAGGGTTGCAATTTGCAAACTAGGAAATGTTCGAAATGAAATACGAATTTGGAGTAACAAACGGAAAGTGGTGACCACATACTTTACCATCCCTTCTAAATAAACATCTTTTCACATGTATGCTCTTTCGCCATTTCTGTTTTTGCCAAAACCTTTCTAATAATGTGGACCATATGTATTTACTTTGTGTTTACATAATTACATTTTCAGTCATTTTCTACGTTTTAGATAAAATAATTAAATAGAACGAAAAGCCAACATGATTTAAAAAAAAAAATCGAAAAAAAAATCACTATAATATATCCATTCCAGCCTTTCCAGGCTCTCAAAGAATATGAAAACAGTGCAAGTAAAACTATCAGCTATAAATATCTGCTGTTTACTATGATCATTTCCAAGCTTTCCTTCCACGAAATTGTTTCCCAGAACGTTGCTGTTTTCTTTTCTTCTCCTGTTTCGATCGTGATACTTTTGCCATCTTGGCAGCTCGAGGCAAAGCCTTTTTGTGCTCCTTTTGCTTATTGGTTAAACCACCAGTCTGAAAAGTCCCAATATGTATTGTATCAATCATATCCCATTAAAACGAAAAAAAAAAAAAAAAGCAAATGGTGACATAGAACTAAATCACTATCCAATAACCCAAGTCTAAAATATCACAGCACAATCTTGAATTCAAACAAAGCATGGACTTCGGCACTAAGTCATGGTGGTTATGATGAAGAGGAAAACTTCCTGGTGGCTAAAGCTTTGATCGTGGGTCATTGGTCAGCAAGATGGAGAAACAAAGGGGGTATTACTCTACTTCAAGTTTTGTAAGTATTGGTATGAATAATGCAGGGAGGATGAAAAGGTGTGTCTCAAAACAAAAAGGGATGTGCATGACTAGTAAGAGAAGCCATTGTGTTCCATTCAACATAAATTGCGTAAACATTTGACAAACCGAAACACACTAAAGTTAATCATAAGAAGAAATACAAAATGAAGAGCACCTTTTTCTTTTTAATAGCAGCTCGAGCTTGGTACTTTCCTCTGTCTTCCCTTCCAGCTCTAACTAATTCCAGCCTTTCATCCTTGGTCATCTTCCTTCGTATGTTAGCCTGAAATAGTTCGTGCACGTGGCACGTTAGTCCATCTTAGTAAAACACAAAATACATATTGAAGCTCTTTACCTTGTAGTCAAAACAGGTTATATAAGAACAAATAAATCGTATTGCTTGATAGTCTTTCCATGATCACAAATATCACAATGGCTGATTAAATTTCTGCAGACAATAATGACTAAAACTTTGGATGACAGAGTGTTCTTCCTCAATAATGCTAAGACTCAAATTCTTCACAAGACAAAATATCCAAGCGTACACGAATACCCTGACCCTTTGACTATGTTATGGACAACTTCATAAGAAAAGACAAACCCGACTAAGCTTGAATAGGACGAAGGAGAATAAGGGGCAAACAAGAAGGGAAAGGAAAAGAAGAAACAAAGAAAGAAACCAAGCATGTTGATTGTTGTTTTGCAGAGAAGGGATGATAAAGGAAGAAAACAGAGAAGAGGAATGGCGATTACAGAAAGAAAATAAATAAAGATTAGGTTTTATTTGGCAGATAATAATATGATCAACATTTCAAGTTTTTAACGAACAGACTGAACTTCTTTCTTCATCTGTTCAAGACTTAAAATTATTTTCACAGCAATTAATAAACCTTAAATTTTACTAGACAATAAAAAACTAAATTCGAAACTACTACTAATATATCCAAGAATCCATATCCGCGTCGCAATGTGTTTACATCCAGATCCCCATATCCTAATTTCTTAGAAATCAGCATATCTGATACACTCACACCCAACAGCCATAGTCAATGTAAAGTTCAATTTCAAATACAAACTTGCCTCAAGTTTAGCGGCATCAACTCTTTTAAGACTAAGTTGGTCTGAACTTGGAAGCTTGAATCCATGAGCATTTAATGCAACCCTTGCCTCCTTCTTAGCCTGTTTGTTAACAAAGAAGTTTAACAAACACAAAAGTTAGTTTGATATATTCAAATTTACTACCCGGAAAGCAAAAAAGAATAATACAAGGTCTTTACCCCTTTGCGTTGGAATGCATGTTTATAGAACAACTAGAATAAAAGGAAATTCAAACCTCGAGTGTACAACAAACTTTATGCATTAGCAGGAGGTTTGTTTGAGGATGAAAGAGCAACAAACCTTTAGCTCTTTAATTCTTTGGAAGTCCTCATTGGAAAGAATACCATCATCTGCATCAGCAGTGTCGTTCGTCCTGGTTCCGGCCAGTTTCTTCAGTGCTCGAAGGCTTTTGTTTGCAGCATTGAGTTCTTCGTCAAAGTCAGATAATTTGCGCTTTCCAAACTTAGGACGCCTTTCATGATTTGCATCATCACCTCTGACACTGGACAGACTGCCAGATGCCTCATGCTCATCGTCTTCATCAGACTCGCCATTTTGGTCATTATCCTCACTTGTGGCATCAGCACTCTCATAGCTAATATTAGCATCATCTTCAGAATCATCTTCTTCTAGCATGAAGTCATCTTCACTACTTGATCCCTTGCTGAGGATGCCACCATCATCATTATCAGAGCCATCACAATCACTTTCTGAAACAACATCTTCCTCTCTGTCTGATGAGCTAATTAACTCATCATCTGTGTCACTATCAATGCTGCCATTGTCATCTTCCAGTAGCTCAACTCCAGGGACATTGGTGGCAACTGTGACTTCACCATAGGCTTTAGGCGCTGCCTTTGGATGAATGGGACGTCCCCTATCCTTTTTTAGCAAAAGGGAAGGACAAACCTGAAAATGATTGATCGATCAGCCTGGGAGAACATTTCAAAGAACCCAGAAGGATAAAATCACTGGCAGACAATACCTCTCTAAACAAAGTCACCAGCGATCTAGCAGCTGATGAAACCGCTTTCTCATTTGACTTCTTATACAATACAAGATCTTGAAGTAAATCTTCTGTCATCAACTAAAGACAAGACAAAAGAGAGATTTCAGGAAAGGGGTGCAGAGTGATGTTAGTTTCTGAAAAAACAGGGAAGTCAATAACTGTAGAAAAGATATTTTAACAATTTTGGATTAATAATGGAACATACCAGAGGCATACGCAGGCATATTTCTCGTACCACATTCAATCCAACAGAAATGGCCTAACAGGGAACATAAAAGAAGAATCAGCTTGACATGAAGAATATGATTGAATATGTACTGAAAGAAGATGAAGACAATTGAGGTAAGCAAGACCTCTGTCCGAGATTTGTCGTGCACGAACTGGTTCACTATTTGTTTGAACAATGGTTGCACAAAGTCAGGCGGCACCTAATCAAGAAGTATACACACATTACTGCATTAGACATAACAGAGGGAAAAAATATAAATGAAAACTGCGGTCCATAACTTTAGAACTGAAACCATATAAATAATGTACCATATCATGGCAAGCCTGAACTGCAGCTGCAAGCAAACTGGTGACATCACGCTGATGGGGCTGAAAGTAATGGACAAACGTTATTATAGGCCATCCAGCACCCAAATCATACCGGTTAAGTAAACTAAAAAGTGATCGCACCTGCACATATTTCTGAAGAAAAGGATATAGATTTTCGATTATTAAACTATAAAGACCAACAACGCGAGTAATCACTTTCAGCAACATCATCTTGACCTGCAGTATCAAATGGTTAATGAATTGATAAAATAAGTTGTGTGGCTAAAAGTCCACAATAAGCTGTTAGTGGGTATTAGACTCAGTAAAAAAGGAAGACCTGAAAAGTAACAGTCTAACAGAGAGAGAAAACAACCTCAAACCTTTCACTGCCAGTTTTAGTTAGGAGCCGAGAGAACAACTTCTCGGCAAATCCCTGCAGTTAAATCAGTAATTTACTCATAAAATATCCGGATTTTACCAAGTCAAAACAAGTGAATAACAACCACCCACAAAAGGAAAAGAACCATGCCTGTGGATCTTTCAAGTGCTTTAACGGTGAGTAATAACTTGAAACATTCTTCTGCGCAGAAGAGCGTTGCTGCTTCTTCATGCTGCGTATCACACGCTGCAATTTTGCTTTCTTTTTCTTTTTGCTGGCAGAGGTACCTTTATGTTGTGCCTACAGGACAAATTCACAACATGGCCATAAATTAAAAGTGTAAAATTTCGTTAAAAGTCAGAAACACATGCATAACAGCAAAGTTTTTTCAGTGACAAGTCTTTAAAACACTTTTATGATGGAACTTTTTTTTGTTAAATCCACACTAAAATGTTTCAGTTCCAAATTCATTATAGGTTAAAGGTGGAAGATTACGCTTAATAAGAATGAAGATTCTCACTGCTTAATGCAGGGAATATCACAAAAACCAAGGACAACAGCATCAGAAACAACTGGCAGACAAGCTCAGTATCTCATGAAAAGCTTTACGGAAATATTCAGAAAGACCTCAATTGAGCAACTGACCTTGTAGATAGCTTCTTTACTGACTACTATCTGAGGTTGTTGTGCTTCCAGTTCCTCTTCACTGTCTGCATCATCACTATCACTACCATTCTCAATCTTCTCGTAATCAAGAAGGAAAGACAAAGCAGCAACCATGATCCTGAAGACAAAGATACATGATTTCTCGATTTCTGTTTTCAGCAGATTAGAAAGCACACATATCAACAACCCTCTAACCTTGTCGATGGGTGAAAACACGCATTACAGATAGCATTTGCAGTCCTGTCATCAAACCACACTTTTCTCCGGTGAAGCTCACAGAGTGTAATAAGTGACCTTCTTGCTTTTGTTTCATCCTCTTGCTAAAATGTTGGACCCAGAAAACTAATTAGTAGATTTTACAAATAAACAACACATTGACTATTAGATAGAAAGGGCCTATAAAGCTGAGATGTACAAACACACCTGCAACATTGAGAAGAGAATACTCTGAAGTGCCCGATTCTTCTTGTCATTCTTGTGCTTCTGATTCATCTTCCTGATACTATGAACAACATGCGAAAATGCCAATGTCCTGAGAGTCTTATCCCCAAATGTCTGTAGCTCCATGAACAACTCAAGAATTTTCTCCGTATCGACCATCTAAAAAAGAACAGCATTACTGAATCAAATTATGACCACAGCAACTAAGACAACAAGAATCAAGCATGTATCCTGCCATGTGGTGCCCGCCATATAGATTACTCGTTGTCACCATTTTCTCTTAAAACAACACATATCCTAATTTTTTATGTAAGAAATGTGATACTCCCTCGTCCCAAAATTATTGCCTAGTTTCGATTTTTTCGTTTTAGTACAATGAAAATCCAAACTGACAATAATTTTAGGACGGAGGGAGTACTATGGTTAATTCGCAATTGCTTCCAGAGTTTTCCTTCCCCTATCCCATCTTCCCAACTTTGTTGAACTAATCTCTTTGATAGGTGTATCAATCAGGCCATGTTTTGAATTTACAGGTGGAAAAGGTAGCATTTTTTTTTTGCGGGGAAGTGCATCTTAAATCCAACACAAACCCAGCATTTGTTAGGAATAATTATTTTGGTGTTACCACCTACCAGTAAAGTTAGGGGTCATATGTAAGGAACCCATTAGTGTGAACACTAATCTCTCACTTTTTGTCATGCCACCCTAATTTTCTACTGGCATACTGGTAATCTAATCACTCCCTATGAAAATTCAGCTGTTATTCAAAGATAAATTAAATTAAAAAGGAGGGTACCTTTCTGTTAATGAGTAGTATAAGAGCCTGGGTGACATGAACCCGAAGGCCTGAAGGGAGGGTCCGAGCAGACGCACGGAGAAATTCAGCGAGTTCTCCGGGGAATTCGGACATCTGCTTCATCTTCGGGTAGAAGGGGGCAACATGGGCCAAGAACATGGCCCGGTCTCCCAAATTCTTGGCGACGGTGGGGTCAGCGGCGATGCCACTGGCAGATGTGAAGCTCATCGCCGCCTGATCCTTGAACAGCTCCATGGATGACTTGAATTGGCTGTATATCAACTGGAGCTCCATTTCGTAGCCTTCCGGGTCAGACTTCATCTTGGATTGCAAAGCAGGTAGGCTCAGCTTCTCCGCATCCCGACCCGACGCCAATATTGCCTCCGGATTTAAATCCGGCAACGATGAGCTGGCCTCCGGCGCCATCGTTGCTGGTGTGACTCTGTTGTCTTTGATTTTTGAGGCCGGAGAATGTAGTGGTCCGTTAATAAAAACCAACTAAAACCCTAACGGGCTAAACCCCACACCTTAATGTTATTACTACTGTTTAACTATTACGATATTTTAAAAAAGAAAAGAAAAATAGGGGCAAATCTATAATTTAGGTTTTAATTAAGGATTAATTAATCTTTCCATAATTTAATCCAACATAATTTTCATGAATTATTATAAGCAACATAATTATGACCACAAAATAAAATTAGAAAAACAAAAGAAATAAACGTCAATAACTCACATGGATCAAATTATTCACTTAATCACTGAACTCTGAATCTGAACACATAACACTGAAGTCTGAAGTCAGAAGACTGAATTTATATTGTTTGATAAAAACGTCTGAAGACAAAATCTGAATACTCAGGTCTGAAAGTTATTTAAAATTTTAATATCATTAAAATTGAATTATAAACAACATTCTTTTAAATAAAAAATATAATTAATATTTTATTCTAAATAATAGAATCATAATTTTAAAATAATTTTTTGGTATATATAATGAAAGTAGATATTACACTTGGTAAATAATCAATATATAATTAAATTTAGATTATTGCATATATATGTATACCTTGTTATTTAGCAAATTTCATGTATTAGAAATAGTTTAATTTGAGTTTGAAAGTTTGAGATCTTTTATACACATAATATAAATTCAACTTTAAGCACTCTTAATTAATTCATCTAAAGAAAATAAAAATTTTAAAACAATGTAAAAATAAGCATTGAAACAAAGACGAAGGAAAAAAAGGAAAAAAAAAAAGAAAAAAGAAGAGTCATTACAGAAATTAAGTGATAGGTGATAAGTGGTAGTCATGTCACTTATTTTCTGACTCACAATTGAACCGGGCATTCAGACGCACTTAATTAATTCAGACAGTGAAATTTTAGTTATCAAACGCACTTAATTTATAAGTATTTAATTAGTTCAGAACTTAATTCATTAAGACTTTTTAGTAACAATTATCAAGCACACTTAATTTCATTAAATACTTGAATAAATTAAGTCACTATATTAAGTGATTATCAAACAGAGAAACTACAATATTTTTATTAAAAATCATGAACATTACTTAATAATAATATGTAGGAATAATTTTACATTAAACAATTAAATAATATGAACCAACTATCATGTACTCCCTCCATTCCATAATTATTGTCTAGTTTGGGTTTTTCATTTCTAGTTCAAATTGTACTAAAAGTGAAATCTCAAACTGGACAATAATTTGATAATTTTGGATTTTTATTTCTAGTTCAAATTATTCTAAAAGTGAAATCTTAAATTGGACAATAATTTGATAATTTTGAGATGGAGGGAGTACTGACAAAATCTAGCTACTTTAACCAATCAAACATTACACGAAATAATATAACTTCATATACACAAACCTTGGTGCACACTCAACCGAATTGCTATGAACTTTCTTTTTTTTTTTTGGTGATAAGCTATGAACTTTCATTAACTACTACATGAACACTAATTAATTCTATCTTCTCATGAATTATATTCAGTATATGTATGAATATGAAACTAAAATTTTAAGAGAAAATTGATTCATACTATTTTGCCATGCAACTTATGTATGAACACAAATATATATATATATATATATATGTATATAAAAGAAAAGTAAACCAAGATGTTTTGTTTAAAAAAAAAAATAAAAACCTGTTAGACACATCAAATAATTAATGGAATAATTGCAGACGTTACTTAATATATGTGTGAATATTTCTTAAATCAAGCAAACAGTGAAAATGAAAATATTTTTCAAATCACAATTACACAAAAATATTTTATATTTTAACCAATAAATAATTACTTGAAACAAAACTATTTGATATACATAAATTTTTTATGCACATTAAAGCCAAATGTTATGAACTTCAATTAATAAATGTATGAATACCGATAAATTATACCTTATCATGAATAATATGCAATATGTATATGAACAAAAAATTGAAATTAAAAAAAAAAAACTTCAATCCATACTATTTTGTCATAAATTACATACAACTCATGTATGAACACAAAATAAAATTAGTAAAATAAAAATAAATAAAAACAATTTTTAAATAGATCAAATTAGAAACATACCAATTGTTATGAACTTCAATATATAAATGCATGAACACCAATTAATTATAATTTTTCATGAATTATACGCAATTTACATATGAACACAAAGTAAAAATGATAAAAAAGAAAATGAATGCATGAACATCGATAAATTCTATCATGTATTAACACAAATCTTGACGAACACTAACCCCAATTGTTATGAATTTCAATTAATGAATGTATGAACATGATTAATATACATATGAACACGTAATTGAAGTAGGAAAAAAAATTACAGGACTTGCAAAAAGAGATTATATGATTCTTTCCATAATTAATTTTATTAGATAACTATCTTTTTATTATGAATTTGACTCCTACTAGTATTTGAATATTTGTGATTTCTATTTTGAATTCTCCTTAATAGTAGGAAGTTTGGATTGTTTCCATAATTAATTTTATTATATAATTAATTATTATTGACAATTAAAGCGCGTGTTTATATAAAATCTATGCACCATATATGGTGAATACGGTGCACCACATAACCATTGGGGAGTTGGGAGGACCTCAAATCATAGGCAATTTATATGGTGAACCCTGTTCACCGTATATGATACACTTGTTTTAGGATTTGTCTTACACGCATATACAAGGAGAGTAAGTTTCCACAATAAAAACCTATGCGTGCGGTTACAGCATAATTTTTTTCCAAGAATTAAGAGGAGAGTAATTTTTCATAATAAAAACCTCCGGTGTTAGTTTTTTGCTTCTTTGTTATAGGTTTATTACTGGTTGAGACACTCTTTTTTTTTTCCAAACGGAGTTTATTGGGCATTCAAAAGATCATATTATTTTATATAATATATCATGTTGCATGAAAAATGATAGACAACTAACATGAACTTTATCATACCAATGTATGAACAATTTCTCTGAAATTTTCATGATTTAAACTTTAACCATATAATTCTAAAGAAACTCCACCAACACGTCAAAATTTGGAAAAAAAAAAAAACTCACTCCTAAACATAATACTTATTGTTGAAAATCATATGAACATTACTTACCCACTGTATGAAAAACTATTATTTATTTGATGAACAAATCCCTTTATAAACACTATACAACTAATAACCTTTCGTCACAGAAAAAAAAAAAAACAAACGCAAAAAGAAAAAGCTATATTCCTATGAATTTTATATAATATATCATTTGGATGAAAATGATAGAAATCTAATATGAAATTCACCTTACCAATGTATGAATATTAGCTCTGAAACTTTCAATACTGAAACTTAACTTTGACCTGATAATTCTAAAATATCAACAATTCTAAAATAACTACAAAAATACCACAAATATTGGGGAAAAACTCACTCCTAAACATAAAATTATTATTGTAAATCACATGAACATTACTCGCACGCCGTACGAGACACTACTATTTATTTGATGAATATAATACCATTAAAAATATTGTACAACTAATTAACATTAGTAAAAAAAAACCGAATCGCATAAAAATAAGGTTAAAACTAAATATAATTAGCACGAACTTCTCCACATTAATTTATGAACATTGTACCTAATTGGAAATTTAGTAATTTAATATGAACATCATACAATACTTATATGGTAAATAACACCAATTACTGTTAACATTGATAAGAGGGCTACAATTTTATTTTAATTAGGAAACATGAGATGCTGTTATGAATCTGAGTCATACTAAAATTTGAACAATCAATAGTTTTATTTTGAATTTTGAAATCCAAGAATACATCCGTAAAATATTTTAGTAGTATTATTTCCACGAATAACATATTAGATGATTAATTATATGAGCGCGTATTCACATAGGACCTGTGCACTAAATAGTTGCTCAACTCTAGATCTCTATCTATCATACTAAATGCTTAAACAAATTAATGAAGCACGTAGGTGAAGCAAGATGGTTATTCAAGAATCTAATATGAGTAAGCAAAGTTGAGTGCAACGTGTCGACAAATAAAGAGAACACATTGATAGCAATTAGGTGAAACAAGCACCTTAGTAAGTGTTTTAAAGGCTGAATGTGCAAACCTATAACATATAAGAAAAATTATGACTCATCAGAGCTATGGCCTAGAGTTGGTAAAACAATAGGTGAAGCATGCAACACATTATTCCTTAAAATCTATGCGTATAGATGGGAGAGCAAAGTTAAGAATATTATGTGGAAGATTTGTATTTGCTGCAAGGTGAGAGTTTGACAAAACACATATCTTATTAACCTCTTCAAAGCTGAATAAGCATAGCTAAGATGCCTAAAAGAAATAGTGACTCTCCAACCCTATAACATACTCAATTAATTATCCAAAAAATACTATAAGTTGGGGTTTCGTCTTTATTATATATATCTCAAGTTCAAACTGTCTTTCTTAAATACCATAAGTTGTATCTTTGTTCTTTTTCGCTTTTTTCGTCCAAATACTGTTAAATTTGTTACGGTCAACAGGTTAATTGATAATTTCTCAAAAAGGTACTTTCGTCTTTTAAATAAAATAATTAAAAAAATAAAAATTTATAGATAATTTTGTTTTTTAACTGTGCTTAATTTAAATAATACTAATTTTCACTTCTTTATTATTTTCATTTTCTTGAAATAGCACCTGAAAACATTTATTTAATTATCAACTTAATTTATCCATGTTTACTGGTTACCATTTCAATTTTCAAGTCTAAATTTTTACCAATTACCATCCAAGTCCCAATTTCAAACAATTGATTTTTCTCTTTTTTCTACTACAGAGCCACCACCATCGGCCCAAAACCACCAAGCACCACCACACCAACAAACCAAAATTGGTCAATTTTT